TTAGTAAAAGAATTCATATAACAGAAAAAAGACCTATTGTCTCATAAATCAATCAATCAGAAAATATTTATTATTTTCTATTAATCAAAACAATAGTCTGGTGACGAATTATTTGCATGTAATAAAAATAGTGAGAATCAAAACCTTCACTTTTAATCCACCTAAGATAAAACTATAACAAATTAGCCTTCCAAAACAGAAAATATTTTAATATTTTAGACGTGTAACGTGTTAATTAACTTTAACCATTACTTTCATAATAATCATGAAGTTGATACTAAAATAAGAGTCTCAGTTCCGTTCATATGTAGACTCGGCTATTATATATGAAGTTAGTTTATGAGAAGAATTTGAAGTCAACTCAACATCTTAGGTCCTCGAAATTGTATATATTATATATTTTCAATCCTCATTTTGGTATAATTTCTTCTTTTGTCTATCAGTCTTTAAATTCATCTTTTTATAACCCTTTCAGTTTTTACTCATTATTTTATCTATAACTTCTACTGTATGCTTTTCAGAAGTGATCATGACTATATAGTTTTATGCATTTCATGATTCATGACGAAGACTAACCTGAGCCAAAACTGAGCTCCAAAAGCAAAACAAAGGCAATGATTAACAGAAGAAAACGTGGAGAGATTGATGAGAGAGTGAAGATGCGAGCCATCATCTCAGAATGGTGATAATATGCCACTTTGCCTCAGATTCAGAAATCGATGAAATTTTATAGTCACGAGAGAAGGAAAACCCGATTTTATTTTCTTCGATTTCATACTAAAAATTAATGACAGAATGTAACGGGACAACCAAAGAATTTTCTCAAGTAAGAACCAGGATTGATCAAGAAAAAGTATTAGTTTCACCTTGAGAAAAACTGCGTAATCCTGACGTCAATTTGACTTAATTAATTGCTACTATTATAGTTTTCAAAACCATACCCTCTTTGACAATGGTGCATTGAATTCAACGGTTCTTTCCAGTGTATATTTTATCATAGTAGTTTAATAATTACATTTTCCAGTGTATATTCAACGAGGAAAGAAAAGGTTTGCAAAGGAGATTCGTAGATAAGGTATCTCATTTTATTTTATTTTTTTTAATTTAAGAATTTTTTTAAGTTAATTATTTTTTATAAACAATATATTTAATATATTTTTATTAAAAATATTATATACTTCTTTTTTATAGTTTTAGCAAAAAGAATACATGCATATACTCATAATTTTTTTTCTTTTGTAAGAAAAAAATAATTTGAGATGAGTCAAATATGTCCAAAATATGTGGACGAGCTTCAATTTTTCATAAGTTTACTTGTGTATTCGATTTGTAAAATTGTTACAAATAAAAATTTTCAATTAAACAAATTAATTAGTACGATAACCTAATTTAACTGAATTAAAGACTAGTAAAAATTAAGAAATAAATGCAAATAAGTGTTAGATTATTGAAAATATGAAAAAAATGGATTATTGTCTTTAAATCAGTTCCATAAATTTTTTCCCACCAATCCAATTTTACCATTTTTAATTTGAAAATATTTGATTTTATTGTAATTAATTTTAGACTTAATTTCTCTTGTTTAATTCTCTACAAATAGAGGTACGATGACTACACAATCTCAATCTCGAGAGAAGTTGTTATTTGTCTTAATGGCAGATCTTCGTGAAAAATAAGAAGATATTACCCCAAAATTTTATAATTTATATTGACCTCACAAACTTAATTATTATTTTTAAAATTTTATAACTTATATTAACATTTATGATTTTGATCGTTATTAAATATATCATGTGTATATTTATAATTTTGATTTCTCATTCTTTCATATTTTTTTTATCTTTTCATATTTATTTATTATTTATTGATAATATATTATTTGATCCTCCCACTATCAATAATAATCAAGATCCTACACTACGTTGTTTTATCCTCATTTTCCTTGTTGTCGCGCAGATATCCATTGACCAGAAGAACTTTTAACATGTAATGCCAACGTCAAATTTGTTTGTTTAATGATCCACAACGATGTGGAAAAATAAATGGTTTGAACTCCAAATCCCAGAATAGTCAACGATGTGGAAAAATAAATGGTTTGAACTCCAAATCCCAGAATAGTTTGTACGTGTTTGACTGGACTGCAGAGATTGATTATTCATTGCTTGGGCACAACACAAAAACAGAGAAATTAAGAAAAGAAAGAAAGGTGACATGTGATGATAGTGTGAATATGGTACCAATTTAGATGTCAAAATCAAACGAGGATTGAACTTGTTCAATGTTTGGATATGAAAAGTTAAACAAACGAGAGTAAATAAAAACTAATGCCCACATATAACAGAAGTTTTCGTTGCATTAGTGAGAACAAGGAAAAGAAAACCCTAAACAAGAAAGAAGATAACAAACTCATATCGTACAATATGAATTGAAAATGGAGTAAAAAAATGAGTAACTTTTACAGAAAACATTATATCAACACTTTTTTTTTTAAATTACACTAATTCCCTTAAATGTTTGAAAAATAGTACAACGTGTAACTCATACAAAGTTTAGTATAATTTATTTATTCTTCTTCTTATTATTATTATTATTAAATCTAACTAATAAATATTTTTTTGCATTTTATATTGATTTTTTTTAAATATAAAAATTATATATTAAGTATATGAGTTACTTAATATATATATATATATATATATATATATATATATATATATAGACCTTCATTATTGATTATTATTAATAAATAAATATAAAAGGATTAAAAAAATAGTAAAAAAATAAAATTATAAATATATTAAATAATTATTAATTTTAGGAGAAAAAAATTATAAATTATATATGAGAATTATATACTGAAGAGATACTGAAATTTTAAATATATAAGTAAATATATTAAATGTTTATTAAGTTTAAGAGATAAAAATCATAAATTATATGAAAATTACAAAACTTCGTGAGAACCACAGTCCCTCCGTTTCCCAAAAAATCCGCTTACTACTCAAAACAAACAAGTAAAAATTAGAATAAAAAACAGGTCTAATTTTAAATCAAAGGAAATACTGTCTGGAACTTATTTCAGAAGTATGTATGCTTGGTTGCAAACCATCTTTTACTGCGGCTGATCCTTCTATTAAGCTTCATGCTGACAAAAGAAATATTCTTTCTGATACTATATATCAGCTCTTATTTCTTGCCTAACCTCACATGCAGACAAGAAGGATTATTAAATATTTGAAAAATGATCCTAGTTTTGGTCTCTTATGTTTTTTAATACGTACTCTTCTCAAAGTCTAAGTTTATTCTGATTCTAATTGAGCAACCTGTTTGACTACTCAATGTTTAATATCACGTTTTTGTATTTTCTTAGGCACATCCTTAATTGCTTAGAAATTCAAGAAACAAACCAGTATTTCTAACTCATCCTTTTAGGTTAAGTACATAGAGCATTAATTTCTTCAACATATGAATTGTAGTGACTCTAGTTTTTGTTTTGGGATCTTCATGGTCATGTCCCAACTCCTTATTCCATGTTTTGTAATAACAACTTAACCATTCAAATTGCTAATAATCTCACATTTCATGAAAATAACAAAATAAAAGATTGATTGTCATATCTAACAAAAAAAAAATACAAAATAACCTTATAAGATTCATACATATTCTTTCAACAAATCAATTAACTGATTAGTTTATACCAATGCTCATCGTCCATCTATTTTCACTTCTGTTATCTCAAAGCTGAACGCGTTCATAATATTGATACTTATCTTAAGAAGGATGATAGAAATGTTATTCTGTTAGCTTTGATAATATCTTCTCCCCCTTTTCTCTACAGTATATTATATTAGTTTGTTAGTTGTTACGTTTCCTTCGTTCTTACTTGCTTTTTTATATATTCAAACATCCATCCCTTGAATTGATCAAGAAAAACTATTAACTTCACCATGACAAAAACTGCGTTATTGTGACGTTAATTTGACATAATTAATTGCTACTATTAGTTTTCAAAACCATAGCGAACCCTCTTTGACAATGGTGCATTGAATTCAACTGTTCCTTCCAACACTTACTGTAGTAATTTATTTTTAGGTTTTAATTGATAAAATTTTTATTTTATCATAGTAGTTTAATAATTACATTTTCCAGTGTACGTTGAATAAGGAAAGAAAAGGTATGCAAAGAAAAAGAAAAGGAGATTGGTAGCAGAATAAGGAAAGCTACAAACATAGAAGAAACACTCATATCCCACCCATCTTCCAGTGTATGTTGAAGGCTGATCAAACCAGATTCTCATGCATGAGAATTTATAATGCATGGAGTCAATCTTAATAATTACATTTATCGGAGCTTTTTCAATGAAATTTCCAGTAGATAAACGGCAATAACTTATGTTGAAATGGTAGGTATTGTTTTGTACATTAGGCAACATGATATTATGGTAATAAAAATAGAAGACTGTGCCACTAGTTTCACCAGAAACAATATTAGCTCCAATTGGCATATTCTCACAATTTTATGGCAAAATAGAAGGTTTGGTTCAGTACATGGTCTTGCTTAGCAATTGAAATTAAAAGTAATCTCTACAATTTTTTTATTTTAATTCACCTAATCATCTTCTAGAATAAGCATCATGTTATCTTACAAGATCAAAATACTGACATATATATTTAAATAATATGATTTATATATATATATATATATATATAAAGTTACTCATATTAGTCTACTTCCCAATAGATTAGTCAAATGTATATTTAAAGGTTCGTATAATTTAATATTGCTTATCAAGAACAAAAACTCAGGAGGCAATTTGAGGATTTTGTTTTTCGTTTTTGTTCATTTGCTAGAAAGTAAGTGTCACTTCTTTATTAATAATTGTGACAATTTTGTCGAGGAAATTTCATTGAAAGCTCAAATGCAAGTAACATTGGCTTCATTGTTCTGGTGAGATTTATAAAATTAGGTTGCTATACGACTCTCTGAAGCAGTGCTTGAACATGGCTTGGAGCAGTCCTTGTTGTATATCTGTACCTTTTCTTATTCTGCTAATAGTTTTTCTTTCTTTCTTGCCACACCTTACTCCAGTTAGCGAAGGTTTGTCTATCTCATTCACCAGATTATACTTACTGTTTGATAGATGAATTGATTAGGCCATGTTGGTGTTTAATATGTAAAAGCGAACTTTCATGAATCCAGAAACATATACATCTTCAAGTGTTAACAATTTCTTGTGATTTGAATCTGCAGACCTGAAAATGAGAAAATTGGGTACCATGCCAAGTCCACCTCCTTCACCCAGATTTGCGAATCCACTAATTCCTGGTGGTCATCATCCTGGTCCTCCATTATACATCCGTCATTAGCTTTTCATGTTGTTTAATCCCTCAAATAGTCTCAACCTTTCTTTCATATTCTCATTTTCTTTATAAATCTCTATTGTCTTAGGTTTTACGTATGTATACCACCTCCATGTGATGATTTGTTTTACAATTTTAATTTGTCATGCTTTATTTTTAAGACCTATCGATGGATCAATTAAAAGTATTTATATATTATTTTTTTATATCGATTCTTAAGGACATTTTTAATTCAAGGTATTTATAAATAATATATTTTCACTTTAAATAAAACTTGTTATTACATCATTCTTAAACAATTCATATTAAATATTTATAAATTTTGTTCCAAGGCTAATTTTTATAAACGCCTATATTTTTATATTATTTATATTTATATTTTGCCTTTTACAATTTAAAAATAATTTAATTATTATAATTACATATGAATTTAATATAATATTTTAACATAAAAAATAATTGAATAATTTGCTCATTTATTTTAATTTTGATACGTATAAAAATATTTTCTATCAAAAATAAAGAAGTTATATAATTAAAAAATAACAAAAATTATTAAATATGTCCTGATTTTTATAATTTTTATGTCCAAAATGATCAAATATATTTTTCCAAGTTAGGAAAGACCCCGTGAAAAATAATTTTACATTGTAAATAAATATTAATTTTTATATACTGAATTTCAATATTTTAGAATAGAAATTTTTATAAAAAAAATAAAATTTTAATAATTTTTTAAATTTTGCATATGATTAATATTTTAATTTCAAAATTTCAAACATAAAAGACTAATAATAACAAAATAAATAACTAATTAATTTTTTTACCATTAAAAGGAAAATAAAAATCTACAACATTAAATTTTGGGAGATGATTTCTAATGAGAATATTTTAGAAAAAATATATGTGAAATGATTTATTTATTTAAGTAACGTTGTTCCTATAAACAATATTACGAACATTTATGAAATTCTTCTTATCAAGTAGATCAATACAATTATTCATTTGGTATAGATATTTTTTTTATTAAGCAACTAGTTAAGTAGCTATGTTAGCATACTCTAAACAATATAAAATATAAATGTAAAGGGAAGATAAAGAATGTTAGACTTAAAAGGTAAAGGAACATCGAAACATGTTTTTATATTTATACTTGACATTTAATCATCATATATATATATATATATATATATATATATATATGTGTTTTTCCTGATAAATTAAGTATAAAATTAAGCAACGGTATCTAGGATCGAGAATATCCCGACCTCATGTCCGTTATGGTATGCATTGTTTTTTTTAGAATTCTTATCCGTTAAACAAAAAGAGAATTATGTATATAAATTATCATTGATCTCAACTTCTATGTGAGACGTACCAAAACACTATCATATTAATATAAATTTTATATATATATATATATATATATATATATATATATATATATATATATATATATATATATATATATCCTGATAAATTAGGTATAAAATGAAGAAATGGAATTGGAAAGCAAGAAACTACCATATGGTGATACAAATCATCTTTATAACAAAAATATTAAGTAATCAATTTTTTATTTTCTTCGGGAGCTCTAAATTGAACCAAAATTAAAAAAATGGTTTTTATTTCAATAATTATAACCATGGTATTTTTCTCATCTATTAAATTAAAATCAACGAAAGGTTTACAATATTTCTTTGATTTTATTTTAAAATAATATAAAATTAAAGCTTTGAAATATCACTATCACAAGATTTAAAACTAAATCTCTCTCTTAATGTGTAAATGCATCATGCCTACTACTATGTTACGTCATCATAATTCTTGCTAAATAGTTGAATATATTTTAATCAAACATTTAAAATATAATAACGTATTTTTTAGGGTATAGACTTCAATGGGATGTTTGATCAAAACTATCGAGGATATTTGCCCTAAAATAAAATATGAACCTCAAATTTATTAATTAATTTCGTTTTTGTTTAGATGTGAATGAATCTAAAGACTAGTCAGATTCAAAAAGGGTTTAGGAAAAATCTTGTCAATTACTGTTTTTTTTTTAATATTTGATTTTAGGTTTATATCAAAATATATAAGGAGTTATAAAAAGTGAATAAATATTAGGAAAAGGATTTTCTTTTTACACCCAAAATTTTTCAAACATCTTATAAATAATTTTAAAATAATATTATAAGATAGATAAAAAATTGATTGTTGGATATATATTTGATAAAGAATAATTGTTCATGTGTATCATGATTCTAAAAAGTAATAATATTGACCAGAAAGGTGTAATGGGAAAAATGAATTTGCATAAAGAAGGTTGTTAGGAAGAGAATGCAAAAAGTTTAAGAAGCAAATAAAGAAGTTTACACCATTAATTGACCGTTGACCTTTGATCAATTTCCACTAACAATATTTTTATATTACATTTTCTGGTAGCAAATTCTTCATTATTAGTAACTAGGGTTATTTTCTCACAGATATATTTCATTGAAAGTCAAATATATGTAACGGTGACTCCTTCTCTTCCATAAATAAACAAATGAAGAAACTCTGACTCCATTGCTTCCATGGCAGTTATAAATTTCAGTGACCGTGAAGCAGAGCTGGTATATTAGCTTAACTTACACTGGGAAATGGCTCGATTAAGCAGTCTTTGTTCTCTATCAGCACCCTTTCTTATTCTGCTAATAATCACCTTTACTTTCATTGCTCAGATTACTCCAGTTAGTGCAGGTTCGTAGATTTTAATAGTTCCATGAATGTTTTCCACACACAAAAACATATATAAATTGAAGTAACTGTGGTTGATTATTTTGCAGATCTGAAAATGAGAAAATTAGGTCCTGTGCCAAGTCCACCTCCTCCACCAAGGTTTGGTTCGCCAAAGCAACCTGGTCATCCTCCATCCATCTTCTAATTGTTCTTGTTATTTGATCCTTGCAAGTTGCAACATTACATTAAATCATACAAGCTTCAAGCTTACTTTTCAACACCTTTACTGTACTATCTTTTTTATCTAAATCACATCATTACATGATTTACTGAAGATACCATTCCAACCATATCAGTATCTCATCATGTTGTTGCGCTAAACTCACTTTGCATCATGCGAAGAAATTGTCATTAAATAATCCTTATCTCATACTAAAATGATTAATTCATGTATATATTTTGACATAATTAGTATCGCAATAGGTAAAGAAAATGGGAACAAAGAAACGAAGTTAAATGATAAATAGTTAAAGAAATAAATCAAAACATAATACAACGTTAGACAGCATGCAACAAACTTACTGCAGAAATAACATGTGTCATCTGTGTGTAGTACAATGTCTCAGCAAAACATGTTAAATTGTTCTGCAAGATTCTATTCATTTTTTTTTTTTTCTAATTCCATTCAAACTGTATTGATTTAAAGTTAATTGGATTCTCTGAGTCAAATCTCAATTTTATTTCTGAATAAAGAAAAGACTGAGTTAAAAGTATTGTTGGGTATTCCAGACTACGACTTTTTCTCCTAATAAGGACAAAAGGTGATAATATAGAATAATGTTCCCCACTTACCATCCAATGTGTTTCAAATAACACTATTTGAAAGTTGATCTGGTCTTAAAAAATTGGTAATAATAATATGTTTCGTGTGGAGAGGCTCACCAAGTCTTTGGTCCCTCATGAGAGGGTATACAACACCAACTGCTAAAGCCAACAATATAATATAATTCCCTTGACTTTCACTTGATTCTGTAATTTTATTTCATTAATACTATATGATTGTTATAATATTGTACATATTATTGAATAGCACAAATGTGTTTTGATCAAATGATTAATAAAAACTATCAAAAGGTTTGAATATCATCAATTAAATATTTAAAATCACCAGATTCAACCCTATAGTAATGAATATTTTTTTTTTCAATTTGAATGAGAATGCATGTTGTTATTATATAAAAAAAAAAAGATTTAATTTTCAGATTTATTTACTTTCTTTTAATTCGTTTATGACTTGTTTTGTAGAAAATATTTCATGATATAGTGGTGAGAGTTTAAGTAGATTATATGGCATCATAGATTCAAATTCTATCATCATAATATACATTAAAAAAATTGTTTTGTTAAATATATTAATTAAGCAGATATGTAATTAATAACTATCAAGAGCCTTTATATAATAATTATTTTCGTACAAAAGTTATAATTATTTTTAAAAGTTGTCGAATAATTTTTTTCTTGGGGAGAAGTTGTTTTCACTTGGATGGTGACCAATTCGTTTATATGAAAATGACATATCAAATTATATCAATTAATGGTCAAAAACGACTATGGCATACCAAATAGATGCTAGTTATGATCATAGTTTCTTTTAGGTAAAATTTCTATTTTCCCTTGCTAATAATGCACAATTGTGTTTTCACCATGTCTACATAATCCGTACAACTAATATATATATATATATATATATATATATATATATATTATAATTAAGTCTGTCTATCACTTTCTATTAAAAAAAAAAGAAAAAAAAACTCTTCCCACTAATAATTTGAAGTTTAGAATAAGTTTAAAAGATAAAAAAATTGGAAATTTTTTTATTTCAAATTAAACGTGAGAATATTATTTAAAATGATTTAATATATTCACTTCATCAAGATTTTAAAAAGGAAAATGAGAATCTAAAATTTTTAGATGAAATAAAATGATTGTTCTGTCTTCTGAATTTTTCAAGCTACTAATTAATCATGCATCCTTTCTTCTTTAATCTTTATTTTTTTCTAAATTCTTCCACAGAAATTTTTTAATTGTCAAAGTAAACGTAATACAATTTGATATGTTCTTACATATCTATCATTCCAGTTAGGCCAACCACTAGGCCAAGTATTTTAATTAGTTTCTTTCTTTCTCTCTCTCTCACCACTAAGTTCATGAACGTAATATTTTTAGAGTAAAACCAAATTTATATGATTAAATTAAACTTTTTAATGTAATCAAATAAAATTAGAATACTGAAAAGATGTATAAGGATTGATCCACAACGAGAATTTATACAATAACGTTCAAATTTTTTATACCATTTTGTTGGAATGGTCTTTATAGCATGTTGCGACAATACTCCAAGAAGTAGTCTTGCTTATGCCCTGCCCAAAACACAAAAATAAAATATGAGAAAAGAAAAACGTAAAATATTAATTTGGTGCAAATTTAAAATGCAATTCCACCCAACACCATTGTATCTCATACCACTTGTTAGGTAATTACGAGAGGAAACTCATCATCTTCAATTTTTGTATGCGTTGTTCAATTTTAATTTTTTTTATATAAAATTTTGAATTTCAACGCATACTTAAACTCCACGTAATATACAATTTGAGATCTCCCTCAAGAATATGAGAAATCAAGTTTGAAATTTCATATGAATCCAAAACAAACATGAACAAATTAACCAAACAAACTCAATGTATGTCTCAGGAGATTAAAGAGTTGACATTACAAGTATGGTAGGAAATACAAACATCTTAGTAAACCATGTGGTTGCATGATGCTAGTCAAGGGTTTGGTAGCATCAACATATGTTTGTGATTTTGTGAAATATGAAGAAATGTGTTGTGGTGGATCAGATCACATGATGGAGCAAGGATTATCAGGGCATGAATCGTAATAAACTACTTGGGGAGGACAAGGGTAGTAACAAGGTTGATAGGGTACATAGCATTTGTGACAGGTGCACCATTTAGGGCACGGTGAAGGAGTCTTACAATAACCTTTGCAGTTGGAGCTGTGGCAATTGGAGCATGACTCACAGTCCCCATCGCACTTAGGGCTCTCACAGTTAAGACAAATGATGCAACACTCGCCATTGCAGGTGGTGCTTTCGCACTTGGAGCAGAAGATGGTGTCAATGTCACACTTACCATGGCAACTCGAGCTTTTGCACTTTTTGCACAGAGCAGCATGCAACATCTTCTTCAGCTTCTCTTCCCTTTCTTTCCTCTTCTTCTCCTCCTCCTCATCCTTCTTCTTCTTCTCCTCGTCCTTCTTCTTCTTCTCGTCTTCCGCCTTCTTCAGATCCTCCACCGTCACAATCACCACCGACCGGAACTTCTTCTTCAGCTGGTTCGCCAAGCAAACCGTGTCCACGTTTATCCCGCTCACCGCCACGCGGTCGCTGTCATCGCCTTCCAGGGCCACCGAAGTCACACCTGAGAGATGAATGGATATTGAATTTCAATCCAGATTTTCGGACAAACACATGCCCTAATTAAGATTTTCGTGTATCTATACTTTTCACCACGTAATTGAGATTTCAAATTTACATGAAATAATTCATAATATTTAATTACGTGTTTTCTGAGAAGATAGGTGAAGATTGCCATCATCCTAAACCATATAATATTAATGCCTTCTAAAAATTTATTTTGTCTAGTTATATCATTATTGACTAGTGGGTAAAAAAAATAGTTTTTTTTTTCGCACAAAATACTAAAATAATACAAGCTATATAACATAAATTTTCAACAAAATCTAAAAGCAAAGTAATTAAATTATCCATTAACACATCATAAATTAAATCAATCATGTTGTTCATCATCCATTTCAATAAAATTAGATGCATTCTGGGTAGAACTCTCCTCGTCCACTTTTCATTGTTGTCACTTCTTAATTATTAAGATGAGTTAGTTTTAATTTTAGCAGGAAAACAATGTTAAAATTAACTAACAAACAATGTTTTTTCCTTCATATAGAACAAAATGAAGATTTGTCATTTTCCATATATATGTTAAAAGTTAAGTTACCAAATAGAACTCTAATTGTATATATAACTAATTAATTTCGCCATTTATATGTTTTATATGGATAATATGAGTATTAATTTTATGACTTATCCTCTGAAAGAAACTTATTTTGCATAAAGGGATTGACATGTGATGTTCACCTGGTACCTCTGCTGCAATTTTGAGGGCTTTGTTTCTGCATTTGTCACAGTCCATTTGCAGCTTGATAACTATTTTTTGCTGTAGTGTATTTACACATGTTATTAGATATAAGTTCTAGGGAATTTATCAAGAAAAAAGAGAGAGAGAGAGAGAGAGAAAAAAAAGCAAAACTAAAATTGGTTATCTTATTAAGTGAACGGATCATACCTTCATGGTTGCTTAATTGAATCAAAAGGTAACTTCTTGCTCTTGTAATCGAAAAAAACCAAAGGGTGTCTTGGTGTTTGTCTTGAGCTTTGGAACTGAGTGAGCACATAATTGTTTATATAATCATAATATAAATGGTGGAGACTATAAAATGATTTTTTCAAAAAAAATTGTAAAATAGGTTTGTTGACTTGAGTGGTGGCTGACCAATGAGAATGACATGTTAGCTAACTGGATTAGGATTGGAATTTGTGCACCAAAAGTCACATTCAAACAACCTACACTTCAATATGATTTTATTTTTATACCACTAATCAAGTTGTTTTATTCTTCAATGCTTCTTAATCCATGATCCAATTTGTGTTTAAGACATGTTGTTTCAATACTTGAAATTATTATTATACACATTTAACTTAACTGTAAGTTTTTTTTTTTTTTTAAATGGAAAGAAGAAAAAAATGTTAAATAAACGAAAGAGGGCAGTAGGTAACACTATTTCTTTAAGTCACTTGCGTGTACGTAGTAACTTGGAAATGTTCATCAGAAAAACTTGACTCAAATTATAATCACTAATTCATATTTCTAGTTAGCTTCGCTTTTGTTTGGATGAAAAAAAGTATAAAAGGTAATTTATTTTTACAAAAAATTTGAAATATTTTATAAGACGAGATGTTGTTTATGTGTAAAATGTGGAAGAAAAATTTTAATTTTAAGAATTTATGATAATAATTTAATTATTTAAAATTATAAAATAAAAAAAATTATAAATTTTTATATTTTTTTGTCTATATCATGTCTTTAACTTAATCATGATAAAATATTTTTATTTTCTCTCAATTGAGATTTTAACTTTGTTTACTCAACTCTTTTTAATTTGATCTGTCTTATATATCCGATCTTTTACTCTAATAAACTTAACTTCATACTATTAACCTCAACTTATTTTGATTTATTCAACATGTCTTGATGTTTCATAAACGGCTTAATCTAAAATAATTTTATTATTTTGATCTAATTCAACCTTAACTTAATCAAACTCACTTTGAATAAATTTGACTTAGATCGAGAAATCATGAATATACTTAGATTGAATAATCTTATAATGACCGAACTCAATCTATTTTTACCCTGGAGCAAGGATCAAATCTAGCCAGTTAATAAATTTACATGTATAGTAATAAAAATTATTAAAATTTGTAACAATTGAAATAGTCTATTAAAGAAAAAATTAAATAAATTAATTTTTTTTCAAACAAAGTATTTAAAAAATTAAACAATTTGAAATTAGAGAAATTCAAATTTCTTTAAATTTATTAAAAATTATAAAATTCTTATTCGAACAGAACGTGTGTTTTATATGAGAGTGAAACCAAAAGAAATAGATAAATTTACCATTTGACAAATTTCTAGTTGTTAATATATTATTAAATATTAATTTCTTAATTATTAACATTTGATTGAAAAAAAAAAGAAAGTAAGCATCCACACACATAATTAAGTTAACTAACACGTACAAATATTAAATATTTATATTTGATACATGAACGACAAATTTGTTCAAAAAAAAAAAGTATGGTCTCATAAAGAAACGAAAAAGAAAAACATATGGTCCCCAAACTCTGTTTATACTAATAAATAATGTTGCACAATAAAGTCTTTGAAGCCAAGTCAATACACATACATTGACTAACATCGAAAATTAAGAGATTCCAAATTCATCTTGTTATTTGTACATCACTACAAGGAATCCAACCCTTCTTATATTAATGCCATTATTCATTACCAATCATTCATTGATGCCACTTTTATATGTTAAATTAAACCCTAATTACTCTCCTTAATCATTTTAAATAAATCCGTACTAATATTCATCAACAGAAACAAACACGTCACGAACAACCTAGTTCAAAAGTATGGATTAATTTGGATTCTTCTTTTAGTGTTTTGTAAAATATTTTTTACTTTTTAAAATTTTTAAATTTGTTTTGTATTCTTGTTTTGTAGTTTTCCATTTAAAATAAAAATTAATAAAATATATATTTTATTTTATTAACAATACGCGCGTGTTCACCTACTATGTTACATATATTTCGTTATTTATTTATTTCATATATATAATTTATTATTAAAATTATTTTTAAAAACTACAAAGGAAAACAAACATATCCTTATATTAATCTCAACTTGTTAAATACATGACATAGATTTATATTTATGAAATCAATATATAAATTACGATTTCGTTAATCAAGCCCACAAATGGAATTATTGTAATTAAGAAAAGGAGAATGATTTTTATTAAATTTCCAAAAGAAAAAGTCCAACACTATATAAACATTGCAAAGAGAAAAAAAGCTAGCAAGCAAACATGTTCTCGATAGTTTAGTTTTCTAACATTTTTATAAATAACAAAAAGAAAAAAAATATTCTTTATTATTTGTATTTGCATATATTTATATAAAATAAAAATATATAACTTGATCCCTTAATTAATTAATTTTTCCTATTAAATCATTGAACATAAAAAAAAGCATGATATAGGAAGAATTATGTGTAAGAAACTCAATTCTAAGAATTTTGTGGTATTGAATTTCTTATATATATATATATATATATATATTAAAAAATTAGAAAGAAAGAAAGTACATTGACTAATAACAAGTCAATTCATTGGGAGCAAGTTGGTGTTGAGTAGGACCATACAGGGTTGGATGGCAGTGAAATATATCCTAAAAATGTATGTATCAATTTGATAGAAAAAAAAATTATAACTTGAAGTTTGAAAATGTTGATTATAATAATATTGAACTAAAGTGCAGAATGTTACCCTTTCCTATAAAAAATTCATTAAAATTATACAAAATTGAGATTGAAAACAATACTTGTTAAAAGGAAAACAATTCATTGGAGGGTGAACTTAGATAACTGAACCCAAAAGAAAACATATTCAACCCAAAATTTAGGCCCAACATGTAGCAGCCCAAGTCTACAAAACATAAAAGATAAAAATAAAAAACAAAAAAAGAGGAAGAATTCTTATTTTCTACCTGTTAAGATTTCTCCATTAACCTTTGATGGGAACAGTTTCAACAGTGCTCAGATTTCATGGTTGCCAAGCATTTATGTTTGCATTGAAACAAGAAAATAATACAACATTTTTCTTTTCAATTGTTTGAATGAGTGGTAAAGAAAGTGGAATGAAATAAAAAACATAAAAATATTGTATTTTAATTTTAAATTTTAGTTTTTAATATTTTTTCCCATGATTTAAAATGATTTATTATGCCTTTTACAATACATCTATGTAACAGTGAGTAAAAATATCATATGAAAAAAACTGATGAAAACAATAGGTAAGGATACCATAATTATATAATTTATTAGACTATACAGAAATGTTTGACTTTTCTTTAAGTTATAGAAAAAAATCAATATATTTTAGTTAATTCCCGAAATTAAATTTTTTTTTTTTTCAAAATAAGTTAATTTAGCACCAAATTAAGTAGTTGATAACTCTTTCGATAACAAGTCCTTCCTAACACATACCATTTCACTTTCAAGTTTTAGACAGCACACAGAACTTAACTATGATATACAAACTCATAAATGTCCGCCATGATTCCTTGTCTTCAAGCTTTATCTACCACTAACAAGAACATGAAATTATGCATAGTTGTAGCTCTGCCATGTTATAATTATAAGGAAAATATAACTCCAAATTAAAAAAATAAAATAAAATAAGAAAGAGATATTAGCTCAACCAAGAACATGACCTTTCTTTCTTTCCATGGTGATAGTTGGTGGTTGATTATATGAACCAAGTAATACATTTTGTTTTTAACCAGAAATATTTTCTGACTGAAAGTCAAAAGTTAATCTTTGAGATGCAGAAGTTTATTTAAAAAAACTTGATATTCTTTTTGATACACGTAAACACCAAGAAAGAAGTAAGAAAGGAGGAAAAAAACACATAATTTTTACATAACATTTTTACACAAATGCATCCTTGATTTGGTGCATGAGTGCTTCAAAAGCTCAAGTTTGATGAAGCTATGAGGAGCTGAACTTCATCGTCATGGATCTTGTTGAGGAAGCAAATTTCCCCATTGTTCAAGTGCGCAACATGTTCAGCCAAACTAAGCATACGCTCCACATAAGCATTTCTCAACCTTTTCCAGATATTTATGGATAACCTACTAATCTTTGGTTGATGAACTCTGGGTGTGCCTTCAACCATTTTCACCTTTGGCCTTAACATACCAACATTCTCAACACCATCACTTTCCTCTGTGCTGCTATTAAGCTTATGATATGCTCCTTTTCTTCTGTGCTTCTTCATCCTTCCACACACAGGAACAAAATCAACAATCTCCATGTCGTACTACTTGTGTGATGTCTGCAAAAGAGAGAGAGAGAGAGTGAGCAAGAGCCTCGCAGAAACAAAAAGTGATTGATGCAAAAATGTGGATGATAATATACTGCATAAACCAAAGGCAAAGGTAGAAGAAGTGAGAAAACTATTACTCTTTATTAACAATGTTTTCTATAATATGGCATCATATTAAAATAAGTGTTACTCATTAAAGGTGTGTGATGAAGTGATGGAGACAGAAGAAAGGGAGAAGAGATGGACCACAACAGTGATGTGTGTGATGAAGTACATAGATACATGTGTAAGACCCTTTTGTGAAAGGAAAAACAGATGATTGGCTTTAAATTGCAATGCACCCTCTGTCAGAGGACTCTCTTTGCCTAATTCAATAAGCCAACTAACATGAGGAGGTGGTGGTTGGCTTGCCTTCACAAAATATTACTAATTTTCCTCAATTTATGATGCATGCATCGTTAATGTTTTGTTTTTCTAGTAGGTTTGAACAAACTTTTACACAAATTTAGTCTTTTTTTTTTATTATTTCACTAATGTTTGAAGAACTTATGATTTTTTTAATGTGAAAATTGTTAGAAAGATTTAAATATAATTTCAATAGTTTTGTAGAAAGTAGCTATGATTTTCAAAAGGATTAAAATTTTCCAATATCGAGTGAATTTTGATATTTAGTTAATGAATTTGGTTGTTAAAAAGTTTTGAAGTATAGAGTGAATATTTGGTTGCTCAAAATTTGTAAGGTTAAGTAATTCTAGTATACTGTCAATATACGTCTTACAATTCCTAAAAGAAAATATTTTACATAATAATAAATAATAGAAATTTATGTAAAATATTAATAGTATATATTTACTTATAATTTTTAATATGTTAACACTTTTTATTAATAATTAAATTATAAATTATGCTAGACTAAAATTATTTAATTTTAAAAATTTGAATACTAAATGTTGGTGCTTTCATTGTTTTTAATGACATGTAGATATGACAAATTTTTGAAAATTGAATGAGAATTATTAACCCGAGAAACCAACTTCTTTTATGTCTATATTAATGGAGCTTTGTTTTTACGAAACGATAATTCAAAAGATTGTAAAAAATGTGATTTTTTTTAATGTTGAAATGAAATTGATATATTAATTTTATAAAGAGATTTAAGCTTTGACACCCTAAATTTATGACAAGAAAAAATCATTTAAGATTTAGCTCTTTGCACATTAATTTTTATTTATTTATGTATTTTAGTGTTGGTGTTACTAACAACTGAACAAGATTTTACCATGTTCCTTTTAAAGAAAAATAAATGTTCATAACTTTGTAAAATTAAAGAATGTCATCTAACTCAGTTCAGTGACATTATTATCGTAATCAATTTATCAATTATTGGCTTTGTTGCTATTTTGTTGAAACTATTAATTCATGTCATTATAGGTTTTCATCAATCTCAATCATATATACATACTTACTGAAATTCATGAATTAAGGTTAATTTTTTTTATTTTTAATTATGAATAAAACAAATTTGACTTACTTAATATATTATTAAATATTTTTTAAAAATTTATATGATCTTTTCCGATTCAAAAAATATTATTGAGTTTAAATGGTGCAACTTAAGCATTTTATTTGCTGTGTTTGATGTACTTTGAAACAAAGTCTAGTTGAACCAATCGAACATCATTCATTTTCGTCAGAAGAGTTACACAACTTTTCAACAGAAATAGTTTTTTTTTTTTTTAAATGTAATGTGTAATTTGTTGTTCTAATCTGTCCGAAATATTGTACAAGCAATAATTTATCTTATTAAAAATCATTTTTATTGGAACAAGATCAAAACTTTTTTTTTTCAATCTTTCGGATATTTTGTTCATATTTTATTCATGAATATTGTTCTTGTTATAAATAGTATTCATATTTTATTTCTTATTAAAAATCTTTAAATGTAAAGGGTTAGATGAAATGTGACAAAAAGAGAAAAAAAATGTCATTTTCCTTTTTTAGCAAATGAATATTAAAAGTGTACAAGGTGAAACACTCAAAGTTGTCTTTGAAATTGCACTTTTTGTGTGTGTAGAATTCGTTTAAATAATTAGAACAGGAATGGAAAACAATGTCTTCATTGCCTGTAACCTTTATGGTTTTGATTGGTTGTTGGTTGACACGACTTTTGTTCATCTTCCTTTGGTAATCTAACATCCTTTGGTAAACAAACTTTTTAAATCTTCATATTGAAGTATTTTATAGAATACTAATTTAAATAACTTTAAAAACTACATTACCCTTTTCAATTGTTGGCTTAAACATAACATGATTTTGATTCAAACATTGTGTGTCTGTGCATGCATGGTTCATAATTATAATCTTCATGTGCTTGGTTCTGTGTAAAATACCATGCAGTAAAAGAAGTCAGCGAAGAGAAACAAATAAAAAGCTACTACTTTTAGAGATCACATATTAATTTATTACATAATAGCAATATTAATTGCAGTTGCAGCATAAACGGGAGAAGTTACATAAGTGGAACATGAGTTATGAAATAGCATGTCTGACTTTTATTTCAAACATGTAATCATTTTACTTTATAATATTTATTTTATTAGTCTAATGTTTTAATGTTAAAACTTAAAAAGAAAATATATGACTGTTAACATGACAATTAATTTAAGTATGAAGACATGGGTAAGTTTTAGTTTAACTTGGTTAAAACTTTTCTTGTTTTATACATATATATGAACATGAACACAAGTTTATTGGGAGCATTGTTGAGCTGGTCTCTAAGGAGATTAATTGTGTTCCTTTACCTATAGTGGATCAGTGAGTTGGAATAGACTCAAAACTGGTAGAGATAGGGAAGTTTTGGAGGTTGGATATGATGATGTTGTCCACATGATAAGATCCATGGAATGGATAGGGTGAGAAAACCAAAACTTGTTCTAGCAATTTATATTTTGATTACTTGCATTTTGATGAATCATCTTTTCGTGAGAGAAGAATAAAACAAATTAGTTAAAAAGCCTCTAAACATCAACTCAACTAAATGGCAAGAAGAAGCTTCAACTATACAAGAAGGTTCTCTTGATTTTTGGTGATGTTGACAAGTGCATGCATTTGTCAGAAGACTTATTGGTTTGATCTTAGCAGCAGAGTCATCATTACCACTCGGGAACTGCTAGAATCTTACGAGGTTGAAAGCACTATGAGGTGAAGGAATTGAATGCGAAAGTTTAGTTATGTATAAATTAATTTGTAAAAAAAAATTCTAAGAAAATATTTTTAAATTAACATAAAATATTTTTTTTCGTCAAAATATTTATAGTGAAATTTAGTAAGATACACTTTCAAACAGTTGGAAATTTTGTTTTGTTCTGAAGTTATCAATTAGCCCTAGTTGTTCTTTAACTAATCTTGATGAAGAAATTTCAACTGTGGTGTTGTTTTTAGTCTCACATCAATTCAACAACTGTTAGTTGTACAGAACAGAAGCCACATCTGTAATGTCAATGTTGAATAAGCAAATGCTCTATGATGTTTTGGACCCTTTCAACTTGAAATTTCACCACCTCATCCTCTTTAGTGCAAAATATGGAGAAAGTAACTCTATGTAGAGAGAGACCTCATATCTCCAGCAGAGAGAAGCAAAAACAATGAGCTTATGTAAAGATTAAAATATTCATAATCTTAACAAATTCCAAGCAGTAATTGGTATTGAAAACTAGTCAAGGCTTGCAGATTGATGGAACAGAGTGCAAGCCTTGGCTGGTTGCATGCGTTTAATAAACTTTTGTTTTGTTAGGAAAAGTATAAAGGGTTATACATGTCAACTAGATTTGTATCAAATCATATCAGAAATAATATTATAATAGCAGTAGCAGGTTCTGATTTTGAGGATGCACAAACAAACTCGCAAATTCCTAATCGTAGGACTTCTCATAGCATCATATCAGCCACCAAATTGTGGGGACTGATTTTACTCTCAGCTTATCCATTCAAATATTCTCTCAAATGACAAAACTTTTTGACCACTGATGGTGCTGTGAATGAAATGATGGAGAATTGTTTATAATAAAAAAAATCATTTTTGGTCTAAAAATATGAAAATTTTGAACACTTAACAAGAGGAGAAAAAAATATTACAAAAATGAAGCACTCCAACCAATGAATGTGATGTGAGAACCAAGAACTGAATGTGACTGGTAACCCCACAATGAGAGATCAGTCTCTAATAATGTAACACAATTCAATGAATAAAAAATTGATGCAGCAAAGTAATGAAGTGGCCTTGTTTTGTGTTGACCATGTTACTCTCTCCTATAGTTGCTACCTTGGGTTGTGTTATTCTGAAGCAGCCCCCTCGTGCCTGCCTGAGAGGAAGCCAACTTAAAAGGACAACAAGTCAAGAAAATGAATTAGCATCGCAGGTTGCGTTTAGGACCAGCCCATTCAAGCTGTAAATATGCAGGGTCTGCACAAGTACCAATACATCATCACCATGTGCATGTGCTTCTTCAATTCCCTTGCATCCAAGGGAATATACAGAGAAGCAATGGAAAGGGTATAAGGAGACAAATGTTGTCATTCATGAGATTCAAACCACATGGCTCATGGAAGACTATTTAACCCTCCATTGTTCCTTTTTTTAAGGTTTCATTTACCTTTGTTGTTTTCAGTGTTTTATATGTCAGGTTTTATTTTTTCTCAATTTTTTTCTTCATATGAAGGTGTTTGTTTGATAAAAGAAAGAGATATGTTCTGATATTTAGAAGAATGTGACCAAAATTAAGGAGTAAATTTGTTTATTAAATATTAAGAGAAGACTTGGACCAGAGACATGAATCCAAAATGCAAATTGGATAACCACGAAGAGCCTAATAAACTAGTAATCAAGTCTTTGAAAATGCATCAGCACTAAAATTTGGTAGAGAAAACTTTATTATCTTTAGTGGTTTCATTTTTTATGAGCTCAAATAGTCAAACAAAAAAAATGTAATTAGATAAAGTTCACACAATTTTGTCTCGATCACAATCACTTGCTCATATCATTATGGCAAGAAATATTAAACAAAAGAATACTTTATTTTGGAAAATTATATTAAAGTTGACTTTAAATTTATATTATAAATAGTCTAACAAGAAAGGTTATTGCAAAGAATGAGATGCCAAATAATTCTTCTTTTCCTTGAATCCTTCTTGTAGGAGATTATATGTGTGGACAAATATTATATGAATTACTCCATCACAAACTAAACACTAAAATAATCTTATAAAAGCTTTCCTTAAGATATTACTCATTATTTTGGTATTACCCATTGCATCAATCAACTCTTTTTCTAACATGAAGAATTAGTATATATAAAAAGCAATCTATTTAATAAAGAATTATGTGTTCAACATTGAAACTTCGTAATAACTACAATCACAAAACTTCTAATTTAATGAGTTAAAAATATCATAATGTAAGCTTGTTAGAATAATTACAACCAGAATATGAAAAATTATATTTTTGAACTAATGAATTAGAAAGCAACTCTCACTCAATGAAATAAAATAATGATACAAGAGGAGTACCATGATGGCAAACTGAAATTTCAGATTTGAAAATGAAAATGAAGCAGAGCACCCCTGAATGTGAGCCAAAAGTTGAATTGAACTGATCCATGTCACTTTGGTTCTTTGAATCTTTGGTTGATTTTTTTATTTGTTTTTTCCTTTTGATCTTTGAAACTTCCGATGGAATGAATGGATTGGCAAAAGCTGGAAGGTACAAAACTAAAGCTCCAAACAAGTTGTAACAGACAAGGCTTCTATTTGGCAATGAGGTATCCTATATTGATTGCTTTTCACCCATAAAGTTACATTCCAAACAAAAAGAAGGAACAAGTCCACTTGCACCAACCTATAAGAATATCACCCCACCAACTCTGTTGTTCCTCTGTTACCACTCAGCCCCAAAACAGAGCAAAACAGAGGATCCACTCCTAATGGATCCTCCACCTCTTTCTGCCGCCACCATGGTTACTACCACCACTCATAAAAATCATCCAGATTCCATAGAGTCTTCGTCTCCACGTTCCCGTAACGCAGAAATATGGAATGATGAGACTTTACCGGTTGTTCCTGGCGCCAAGCTGCGTCTCATGTGCAGCTATGGTGGCCACATCATGCCTCGCCCTCATGACAAGACACTCTGCTATGTCGGCGGTGACACGAGGATTGTGGTGGTGGACCGCCACTCTTCGTTGAAAGACCTGTGTGCTCGGCTTTCCCGAACCATTCTCCATGGAAGACCCTTCACGCTCAAGTACCAGCTTCCCCATGAAGACCTTGATAGCCTCATCACTGTCACCACTGATGAAGATCTTGACAACATGGTGGAAGAGTATGACCGAATTATGGCCAAAGGTTCAGCTTCTTCACGGCTCAGGGTGTTCTTGTTCTTCACAAAACCTGAGGCCACTGTTTCTATGGGGTCACTACTTGATGATGTGAAGTCAGAGACATGGTTTGTTGATGCACTCAACAACTCTGGGATGTTAAACAGGGTAGTTTCAGATACTGCTGGGGATTCCTTTGTGAACCTTGATGGTGTTGGTGGTGGTGTCAGTGCTAGTGGTTCAAGCAACAACTTGGAGGCTTTGCCCGATACTAACAATAACAAGGCTAAGAACTTGCCTGATGTGGTGCAATCAAGTCCTGGTTCACCCATGATGGAGAACAGTTCTTCTTCTTCTCCTTCTTTCTCTCCTTCTCTGGCAAATCTGCCTCCGATTCGGGTTCGTGTTGATGACCATGTTAGTAGGCTTCAACAAGAGAACAAGGTTGGGGGCGTGGTGGAGGAGCAGTTTGCTCAGATGACAGTTGCAAGTGGGGTGAAGTCAGATGAAGGGTTGGTGAATGTGATTTCTTCTGCAGTGGCTGCACCATTAATTTCCCCTGCTGTGACTATGCCATCTGCTGGGGTGGTTACTACTAGTGATAACGTGATGAATAGAGTTGTTTCCGAGGATGAGAGATCAGATCCTGGGTTTCGGAAGCCCCCTTTACCATTGCAGCTTGTGCAGCCAAGGACTAGTGGTGGTTTTAGTTTGCCTTCTCCTGATTCAGTTGCAAGGTGTGATTTCTGTCATACGAGTATATTACCCTTTTATGGTTTTTCTGTCTTTTTTCGCTTTTGCTATTGTCAATTAGTGGGTTTTAGGAAGAATCAAATACTTAAAGCTTTTAATTTTGGCGATGATAATGTGTGTTCTGAAAGAGTTGTTTTTGGTCAACATTTTCAGTGATAGTAGTATTGCATCTGCAAATTCTTTCTCCAAGACTGTTTACTATCAAGATCAAGTCCAAGCTGCACTACTAGACAATAAAGCAGTTGCTTTCCAAAATGGCAAGAGTGAAATATCTGATCAGGTGATTCAGGTTCATGGACAAGTTCAGGATTCTGGCTACACATTACCCCCACAATTGGATCAAAATAGGCAACTCCAGCAGCAGAAGCCCTTGGTCCATCCCAGCACTCACTACATCCACCACCCTGCAGCCACAGGTCCAGTGCCAGTTGCATCATACTATCCAGTTTATGCCACACCGCCACAACAACTTCACCCTCCAATTGGTCAGCAACAGTACCCATTTTATGTGATGCCTGTTGGACCCACACAAGTAACACAACCATACAACATGGCCTTGCAGCCCAATATGACTGACCCAAATGTTTTAGCCTCAGGCAGAACCCTAATACCACAAACTGCTGTTACCTCAGCAGCATACAAGGATGGTACTCCACCCATCTACCCCACCAAGTCAATTAGCCCTACTATACCTGAGCTGACTCCAAGTGTTTACAAGGCTCCTCCTGTGACATCAACTCCTGCTTATGCTCCAATACCTCCCAACCAGTTTCAGCCACAGTATGTGGGTTTGCCTCAGTTCCATCATTCACCACAGTCCATTGCTGTGGCTCCCTCTAGTACTACTACTAATTATACTTATGAATATGGTGGCCATGTGCAAGACCAACCATACTACACCCAACAACAAACCACTACTGCTCCAATGCTACCCCAGTACCAATCCATGACCCCAGCTGCAGCTGCTGCAGCACTATCAGATGCTTCAAAACAGTTTCCTGCAGACAACATTCAGCAGCAAAATAGAGCATCACAGCCAGTATGAATCAAAAGTGGACAAATGAAAGAGTTGGGTGGAGGCATATTAGAGAGGGGAGGGGTGAGGGGTAATTGGACTTTAATTTTTTAACAATGGACATATGGACCCTACTTTCTACAAAAAGAAAAAAAAAATAAGGGCTAAATCATAGGTTTTTCTTTTTATCTGTCTGCAAATGAATGACATGTAAGACCATATTTTGCAAATCTAGCTTTTCTGATCGTCACAGTTACTCAGTTGAATAAAAGCAAGTTGCTGCCATTAGCTTTGTCTTTGTCGAGGGACATTTTTATTGCTTTCTATCCAAATGTTATTGGAGTCACTTGACAGTCAGGTTTCTTTTGTTTGCTTTTAATTAGCAAAACCACATCAGAATTTCATGGAGTAATTCATTGATTTAACATGCTCAAATCAAGTAGTACATGAAAGTGGTTCAGAGTAATTTAATAAGGAGAGATTTATAAATTGAATTTGATTTAGCAAAAAAGATAACGACTGGGTGGAATAATGGATATCCTATTTGGTTGTCGTTGAAATCTTTAGTTTTACTAATAGATGTTTTTATAAAGATATGGTTGGTAAAAGGTTTGGTTTGCTTTCAAAATAGTGTATTGAGTATAAAGCTTTCTAAAGTAGCAACACAATCATTGAGATGACTTCCACCATGTTTGAAAGCTTGTTGAATTAAAAAAAAAAAAAAACTATGTTTAAAACTTGAACTATTAGAGTTTTAGAAATAGTGAAAAATTTACATCTCACATGAAACTAAGCATGCTCTTTGTCTTTTGCTCACAAAATAATTCACTTAACAGACATGATGCAAATATCACTCTTTACTGACATCTATCATGGCTTATAAATACAAAAAGAATCTGTGAACATGCATGCAACGTGTCCAAGATCTAGCTGTAGTTCAAGATCTAAAGACCATAACTTGCAGTTTTCAGTGACACAAATGGTTAAACATTTATTGGTATACTTGTGACTTTTGCCATTTGAAAACAAAAAAATCATTAATATACAAGTTAAACCCAAAACTGCGATAGGATATGTTGGTTAAATTATTGCACTATTTAACATAATTAAAATAATTATTCAGTACAAAATTAGATTTTAGATTACTATTTCAGGTTTGATGAGAGGTAGATACTAGACACGTTGATGTTTGTTTACTTCCAAGAATTTGAACATCTCTTCCACGGCACTGTTGTCATCTTCATGTAGTTTCGTTTACCATAGGAACACGAAACGAAATGTGAATCCCAAACCAACCACAAAACACTCTCACATAAGAAAACAAAAACATAAAAATAAATTATCAGATAAAATAAAATAAAAACAAACGTGCATCCGTTCACAAAACATTAAAACCAAAGTAAAAAAAAAAATGCTTCTTAGCCACATTGGCGCCGGATTTTGTTGGGTCAATCCATCACGACCCGACTCGAACCACCAAACCCGACTGGGTTTCTGGAATGTTCATCGCCGGCGGGTAACGCCATCGAGTTCGGCGTTCCACGACGTGCGAATGGAGAAGAAAGGCGACAAACGGCGATCGATATGCACTGCGGACGAGCTTCACCACGTCATGGTTTCGAACTCCGATTGGAAGCTCGCTCTGTGGCGCTACCTTCCTTCTCCTGAGGTTCTCCTCTTCTCAAGTTCTCAAATTTTTGCTTTCTGTGAATACCCTTATGGCAATGCAATGATATATAGCTTCTGGGTATTGAATTCCCTTGGTTTTATCGAAAACGTAGGAGTGAAGGCTGAATGCTACAAATCTTGGCATATTTTACGTTAGGTTATCAAGATTCAAAGATGGTGTTGTTAAAAGATATAACCTTTTGCATGTGTTTTGCAGGCACCATTGAGGAATCACCCGCTTTTGTTGTTGTCAGGGGTTGCTACCAATGCAATTGGCTATGATCTCTCTCCTGAGGTGATTTTGTTTTCATTGAAGAATCATAGAACTATGTTTTGGGAATGAGAGTGGTTTAAAAAAATGGTTCGTCGTGACTCAACCATATCACAACCGCAATCGGGGCCACATTTGTCTTCTAGTTCTTATAAAGGTTGTGACGAAATCGCAACCCTGAGGGAAATTTAAATCCTTGGAAATGATTGATGCAAATTCTGCACCCATTAAACATTACTTTGACATTTTCATGTTATCATTTGTTACATTTTTTTAGAAGCTCAACTTGTTACTTTTTTTTTTGGTGGTTATTTGTGACAATATGTTGTTCTAGTCTAGTCTAATGTTGAAGGACGTGTGATGAGTGTATGTTGTTTGTGTTCAGTCTTCATTTGCTCGGTACATGACGGAACAAGGTTTTGATACATGGATTCTTGAGGTTCGCGGTGCTGGGTTGAGCACTGTTGGAGATAGCATGGAGGAAGACGAGGAGTGCCTAAAGAATTTATCTGAGATTGATTCTGCTATTAGTGATGGAATTGGTAAAAGAAGTGCTTCTTCTGCAAGAGTAATGGGATTTAAGAACCTTGGCACTCCAGAGGTTATAACTAAGTATGAGGAACTGAGGCTAACAAGGAGGTTCATGGATATTTTTGCAAGGATATCTGAAAAGCTCGCAGGCTTTCTCAATCGGGGTTAGTGAAGGGATCATATTCATAGGATCTTGTGACTTTGAACATTCTGTGATTATATCAACCACTAATATTAAAATTACTATTTTTCAGATTTGTTGGAGGGAGGAAAGAACTCTGCAATTGTTGGTCAAATCAAGGATTTCAATAGGAAACTTCGAGCTATTATTGAAGACCAGCAGTTGTTCCCGGCACAGATTTTAGAATTGCAAGACCGTTTTTCTGCCACTCTAGAAGAGTTTCAGAAACAGCTTCAATTGATTGTCAAGTACGATTGGGACTTTGATCATTATCTTGAAGAGGATATACCTGCCGCGGTGAGGTGACAATCCTTTGTAATCTTTTACCTTTAATTTGACAAGAGCTGTACTTATATCTCTTTATTTACTTCTTTGGTGTACTTTATTTGTTTGCTCCATTGAATATTGGGATAAAAAATTTGGACGATCTCAATAACTTTGTTTTCTTAATTGCTGGTTTTTTACATTGAACTGTTAGATGGAGTACATAAGGGCTCAATGCCAGCCAAGGGATGGAAAATTGCTAGCAATTGGTCATTCAATGGGTGGTATCTTGTTGTATGCAAAGCTTTCACGTTCTTGTAAGTCCGATGGATCTGCTGTTGTTTTATTTCTTCTGCAACTAATGTAATTAATGTATGGGGCTCAATTACTTTCATGCATGATTTATTTGACAAATATATGAAAATCCATATTTGCTTCGCTTTTGGTTCAAGTTTGTTCACACAAATTTATTATGGTTGCTTTCTGTATTCCACTTTCTGTTTCAATTTGATATTACATCAAACCTTTAACAATAAAAGCATGTGAACAGGTAGCAACAACCTTCAACTTTCTTTGACTTCACTGCAAGAAATAATCATACAATTCTAGAATTTGCAGTAGTCTAATGCAATACTCATCTTTAATGTATGGAATATATATATATATCGTCATCAAGGGCTTGCAATTACAGCATTATAAACCATATTGATCTTGAGCATTTATTACCATTCTCATTCCTTTTTTATTGAGTGCAATATATTTGTAATTTAATTATTTTACACATTGCTATTTATTAGTAAGAACAAAAAAGTAAAGTTTAGTTGTTTTATCACAACCAATATGGACAGTATTTAAAATATAAATATCTATTGCCAAACACATGTTATTCCCTCTTTTATCTTGTGATAAATTTTATGAACAGGTTGAGATCGTCTAATATAAACAGCATTGTTGTGAATTGTGATTTTTCAAGGAACCTATTTGCACATTATTTCTGGGAATCAATGTATTGATAAATATTTCTTCTTTTTCCCACCTAAATTATGTCAGGTTTTGATGGAGAAGATTCTGCGTTGGCATCTGTTGTTACTTTGGCATCATCACTTGACTATACCCCTTCAAGATCATCTCTCAAGTTGCTTTTACCCCTGGCAAGTGTTTAATGGAAACTGTTGTGTGGTGACAAATTTTAGTTGTTTTATTTCGTGCCAGTAATATGTCTCAAAGCCAAAGATAACCAAAATGCCTCCTTTTGCAGGCAGAACCTGCTCAGGCTTTGAACATTCCTGTTATTCCAGTTGGGCCATTGATGGCCACCGTTTATCCCCTTGCAAGCTATCCTCCGTATGTTTTATCTTGGCTGAATTCTCAGATTTCAGCTCAAGATATGATGGATCAAAAGCTATTTGAGAAGCTTGTTTTGAACAACTTCTGTAAGTTCCAATTTTTTTTTTCATCAGACATTGTTTCTTAACCTTTTGTGCAGAGTGGCTTTCAACTACATCATGCACTTTAGCAAAAGAATTCCTTATGAAACTATGCACAGTAGAGGCCATCAAGGACTTCCATTGAGAAGTACATTGTTACATGTTTCATCAAAATTAAATTAAGAGGTGATCCATCCTCTGCAGTTTAATGCAAATGTTAGTCAGCAGCATTTCAATTCTTCAATATGCACTACCAATCTATGCAACAGTTACCGCTATAATTTTGTGGATGCTGAAGTTAATTGATTTGTGAAGCTACAGCCCTATGTGGATCTTCTATTTACCTAGTTTCATCTAAGATGTTCCACATTGGCTAAGAATATGATAGTAACAGTCTCTCCAGTCTTGTTGTTAAGCCACCTGTAAATGTCTACTCCTGAAATCTTTACACACTAGATGTCTCGACCTCAGTACAATGGACGTGTGTTAAGATGACTTTTGAGCAAGGAATATGACCAAAATACTACATATAACAAGACTTCCACAATCCTCCTATTTAGATCTATCATTTAGAGTGAGTTAGGCCTGGTCATTTCTTATAGCTAGGATGCTACATTGCTATTTGATTTGGTCTTTGTATTCAATCTTAACTTGCCTGATCTATAATTCTTATATAAATGCCAGACTTTTCATCAAATCAAATCCATATATTGAAAAGCAGTAACTTGTTAGTTTTTGTTTTAGTTTGCAGTCATGGATAAATGTTAGATCTTTCAGACTTTAATTTGGGTTTTATGTTTGACAACCGGATCATAACTGACAGGTACCATACCTGCCAAGCTTCTCTTGCAGTTATCATCAGTTTTCCAGGAAGGTGGTTTACGTGACAGGAGTGGAAAATTCTTGTACAAGGACCATCTCTGCAAAAGTAATGTTCCTGTCTTAGCAGTAGCTGGTGACCAAGACTTGATCTGCCCTCCTGAAGCTGTATATGGTATTAAAACTAAACCAATCAGTCCTTTGACAAAAAAAAATAAAAAATCTTTCAACAAGGTGAAATTCATCTTCTTGAGTCTCACTAAATATTAGGGTCACATTTTCAATTGATAGGTTCCATTCCCAAACTAGTGAGACCCAGATGAATTCAACCAGTAAGAAAGAGTGTGTTAGAAAAAGAATGTTAGAAAGTGTGTTGTTAGTATTCATCATCATCTTTTAAATACTTAACTTTCTCATTCAGCTTTTATGATGAGTAAAAATTGTAATGATAAATGTGAATCAGAAACGGTGAAGCTTATTCCTGAAGAATTGGTTACATACAAAGTCTTTGGGGAACCTGGTGGTCCACACTATGGCCACTATGACTTAGTGGGTGGTCGTCTGGTATGATTATTTTGTTGAAAAGGAGTTATAATCATACATAATAGAACCAACTTGACATTTTTCAAAACATGAATTTTCTTAACTTTGTCAGTATACACTTCATGTTGCAGGCTGCAGATGAATTGTATCCATGTATAACTGAATTTCTCATTCAACATGACATGGTTTAGTGCATTGGCTCTTTTACAATGCCTATTCGTTTGTACATGAAGAACACTACACCCACAACCCTACAAGATCCTGCCATTGTATATATGAATGACTAGGTGTAATACTTAACTTCCTGTACATGGTAAAAGACCATGCACAAGTGTAGTTTTAAATAAAGTATTCAAGGTGAAGGACAGATTAAACATCAGGTGCTATTAAGTACAGATTCGAAATCAGGTACTATTGAAGCTGCTTATAGGAATCAAGTGGTAATTTTATTCAAATTACAGGAATTTACAAACTAATCTAAAGTAGAGATTTTTATAATAAAATAATCTTGTGATTGCTTTTACAGATTTATTTTTTTATAAATATTGAAGTTAAGTTTTGTTTATTTACAATAATAAAAATTACTTTCGTGACTTTGATCTTGAGGAATACTATTCAAAATAGTTTCTGATTTTAATCAGGTTTGAAGTAGCTGAAACAAACAAATAAAAAACTTCAAAAAGTGATTCTTTAATTATAAAAAGAAGTAGCTATGAGATGTCATTTTAACAATTATTTTTCTCTTGACTACCACTTTTTCATTTCTTTTGTAGCTTTTAACATATAAAAATGCTTTTATGCTTTGGTCAATTACAACATAAACAATGACAACTTCGTTATTCTTAATCTTGATAACTGTTTAATGAAAGTCATCACAACACAACTACACACTTTATTAAAAGCAAATGCAGTTTTCTTTTTCTCTATGGTATTTTACAAATTGGATAAGATCCATCGTATTTACATGGATAATTTTTACTTGCAGTACCAATCATTTGTGGTCATACTTTTTAGCCCGAAGAACATGAATGACTTGGCATCTTTCAGAGTGGAGACCAACACAAAAAAGTATTGCGGCTTGAACAGTGCATGACACTTTTTCCTTACGTGCATGTGAAATTCTACCCCAAAATCAAAATAAAATCAACCATGAGTTAACAAAAGAAAAGTCAATATTTAGAATTAAAAGACACTCTAAAAAGGGAAAATCCAAAACACACTTGAGAAGAATAAGTGAATAGCACGTATCTAAAAGCACAAACTCAAGATTTAGCCAAACGTTATTTATCTGAATAAACATAAGTGCCAAGAAAACAAGTATCAAGAGTCAGGCACTTTAATTAGGTTGCAAGAACAAGAGCGTGTGAAATTGCAACGAAATTAGATATTTGATTTTTGAGAAAAATGTATTACAAACTTTTGATCAAAATTGATTATAAACTGTGTTTTTAATTTAATGTCAAATTTTGAAAATGTTACTAATTTTGTTTGTGACAGCACTAATATCATATGACAAACATTTTATTAAGTTTGTGATTTTGTGTGTGTGTGTGGGGGGGGGGGGGGGGGGGTTATGCGACTCGTGACTGGTTGTTTGTTTGGTAATTCTTTGATCAAATGTATTTCACTTCATGCATGCCAATTGTTTGATGAAAAGCTTGAGTCCCTGAACTTTTCATGTTGCATTGTTGATTTTGGAATGTTACATGAAGAGATTTTTTTTCAAACACCAGTCGTGCAGACTCGGTACAGCAATATCTCACACACAACCCAATCGAGCAATTATTTAGAAACAAACTACATCCAAAATCATTTTGCACAACAATATATGAAATTGCATTCAACCTCTCAGCAAACCCAAGTCAGTGAAAGCCTTCAAAACTAGGAAAAATTAGTACATATCCAAACACACCCCATTTTTAAGCATCAAGCAGAAACCGTTTGCCAATTGCCAATAATGGAGTTAATAGGAAAGGATAGAAATCACATAATATTAATTGTCGAAAGAGTAATTTCTTTTGAAAGAATAACATTCAGACAAAAACTTATAAAAAAGAAGAAATAAAAACACATTTTAATTAATTCTTCACTAATTTTGGAAACGGGAGTTTAAGTTTATGCTTCTCTTCTACCAATCACTAAACAAAATGGCATACTTACTCTGACGTAAGCCCCTGTTAGTTTAAAAAAGACCACGATTTGAGCTCATGTGAATTTCTCAATAAAAAAAAAGGGAGTTTCACAGTGCAAAAAGAATAGTAAGTGCCAATTTACCTGACAGCATTCAAATTTCAAACCTTGTGCATAATAAGCAAAACAATGTCCAATTATGAGGGTCATAAACCAATATAACAGTTCCAAGAATAATATTGTCGACTCCTAAATAAGTAAGCCAAAAGTAATAAAATATATAAAGATTAGTTATATGGTATATGGAAAACTATACAGCAAATTACGGGTAACAAACACAACAGTGCCTTTAGTGTCGAACCACAACTTCTTGCTTACAAACTGGGCAGAAGTTTTTATGCACAAGCCACTGTTTTATACACTGAAAATGATAGCTGTGGTCACACTTCAATCTCCCCAGTTCATCATTTGGTTCATACTCCTCCTGATCACCCAATCAAAAAGATTAACATGGTGCTTAATTATTTAAAAACTTAGGTTTAAATACTTTTGTTCCTAAAAAGATCACAAAATAACTCACAAACTAAAGTAAGACACCCATCAAATTAGAAAGCACAAAAACACATGATATGACTAAGTTTTGTCCATTTACATTTTAGTCACTTTACAAATTTTATTCCCTTTTAATCTTCTATTTAAGAAAATTATACACTTTTAAGGCTAAAATCACATTACTCAATATTAAAACTAAAAATTTCTATATAAACTAATATAAAACTCAAGATATTTCTAAGAATGAAAATGTTTAAGTTCACTTCCTACAATGCATATAAAGGTGTTGATGGTAATGTAATTTTACAATCTCACCTGACAAACACTGCAATTTTTGTCTACTGGATGCTTTGCTGCCTCATTTGAACTTGAAAGTTTAACTTTCCTTATGTTGAGTCTCATCTCATCTTCTTTGAGCCCAGTGCTGACATGACCTATTCTCTCACCCAGCTCAAGCAATTGCTGATGCACAAACCAGAAATTTTGATGATCCACAATGAAGAAGATTGCACAGAGACAAAAAAATCAATAACAGAATGAAAATAATGGAAACTTCATTAGCTAAAGAAAAGAACTCTCTCACCTCGTATGACATGTTATCAACATCAAGTCTCCAATCTCTGAATCGGTCGTGTGAGTTTAATCGTGCCCCCATTATCATTCTTCCTCGCATTATCATTATCTTCAAAGTTCCAATAACAATCAAGATATATAATATATCACTTCTTGATTACAAGACTAACTAAACCAAGTAATCATGTATTATATTTGTGATACTGATTCTTCTATTGTTAATAAATAAAAACCTTCATTAACAAGTCTTAGTTTTACGGTCACACATGTAACCCAAACATAGTAAAAAGGAAAGCATGATAAAACATAATACAAAATTTATGAGAAAGAAGGTCGCACTAAAATTAAAATGACATGATTCAAAATTAAAATATGAACAAATGTTTTATAATTTCACTCCAATTATACCAATTGTGCATTTCTTTTCCATATCAAGAGAATTATCACCGGCGCGAAAGAGAGACAATAGACAAATAAATCAAAGTGTTGAAATTTCAATCCGGACCAAATACATTCACCTTCTAGGTCATATACAGCAAGTATTGAAATTTCATGAAGCACGAACAATTTTTTACTCCATAACATCAAATCAAATTCTTGTTTTTGTGTAGTGTCATTTCAATATAGCTTAAGCTTCCAAACAATGTTTTATAATTTCGATCTAATTTGTAAGAATCCACAAATATTTCAATTTTTAAACCCTTCTGTAAGTGAATTTCTTTTCAATATCAATAGAAATTGACAAATTATAAGTATTATCAAAACTAATATAATAAAATACTAGGTACCAAGAGAGACGTAGGTAAAATCTTCAATAAAATACTGCAATATAAGAAGTATATTTACCCTTGTAAGTCATATACCAAGATCCTCTTTACTCCATTGCGGCATCAAATCCTTATTCTGTTGAGTGCCTTTTCATTGTATCAAATCAACCTTATTACTTTCCAATTATAAATAATTGGGCTTGGGCTTTTTTGTTTTTCTTTGTTGTGTTTTGTATATTATGATATTTTAATTTTAATTTTATATAAATACCATTATGTATCTTAATTATAATTTGAAACAATAATATATTACATTCTATTCAACTATATGTATTTGATTATTAAAAATTTATTCTAATATTTATTTTTAAAATATGACAACGTAATTTATATATATATATATATATATATATATATATATATATATATATATATATATATATATATATATATATATATATATATATATATATATATATATAACATCTACGCTTCCCGTACATAAATATTAAACATTTAAACTCATGATAAAACAAAACAACCAACCTCAGCGAGATCATCCGGAGAAGGACGTGGAAATCTAGCAGTTGTGTCTAAACCAGGACGAGTTGTGAAGATATCAAATTCATCATTCAGAAAAGAGAAGCTTTCTGAATTTACAAGGCGCCTTCCAAAGTAAGATGAACTCTGCCATGATATTTATGAAACAGAGTTAGACAATGTTAGAGTAGAACCCAAATCATTCACGAAACTTAACTAATAGATCAAACATTTCAACTAATTATTCAGTTGGATATGTGTTGAAGTAAAACAAACAACAATAATGATTTTTTTTTCTTGCACTATTGGGTCCACAAGAAACCAAACAACAAGTTCAACATGTGTATGTAACTTGACCAGGAAATGGAATGCGTACACGCATTGAAGATGGTAGCAGCTATTTATACATAATTCTGTATCTCATAAACCATCTATTAATATTTGTCCCAATTATTAAACTAGAGAATATTGAGATGTTTTATCTTTTATGCTTCTTATATTATTAAGATAAATGGGAAGATGTAAGAGTTTGTGTGCAGTTCCTTCTTGTTGAGACCCAATTTGTGGGCATTTCAACAAACACTTTTCATATTCATGTGCATCTACACAGACAAAGCTACACTTGTTAATTTTATATTAATTATTTTTAAAAAGATAAATAATTATTTATTATTTCAATGAGTTTAATATATAAATTATTCTGCATGCCTTATGTTCTAAACTAATGCTCTTCTTTTCGAAGAAATTATTTTTAAAAACCTTATTATAAAGAAATATATTTTTAGATATTAAAGATATATTTAAAGAAATATATGAAATACTTAATAATTATCAGTTTGTAACAATCTCATATAAAAAGCAACTTTGTGAATTTTCTTTTACAGATAATTTAATCAAATAATTGATGTCTATTTCATACCTTATATATTATTTTAAATGTCGTTTGAATTAGAAAAAAAAAAGACTGTTTTCCATAAACATAACATCATAACTCAATCAATGAACTAAACAAGGCAAACCACAATGATTGGGGATCTTAACAAGTCTTAAGGATCAATTTTCCCCAAGTTAGTAACGTGACAGAACACATTCAACCACAAAATTGTAATCATACCATCTGAAGAAAATTTTCTGACTCTGCAAAACTGGACATAAAAGAACATCTATACAAATGAAAATCAAGCAAGTAAATTTAGCATGCTCAGAATTTTTACACCTAGAACGAGTTATAAATCAACTTGTGCATTAAGTTTATTAATTTTTACTTTCATAAATTTCTAATCAGTTGGAAGTGTAAAATTTGCATTGATAACATAAATTAAACTCAAAACGTAGACAAAAGCAATTCATAACAGATTCAAACTCTGAATCATTTAAGAAGAAAGAAAATTGTGGAAAACTGAGAATACTACAGTACCTCCCTCTCCACCACATCAAGGTTTCCTCTTGCAGACACATTCTTCCTAGCCACAGCACAATCCATGGATGCAGAAGCAGCAGCATCAGTTGAAAACCCAATTCCAGGGCCACACCAAACATCCTGAAAATCCACACATGTTCCACCAGAAACATCATCACATGTCTTGTCACTGCTACTGTTACTGTTACTGTTCCTCCTGTGTTTCTTCTTCCTGTTCCTCTTCCCTTCCCAATCCACGGAGGACCGAATCACCGTCGGCACCGACACCTTCTGTGATGCTCCGGCAGTGCAACCGAACCCTCTGAAGGTTGCTGTAGAGAATTTTCTGTAGGTTTTGTTGCTGTTTTGGTCTCTGTCATGTGTGGTTTCATTGGAGGAGGAGAATGAAGATAAGAGAGAGGAGATGGTGGATTTGGTTTGAGAGGATGGGATTGTAGAAGAGATTTGAGGATTTGGATCAGTTTCTGAAATGGGGTATCTGAATTGGTTTCTTGGTCTTCTCCACTTCATGTGTTCTGTCACAACAGGCATGGTTTAGAGAATGAAAGAGAAAGAAGTGGTGTGATGAGAATTTGAAAAGATGGAGATGAATGGAACATAATCTGAAACTGGTCTTGGAAGCAAAGGAACTATATCTAGTTATGTGGAACGCAGAGAATGTGGAATTATTTTTTCCTGTTTGAGATGACAGTTAATAATAGAAGAATATGGTTATTTTCAGTGGAAATTTTTTTCTTCAAAAAGAAATATTTGAGAGGACAGTTAAACTACAGATTGACAATGTATACCTTCAATGTCATCTATAAAGTATTATTCTCTTGTACATAGACCTTCAAATAAAGAAAAATTATTCAAATAACCTTTTCAGTATTAAAAATCATGTCAAGTAGCTCTTCAATTGTTGAGAAACTCTTTAACATGGTTATAGATGCTAGTACAATTAATTAATTCATTAACATTCGATATTTAGATGTTATTTAGTAATTTTCAATTTATAGACTACTTAAAAGAGGTGGAACATACATAGAGGGTGAGATTTCCATTTAATCCATGCATTTGATTAATGCTTAACAGAAGGACAGAATGTGAATTGATTAGTTTTGAGATGATGTTTTCTTTTATTGATATAATTGTGGGAGTTACTTTCCTTATGTGGTTGTTTGTTAAGTGGGGTCAGGTTTGTCTTCTTGTTGGAATTGTGGGCATATGCTATAATTCAATAGGGGTGTGTGAGGTCTTGGAATCTGACTACTTTTGTTTCTTTTTGTGCATTTTAAGCCAAACTGATGCTACACATCACAGAAAAAGTTGGAAACCCTTCCTCTCTCATTGTTCTTGGAGTGTAGTGCTTTGGCCTGAGGCTTCAATTAGAATGAAAAGGATGTAAAAGGGGCACTAGAGACCAATGGATCATACCTTATGCCATAAAAAAAATTAAATAATTAGAGAACACTACAGAAAGTTTGATTTCAGAGACAGGGTCCCACTCTGAAATCACAAGGTTAAAAACATGAATGTTTTTGGGATGTAGTGTGTCACACCCCTCATTTACTTGCAGAAAATCAGAAATGGTTGTTATCATGTGTTGTGGGGTGGCTTAGATTTTGACCCAAGAAAATAATGTTTTGTCTTCATGTAAAGCTACCTTGCTAGCTGTAGCTTCGATGCAATTCATTTGGGGAGATTATTTATGCACAGATTTACCAACATCATATATTCCACCAAAAGTTATCTGTGGATGGTGGAGAGGAAAAGGGCATCAAAGAAAAAGTAATAAGTGAAATTTACGTATAAAAATATTCTCCCTATTTAATAGATCTCATTTTACTATTTGTGATTTCCAAGAACCAATGGTTCATATTAGGGCATCTATTACTACTATGCATTGATGAAGAAAAGAGTTGTATTCTTTTTATTTTATCTTAATGTAAGAAAAACTTTTAGCCATGATAAATTGTGGGATTTTCTGAGTTTTTTCTTTGTTGTTAAATTTTGGATTTTTTATACTAATAAATTATTGGTTTAAAAGAAAGTGAAAAAAAAATTATTATACTTAACCCTTATTAGTGAAACAAATTTTGTTTTAAATAGGACTATGTTAGTTTGTTGCTTTATGCATGTGTAGCTATACGTATATTTTGTTTTTGTGCATGATTGAAATGTATGATAATTTAGAATGAACAAAATATATTGTTGTTGTGACTAATGTTTGTTTTATAAAATCTTTCTTTAGCTTGTTTGAATAAAAATAATAATAAGGACTTTTTAGGTTATTAATCCATTTTAAAGATTAAATTATTATGTATCTATTTATTTAAGGATAGATTCATATTTTTATCATCATCCATACTTTTTTTAATGAATTTATATTTTAAATTATTAAATATTTTTAATCAGTTGACGTGGGAAGATAACAAAGTTGATGTAAATTAAATAAAAATAAATTGCGTTTATTAGAGATAAAAGGTAAGAAAAAATTTATTAAGAAGAATGTAAACAGATAAAATATATATTTCAATATTTCCATTAAATTCTATTATTTTAGGTATACATAGGACTCTAATAATATACGTATATCATATAAAACTCTGGAAAATGACCCTTGACCCATATGAATGGTGTGTGCTACTTCTCTACACGAGTTTATTATCAATACCAAAGACAAGTCTATATATCCTTTCAAATCCTCATATCAACATGGTACTGATCTTAATTAATTATTTTGGGTTAAATAATATATTATCAATAAATATAAAAAATAAATAAAAAAATAAAATAAAAGATTAAAATTATAAATATATAATAATTAAATTTAGAAGAACTTTTAAGATTATCTAGCCTCTGTACAGAGAGAAACAATATATATAAAGAGAGAAACAATTTTACAACACAGAATAATGAAATGATTTTTTATGGAAATGTATATATTTTAAAAAATTATTAATTATTTTGTATTAAATAATTTAAGTATTTGATTAAGATATATATATTATGAGTATTGTTAATAAAAATGATTAACATCTCCTTAATTAAAAGGACAGAATGTGAGAGAAGGTAAATATTCAAAATAATATATAGGCAGAAAGAGCATCGAATAAGAAGCAACAGAGTTTTTGGTTGGCTTATGAAGCAATGAAAGAATCCAATAAATCCAGATCCAAATCATTAGGATTTTCGGATTCATAAATCTAAACCATTAACATAATTTTACTAATATAAAAAGGTAAGAAAAAAATTAAAATATAATTAAAATTGATAATGGTTCCGATACAGTCGTGAGATAAAAAATAATTTAAATATATTCTCCTTTTTCCATTCACAAAATATCTTTTAATGACAGAATAATGGTAAACAAGAATCCCCAATAAATTAAAAAATAAAAAAGTAAAATGTATAAAAACAACCTTAATCTTATCTCTTAAATAATGTCGTAATCATATATGAAAAAGAAGAAAAACACACAAATAAAAAACACACACAAAAACGGATAATTAAAATTGATCTCAATCAACACTCTCAATGCTTTATTCACAGATGAAATATCAAATCTGAATCAAATCAAGGAAGTACCAAATAATTTTAGAAAAATAATTTCTATCGTAATTATTTGATACTCCATTGACTGGTTAAGATAGATCTTCAGGCAGAATTGCTAAACCTAACAGCCATATCTCTGAAAGAGACCAAGCCCCCAATTCCTACCACCTACTTTGAATCCCTTATTGTGATTTGTTCAGATATTAACACGTATATATATAGCCAAAGGTAGGGTTAAAAAAAATAAAATAAAAGAGTGCCACAAAAAACTGCATCTTTTGGAAATTTAATTAAAAAACATCTAAAATTATATATTTATGCTACTTGAAGGACACAATTGAAATAACTAAAACTAAAAAATTCATTACAAGACCCAAAAGTGTAATTAAACTTAGTATTTAATATTTATATAAATCTACATTAATAATATCTGTGTATAATATTTATTATATGTTATATTCAATAAATATAATAAATAATATTAATTAATTTTTATACAAATACAATAAATAAATACATTCATTAGACGTTATATCATTTTTCAAAATATTCTGATGAGAAAATGTTTAATTATGTATTTATGATTTTTATATATGCATTTATTGAAAAGGATGTTTAATGAATAAATTTATTAAAATCATGAATGTTTCCGTTTTTTAAGTCTAAATTAATAAACTCTGCACGTAACATTAGTTATATATTATATTTAATAAACATAACAAATGATATTATTTAATATTTACATAAAGACTAATAAAAAATTCATTCATTAAATATTTTTACATTATAAAATAAAAATATTTATAATATGTACGAACCATCTCGTCTTTATTAATTTTTTTATTCTTATTAATTATCATTAAATAAATTAATAATAATACATATATTTATTTTGATAAAGACATATAAAAAAATAAAAAAATAATAATTTAAATGTATTATATTAAGGATGACTTTGTTTTAAAAATTATGTCTTATAATATAGATAAGAGGAAGTACTATAACATGAAAGTATTTCTATTTTTTACAGACTAATGTATGCATTTACTAGAAGTATGATAAAAAGCATATATTTATCCGGTTTTTAGGAATGATAAAAATTAATTTACACATAAAAGTATTTAGTATTTATTTAATGTTATTAGTGCAGTACTATTAATATTATTTATTATAATTTTAAGTATTATCAATGTGGATTTTAATAAATATTAAATGCTCAATTGATCTTTGTAACAGTGAATGCCTATAAATATAGTGCAAAGCTCATAAAAAATGCAATAAAGCACTCAAAGTGAGTGATAGAAATTGGGACTTGTTTTCTCTCATAGATATGTCCCTTAGGTTTAGCTTCTTTTTGTGTTTTTTTCAAGTGTGAAGATCTATCTTAACCAGTCAATGAAGTATCAAATAATTACAATAGAATCACTTTCTAAAATTATTTGGTACTTCCTTGATTTGATTGAGATTTGATATTTCATCAATGAGATCCAAATATTCAGAGTGTTCATTGACAGGATTGAGAAGAATTTACTCTGATGGTGATCTTTTAATCCTTATTTTTGTTTTTGCTATTATTCATGTTTTTATTTGGTGAAAATATCAGTTTTTTTTTTTTTTTTTTTTTGCTTTTTATCTATACTCAACTAGTGATGTTAATATGTTTCAAAAATTTCAACATGACTCATTAAGTTAATTTCAATTTTTAGCTTAATCATAATCAATTTGAATTGAATAAACCAAACTCAAGAAGAAGATAGAAAGGTTTGAATAGAGGTGATGTCAATTAGGCAACTCATGAGAGATCTCTTTAATTTCTCATGCTTCAACTGCATTATCAAAAATTGTATTCAGATCTTAATATATCTACCAAACTTTGATGAAAGTATTTATGAAACTTTGATGTCCAAATAAACCAAGATAATGGACATGATCTCCAGTCCGGTCCAATAATTCTAAATCTAAAACAAAACACGACTTATAATTAGTTTTTTTTTTAATTATAATAGTCAAAATCTTTATTTGAATTATAATAATTAAAATCTGATGGATTTACTACAGAGAAACAAATGAAAACCAATTCAAAACAAAATTGTTGTCTAACATATATATGTAATGAGAAGAAGGCAATTAAAAACAAATAATGAGTGTGTATGTGAAAAACAATGAAAGGAATTTTTTTCAATACTATATTAATTGTCTATCATATCTGAAATTAAAATATAAAGAGTATATATAGTGAACATTTAATATAAATTCAATTGTTAAAAAAATCAATTAAAAACATTTTGAAAAAAATGTAATAAAAGTATTCTAAACACAGTATATTATATATATCTAACTTAATTTGTATATAACACACAAAAACACGTATTAATTTAAATAAATTGAATTCTAGAAAATAATTTTTATATTTCATATTCATCTTTTTTAAGTAATTTTTTCTATATTATTTTATATGAGTATATTTTCTCTATTAAAAATGAGAAAATATATATATTTAATTTAATCTTATAAATCTAGAAGTTTGAATGTTATTTTTACATTAAAATGTTATATTTTTTAATTAACGTTAGATTTTAATATATTTTATTGTTTTAAAGAAATTTTAATTATTTTATTACCATTTATATTATAAATAAAAAGAAATATATAATTTAATCCTGAAACACTGTCAGTAATATAAGATTTATTTTTCAATTATATACTATATTTAATATATCCCTTATATTAAAGAGATTTTCATCATGTGTTTTTATCAACTTTCAAGATTAATTAAAAAGAAAAAGTTTTAAAAGATTAGAAAAATCACTTAATCTTAAATTAAAATAACTCTTTCATATGTTTACCGAATAATCACAACTTATATTACTTGAAAACAAATTTCATCTACGTTGCTACAAATTCTTGGATGATATTGACAAAAACACCAGTTAATTTGATAAGAAAAAACTTGATTAATATTGGTGAAGAAATGAACATGTTTGGCTAAAAAACAACTATGGTTGAAGGGGTAAAAAAAAAAAACTCTAACTTAGTGGAAGAAAACCAAAAATCCTAGTTTGACATCAATTAACAAAAGTTTTGATGTGAATACATTAACTTAGATCATTAAAAAAATAACCTCAAACAATATTATTAGTTATTTTGAATACCAATATTATCATTAAAAATAAAAGAGATTTTAAGTAATTTATTAAAATTAACAAAAGCTAAATCGTTCCTGAATTTATTAGTTTTAATTTAACGTAGCAGAAACTTCTTCGCATTTCGAAGTATCAACATTGTGGTGGATTTTGCGTGAATTAGTGACGTAGGAGGAATCTCTTTGGAACACGACGCAGCCATGAATGCGATCTTTCTGAGAAACCTGTCCTTCCACGCGCGCCGTCTTCGTCTCTCTCCCACTCCTTCCCTCTTCTCTTTTACCTCTCCCACCTCCTTCTCTTCTCGCTCCAATGCTCCTGACAAACCCCACTCCCTCGTTGAAGACATTAGCAACGAAGGTAACACCCATCTTCGCACCTTCACACTTCACTTCCTCAATTTCCGCTTTCTCTTTATTCTTAATTACTTGGGTGCCTTCAACGTGTTTGAAATAATGTTTCTGTGAACACTTACGCCAATCAATCTTATTCTTTATTATTAGAGATTATTTCTTTTGCGTTGTGAATTTATACTGCGAATTAATAAAAAAAACTATGTATTAATCTTACTAGATATTATTTTTAGCTTATGTTTGGTTGGAAGAGGAAAAAGTTAGAGAAAAGAAAAAAGAAAGCACGGATAAACACTATATTTTCTTCTATTTGATTAGAGAGAATGTAGAAGGAGAACAAAGGGAAAATTCAAATTGACCTATAGAAATAAAAAATCAAAATTCTCCTTTCTCTCACTTTCTCTTTAGTTCAAATTTTTATTTTCTTCCATTTTCCTTCTATACAAGTAAGAGGGTTGTGAGAAAGTAATTATCATAAAAGTTAAAATTTTTTGTCATAATAAAATAGTTTTTAATTAGTTAACAATGTAGATGTTTATATTTCTTTTCCTATTTTTATGTGAAACTCATGGGAGTTTCACTAAATAAATTTTAAGGACGATATAAGTTTCTTAATGCTAATGTGTTCGAAGAATTTGGTAGATATCATGGTGGTAACATTTTTGGTGTCATGAAATAAGGTGCAATGGAAATGTCAACTGATTGAATGAGGCAGTTTAATCATTGGTTTCAAATTTTTATCCTTTTTTGAGTCTGTGCTGAATGAACTTTTGTGTGTTTGGGTTAAAGAGTTGAAGAGGCGTGTGGCTAAGCTTCAAGAGGGTGATGCCGAGGCGATTCCTTCTGTGTTTGAGGCTATATTGCAGAGGTATTTAACAGGGAAGCCTATAGAAGCTGACGAGGCGTTGATGAAGGAAATTCTTGGGAAACGGACATTGTCGGAAGATGAAGAGGACGAGTTTGATTCTGATTGGGAGGAAACAGATGACACTGAAAATGAAGATGAAGAAGATTTTGATCTTGGTTTTAAAGGGAGGAATAAGTTGATGAAAGAAAGAATAAGCGATGATTGAAATTTTAACATTTTGTATTAAATTACATCACACATACTATATAGGAGAAACATATATAAAGTATTCTGAATCCATTATCATGTTCAACATGATAAAACTTGATAGTTGGAGAAGTTTTACGAGTTGTTGTTTGCGTTGGAGATTATTTTTTTGTCCAGTTAAATAGCAATATTGTCTTCAGAATATGCTCGGTCATTTTCAGCCAACAAATGGCCTTGCATAAAATTCAATGCCATGACTAGGATGTTTACATGAGGTAAACATTCTCTTGACAAGATGCCAAACATTCTTTAGAAGAGTTTAGTGTGTCTATATCACGTCAATTTGTCTTCACAAGTTTCAAATCTAAGAATATAAACTGTAAGCAGCAAGAGTTTTCCTTGGATGTCACTTAACTGTCCCAAAAACACTTTGTTGAAATGAACAAGAGAGATTTCCTTAGACTACAAGCGGCAACGATATCCTAAATAACAACCTATAAGTGCCTAGCTCATAGGGATTGATGGTTGACCAAAAATTTAATCACATGCCACCGCAATTAATTGCTGCACTACTTTTTAGTAAGGCAACCTACAGATTTTGCCATACAACCGTACTTTTGCTTCTGCTCATATGTATTCATATTTTCATCTCATTACTTAATCTATTTAAGACCAGCACTAGTTCTTTCATGGGAAATTCAGAAGATACTCCAGCTGAGAATTCTTGAACTTCTCCATTGATTTCAATCATGCTACAACCCGGGATTTTCTTTTCTATGTCTCTTTCTTTCATAAAATTCCTAATTCTTTTGGCAGCACCAAAGCTGCCAGCTTTGGCATATATATCACACAAGTTAACATAGAAAGCATGATTATGTGGTTCCAAGTCTATCAAATGAAGAGCTACCTTTTCTCCTAATTCTACATTCCCATGCATTTGACAACCTCCAAGTAATGCACCCCAGACATAAACATCCGGCTTCATCGGCATGCTTCTTATGAGAATCTCTGACTCATCAAACAACCTGGCTCGACTAAGAATATCAACCATGCAAGCATAGTGATAAACTTGTGGTTCAATTGAGTAAACACGTTTCATTACCTCAAAGCACCAGCGACCCTGTTCTACCAAACCAGAATGAGCACAAGCTGACAGTAATCCAACAAATGTCACATGGTTTGGCTTTACTCCAGCTCTTTCCATCTCTAAAAAGCAATCAAAAGCCTTCCAACCTAATCCATGAACAGCAAACACCGAAATCATTGCTGTCCATGCCGAAGCATCCTTCTCAGGTATCTCTTTGAAGATTTCAAATGCTTTCTGCACATCCCCACACTTGCCAAACATATTGACAAGTGCTGTTCCAATTACCGCATCACATTCTATGCCGTTTCTTCTCAGATAACCATGCACCCATATCCCATGGTCTATGGCACCAAGTTGAGCACAAGCTGAAAGGGCACTAGCTATTGTAATCTTATCAGGTTTAACCATATCACCACCCAGAAGCTGCATTTCATGGAAAAGCTCAAGTGACTCCTTTGCCCTCCCTCCCTGAGCCAACCCTGTAATAATGGAATTCCAAGTGATGATATTCCTCCCATTCATCTTCCTAAACAAGTCCATTGCCATGTCAAGTCTTCCATTTCTCAAACACCCAATAACCATTGAGTTCCAAGTGACAACGTCTGTAACCAACATTTCATCAAACATGTTGGTGGCGTTGTTCAACAACCCATAAGCCATGTACAAGCTGATCAAAGAATTGCCAACAAAAACATCCTTCAAATATCCAAACTTTATCACTTGGGCATGAATTACTTGGCCAGTAGCACCATCCAGCCACCTAGTGCAACCCTTTAAAAGGAATGGGAAAGTGAGGCAATTGGGCATAATATCTTTGGAAAACATTTGTTTATACAGCATCAAAGCCTTGCAATAATGAGTGTCATCACCTCCCTCCACGCTTGTGTATGCTCTGATCATGATGTTGTAGACGCGAAGATCAGGGTTCTGGATCATGTGAAAGACATTGGCGGCGTAACTGAAAGAACCATAATTCGAAAAAGAGCAAAAGAATAGGAGACGGGTAGTGAGATAATATTGGTCACCTGTGTGTAAAGTTGGGGACTTCAAGATCTGGGTATGAATTTTTTTGAGCTCTTTCAGGTTCTTGCATTGTTCAATCAATCTAGAGAGTGCGTTCTTGAGGGTTAGGCTTAAGGACTCCACAGTTTTGAACTCAACAAGGCTAACCATCATCATCCACTGAAAAAAAGTAAAACTCACCGCATTAATGATGGATGAACCAAAATTGAACCAGTTGAATAAACATTTCCTTTTTGGTATAACTTGAACCCAATCACAAATATAATAACTTTTTTATGTTATGATTATTTTAAAAATTATATTAATGATATTGAATGGTTCGTGTAACGTTTTTACACAAAAAAATACAGAAAAACTAGACACAAATTTGAATGAATTTTTTCTTGTTAGATTATTTTAACAAGTCAGAAAAGATTAATTGGTTACTGGCCTGTGGTTAGTTTTCTTAAACTGAACTCTCAAGTTGAACTTCATGCCCTTACTTAACTAAAAGTATTTCTGGAAACACATTGAAAATGCGAAAACCAGGTTTAGATTATAAAAACTAAAATTTTAGTTTTCGAAAAGCAAATATTTTTTATGATACATGCACTCGTCGTGACTACTGCGTTTAATAATCTTCAGTGCAATATTCAAATTAAATGATATACAAAAGAAGGTGGAAGAAAGTCTTAATGATTTAGGAGACGTGTGAAAGAGAGATGTGTGAGCCTAAAGAAGCTTATGAACAACTGAAAAAGATTGATTCCTAGAGGGTTAGGGAGAGATGACTAATAATTAATGGGGAGTAAAGTACATGTTATTTTTTGGTTTAGTGGTTTATAAGATAATCAAAGATGAATGTTCAAACAAATTTATGATTGATTATGCATCATTTACTATTCACTTTTATATATTTTGAGTCTTTCCTCTAGGCCTTTTCTGGACATTAAAAGTGTGTTTGTGTTTAAAATCTTCTTTGCAACACTTTGGACTTTGGAACATTCGCCTGGTTTATTCGGTTTTAGTTAAAAGCTGATAAAAAGGAAAAGGATTAGATAAGTTATGGTTGAAGAATCCATTAACCGCATATTTGTTTATACTATCATAATTATTTAACAAGAGAAAGGTTATCTCATTGCTTCCTTGAAGTAAATAAATCAATATGCGGAAAGGTGCAGATAAAAGATATTGGGGTAACCAAATCCAATTTAATGGCACCAAAAGAAAGAAACTTGAATTGGGATGCTGAAATTGTGGTTGTGTACAGTGAAGGTAGAGATGATATGGAAGATGCCTTGCTTTGATTTCAGGCCTCCTCTTTCTGCTGCCTTTCTTGTGTGATCTAAATTCTTCCACTTTGAATAAAGTGCTGTGAAGATAAAACGAATAATATACAAGTGTACCTGCTAATGCATTATAAAAGCTTTCTGACATAAGAATACTGGTCTCAGTTTATTATAGAAAGCAATGGAAAACATTGGATGCCTATTATTTTGAACTAATAACTTCCAATAAACACTGTTCTGTTTGGTGTCTAAAACTAGATGGAGAGAGCTTAGATTATAATCTCCCTAATAACTATGCTTATTTTAGCCATCAGAGAACCTTAAATGTGAAGAATCATTGGCAACCAATATTCTCTGATGAAAAAAAAAAAAAAAAAAAAAACAGAAAGCCAAAGAAATAAGGAACAGTTGAAAAAATATATAAGAAATAACTGCAGCATGTTCCAAAGCTTTTCCTAAGAAGATTTTCATGCAAATGTTCACAGTTAACACAACCCTTCAAAAGGATTGCAAGGTTTTCATCTCAACTACAGAACTCAGAATAAACTTGATGGCATATGGGTCCCAAATACAGTGATATGGGGTGCAAACTAATCCTTGAAGACAAAAATGAAAGAGTCACATTCATTCATTGGAGGAGGAGGAGGCAGAGGCATGAACATGTTCATACAACATGGCATGCCAAACCATGCAATTGTTCAAGTTTGGAATCTCCTCAGCCAAAAGGTCACAAAACCAAAGATAAATTTATTGAATTCATTTGTAGTAGTTGCTTGCTTTGTATCTGTTGCCCCTTAGCCTGTGTCTCTTGTTTCATCAAGCAACCATGCATAATCTGTCACCAAGCATTGAGGTGTGCCTGGCAATGGGCATGTTATGGATCAAAGAATTGTGCAGATTATTCTTCATTTTCTGACATTGATTCTGATGTCACGTCTGGTAAGGTTAAGCCTAGGAGTATTTGTGAAGAGAGAAGACAGATTTCATCAAGTGTTATGTAAGAGTAGGTTGCAGTGCAGTTTCATCAAAGCACAATTTGAAGCCTAGGAAAAGAAAAGGTGTCTTTTGTTCCACATATCCTTCTCTTTAAGGCATGACTACTTTATTTTTTTTGTTTCAAGTTTTGGTGTAAGGATAAATCTTCGGTGTGGTGATGCTCCATGCATATTGTATCAGAAAATAAAACTTTTTATTCAAAGTATAAACTATTATTGATTAATATTTTGGACTTTGTTTTCATTAATACAAAAAGAAACTTACTTTTAATCCATTTTGAAAACGGTAATTTTTTGTCAAGAATGGGATTCGAACCCATGCCCTTTCGGACCAGTACCTGAAACTGGCGCCTTAGACCAACTCGGCCATCTTGACATTTGGAAAGAGATAAGTAACTAAAAGTATATAATTAATAAAATTTATTTACATTTGTTAAGAATGGATTGGACTAGTACCTGATAGTCTACTTCTTTTCATTGACAAATATTTGTTATTGGTGGATATTTCAACCTAATATTTATCCCATTTTGTTCTATTATTTTTATCAAGTTGATCTTGTATTTCCAGCACCTGAAATTATTGCATTAGATTTTGACAGTTATTTTCAGAATAATTTTTAACCAACAATAATATTAGTAAAAAAACAATTATGCATGTTAAGTAAGAAGATTATCAATATTACATAGAGAAGAAAAATCGGTTGAGTTTGATAAGCTACTACAAAAATATGATGAAATGTATTATTACTTTAATAGAAAACATGGCCAAACTTAATTTTGGAGAAATTGGCAGGTTAATTTAGAATTTACATTACATAAAATTATGTCTCCCAAATCGTGTAATAATCTTTTATGTTTGACTTTCTTTTTTTCTTCGGTTCTAACAATTAATATTTTGATCAAGAGTTACTTACAGAAAACTCTACCTATGATCTTCTTTTATACTTAAAGTTGTAATAATTGATGCTTTTTCTACTTGTGTCACGTGACATACATTTTGCTTAAACAGGAAGGTTGAGAACAATATAGATTGGTCAACCTAAAAGGGAAAGTTACACTTTGAGGCTATGAGATCAAAGTTTATATTCAAAAACCATTGCAGAACTTCTCTGCTTACACTTCTAAGATGTAAGATTGTTAGCACTTATCATACTAATAATCATATGCCTTAGCAACAAGCTGCAATATGAAAAATAAACTAACATTAGAATAGCCACTACATGAAACTGTGTTATATCCCTCTTCCAGATCTATGCATGAAGTTGATATATTAGCTAGAAAGATCTCTATGCACCACATCCAGCACCACATCCGGCACCACATCCTGCACCACATCCAGCTCCATAAGGCTCTTCTTGATCTGCTGCAGAACTTTTCTCTTTGGATACACCATCTGCACAAGAAAAGATGATGGCTGGAATAATACAAAAGGTAACCAAAACCACCAACAAGATTGCATAGGCATTACCATAGAAACCAATATTTGCATCCACAATTTTCACCTCTCCCAATGCTCTCACCATGGTCCCTCTCTCTTCCTTTAATGGTGTGCACCAGGACTTGCCTTGTTGTTTCAGAAGTATATAGCACACGTATATATGCTTGTTATATATACTATATACAGTGAAGCTAATGTGCTATATAAAAAAATAAAATATCTCTGTGTGCTATTAAAGACGTTTTCCATTTTTCATCACCCTTGAAAAGTATAAGTTAATATTGTTCCTTTAGACTATGGTGGACCACTCAGTTTTTTGTCATGAACTGTACTGTTGTGGGAGCTAACATGACCTCTGGTTTGTTGATTTTTGGTGACGGTCGTATCTCATATTCCATTAGACAAATCTTGTGATCACTTTCAACTATTAAACTGGCATTCATGTTTCAATTGCAAAATGTTTTAAAATCAGAGAAATGGTTAATTTATTCATTCCAGATTTAATAGTTGAACAGTTATGATGATATTAGTTTAATATCCAAAATACACATAAAATATCGAATCAAATATATCATAGTATTTAAGTTTAAATTTCATCAATACAAAACTATCATTAAAAGTAGAAAATTTACATTTTAAATAAAAAACATGATAAATATTTTGACACTATATTAAGCCATTTTAATTGATTCACTGTAAACCGAATCTTTGATTGATTTTACCAAATTTTCACTGGATTATTGTTTATTTAACCAGTTTTTTTTTTTTTTTTTTTAAAAAAACTGTTTTTTGTGTTCTTTTTTTCTGACAAATTAACCACATCGTTAGTTTTTTTATCAATTTGAGTTTTAAATGACTGACAAAACGTTTATTCTAAGAAAACTTTGTTTCAGACTTGGGGAGGTTGTAACTAGTTCATGAGTATATTAAGCAGCAGTGAAAAAAATACAATTGTTTTGCACAGTGGTTGCTTCTTTAGACTAGAAATTATATAAAAGAACATTATTAGAGGCTCCACTTATTGTTGAGTGGAGGACGAAGACCAATAATGTCATGGTTGTTGATTCTTTAGGAAGTTGCAAAATGCAAACTTTTCAATGGAGATTTTATCCTAGAACTCTACGGTAGTACGGCACATTAATGTGTTGGTCTGCAGTTTCTAATTAATATTATGCTCCTCGTGTTATGTTTCCGAATCTTCTTCATCAGCAATTGTAGGATCATTTCAGAAACTTCAGGCTGTGGAACGTTTTCAATTATCAGCAAAAGAAGCAGCAGATTGAAACTCCAGCCACTGGCATTACTCTTATTGTATAAGCACAAATAAGAACAGAGTTTTTGAGGCTTTGGAACGTGCTCAATTTTTATTGGACGCACTGTTGGTATAGTCATAAGTTAGTGGAATTCTTGTAATCCAGGAGCTATATGTTTGCCACATTATAAGTGGGTCATAGACTACTGCACCACCACCTCAAACGCATTATGCTTCTTCATGTGACAAGCACAATTTGGAGATTATGTTAATATCACTGTCACTTTCCGTGACTTTCTCCTCATTACAACTAAGAAAGATGATCTAATGGAATCTATTTGAATTTTCATACAAACCACCTCAACAAAATCAAAATGATGCACTCAAATGTTTTCATTTCCATCCTCTAATAGTCTGACAAGGTGTTTTAGAGTCTGACCTCGGCTTCTCTTTAAATCCGAATGCTAAAATAAGTGGATTTTCATGAACATAAAAGGTGGAGAATATAAGAATACTGACCATTAGATTTTATTAAATATAGAAACCACACCTCACACAATCCGTGTAAACACCATTGAATTACACAATTGGACATGTATATATGAAAATAAAATTATTACATTTTATGGCATTTGTTTTGTTGGAAGGAACATAAACCATCATCTTGTGTATGTTTTTACTGGTGATAACGATCAGCTTGTATCTCTTAAAGCAACTATTTATGTACATTATATGTTTTGAAGTTCGGATGAGTATAATAGTTTATTGGCTTTTCTTTGCCTGCACTGGTCCTCTGGGAATTTTGTTGAGGTAGTTCTTGTTAAAACTCCTATAGTTTTTCCTCAGAACTATTATCATATCGCTGACCCAGTTGTTGATTTCTTCCTCGTACCGTTCATACACAATTGGCAGCGTGTGCACAAAGAGGAAACCTTGTCATGAATGAACCATGAACAAACTTCAGTATAAAATCACATATAAAAATAAGGTTAAATGACTCACATATGCTCCATATAAATTTAAGAACTTTTACTAGATGGTTAAACTATTCTATCAAGTCCTTAGCAAATAGCCAAAAAATATAATTGAGGATAGTCAACTGAATCATTTAACCTAAAAATGAAAGAAGATGAAGGATGCTTACCGATATATAGCAGATTGACAAAGCTGAAGTAACTTCCAATCACTGACAGAATATAGAGGGATACAATGTTCTGAAATGGTTTTAAAAGTAAGATGTCAGGTTTACGTATTTGTTAGCTAAGAAATTCACTTAAGTTTCGTGAAAGAAAATGAATATTGGTTAAGTATATATACCAGAAGAAAGATTGGCAGGTCTATTCCACATGAAATATGGAGGAGCATTGGTAATAACTGGTTAAATCTTCTGTGCAGAATTGAAGCAAGTTCATGGAAGAAAGATTCCTGTAAAATAATGTCTGGAATCTGGGGAGGTTTCCTGAAGATATATTTATCAAAGGGAATGTCATAGAAGAACAGACCTAAAGTATGTTATTTGTTTTCTAAGTATGCAGAATAGAACAATATAAAACTTCTTACATAATAATTAATAATAGAAAATCACTCCACATGGATTTCCCTTATAGCTAATATTATGAATTCCATTTAATCTTTTAATTAGGAGCCATGCATGACAGTGTTTAGTGGATTGATCCGTCATTTAGATCCAATACCAACCAAAGAGGATATGATATAAATTAGGAAAATATCATCGCGTATATCTATATTCATAGGCACAATTAAGTTTGATTGGGTACCATTTTAATATATCTGCAACCGTGGACCATATGAATAGTACAAGCATGGTGGTGATGGAAATGTGACAAAGGAGAGTCACGAAATTGTACTCAACAATCTCAAATAGAAACCATATCACTGTCATCCCTCCCAAAAGCGCAGCTGATAAATTTCTGTCCCTCCATAATAACATATCTGCCACTGCAAGTTCCCGAATTATCAGAATCAATTCATTGATTATATGTCAAAACTTCCTTAAAGTCACATCATTAACACAATTCTAAGAAAATACAAATGAATATTTTTTTGTAGCATATTTTCAAGATCAATTTCCTCATAAGTTGCCCACAAAATGTAAGTGCCAATGCAGCCAATATATATATATATATATATATATATATATATATATATATATATATATATATATATATATATATCTCAAGCATGGAGTAATCAGAAGTAAAGTAGCACCTCTGATGAGATTGGTGTTTTAGAATAAATTAGCATCTTGAATCCAGGTCTGAATTTCAGTTTATTAAATGAAACTCAGATATGAAATTTTGTGTATGTTAAGAAATTGAATTTAATGTGGTACCTTTTCCTCCTCCAAGAAGTTGATGTATCGGTTTTTCATGTCTGAAGAGCTTTACTCGTGCTCCGATAATTTCATTATCAGAATCAGATGATGTATCGTTCGCCATAATTCCTTCTTGACTGATATTGTGTTATAACTCCACCATTTATATTCAACATATCCTACCTTACGTATATATTTTCATGCACAAGGAGAGGAGATTCTATGCTCATCACTAAAGTAAGGAATGACTTGGGGCTAACTTGAGCATATCTGCATTCCCACTGACACTCTAAAGTATCTATGCCCCGAATCTGGATGAGTCTTCTTTCAGCAACCAACTCTCCATTTTATGCAACCCTATTACAAAACTGGAGCAAGCTAAATAAAGCTTTTTTATGTTTGAAAATAATTAAATATTTAGGTTTATAGTATTGTTTTATATACACATATATAAAGGGTTATATAAATTGTTGTAGATTCTCTTATTTTTACAAATATTGTAAAAATAACAAAAAATATTGATGTATTAGTGTACTTCTTAAAAGCGAAAGAGTCTGGAAAAGTTATTTTAGAAGTGATTGTATATTATTGTAAAGTTATTAGCATCAAATTGCAGTTGATATCCATGTTAACCAGGTGTTTGCACTGTTAAAGTGTTAAAAATATTATCCTTTATGTTATTTAAAAAAAAAACACTTATTCAAATTATGTTTAGGAGTGTTAAAAGATTGGTAAAAAAAGTGTTCCGTATTAAAATATATTTTGTTAAAAGAAGAAGAATAAAAATATCAAATTACTGAAAAGCTAAAAGTGAATTTTATAAAACAGATAGAAAATAAAATAAAAAATTCTAAAAATTTACACATACGCCATGCATGTTAGAGCATTTTTGTAATGGACAGAAATTGTTTCACAACTCAAATAATTAATAAACAAATTATATAAAATTAATGCCGTAACTTAATAATACTATTTAACAACAAGATCTATTAACAGGATAAAATATGATAAACAAATTTTAAATATTAAAAGTTATTTCTTATAAAATGCTTAAAAATTTTTAAAAATTTAACCCTTTCCAAATTAAATGACAAGTTGAAGAATAATTGTTTTATGAAAAGGAAGTAAATAAATGCTGCCACATCAAACTCAAGTTTCTTAATAAGTTAAGTGACATAAGCAATATTTAAATTTCTACAAATACTACTAAAAATATTAAGATAAAAAATAAAGTTTGGTGACAGAAAATAATTTCTCTTAATTCATGACTTTTTACGGCGATTCATACAACTTATAGTTAATATAATTTCTGACAGATTTTGTGACCGATCTTTTGTCACAAAATTTATCAGATGAATTTATGACCAAAACATTCGTCATTAATTCTTTTCTTAAATAACTGTCACAAATACAAAACATTTTTTATTGAAATTCTTCACGTGCTGTTCTCCAAACACAAATGATACACCTGACAGATTACCAACTCTACCTATACGACCCTTAATATATAAAATCAGGAAACCAACGGTAAATATATAAAAATTAAGTATTATATAAAAATAAATATATTACATCTGTAATATTATTAATTAAATTTAAATTTTAAAAAATAAAAAATATTTTAAGTTTTTTTCTTTGAGAAAATGAATCTTTAATTTTACTTTTATATTTTTCAATTTTTTATATTTTAACAATAAAATAGAGTATCATAAAATATTAAAATAACTAATTAATTAATAATAAGGAAAAAAATTATATCAATTTTCATATATATATATATATATTACATATTAATTTATTATAATAATAAATAAAAATAATAAAGAAAATAATTTTATTTTTATTTTTTATTTTAAAAATTATTGAAAGATATACCATTTATTTTTTTATTTTTTACATTTATGCTTTCTTGAATTGACGATAAAAATATTAAAAAACTAAAAAATAAAAAATTATAATATTAATTGTTATAAAGATGAAATTTTAAAAAAGAAAAATTTGAAAACTAAAAAAGAAATTTCAATTTTTATGTTACATGGTAAAACCGTAAAAAAAATGAAAATGAATAAGTGATAAAATTTAAAAATAAAAATATGAAAAGATAAAATGAGTGATAAAAATAAAAGATAAAAATATGAAAAACACTATGAATGTCTAAAAGAAAAAGTTGAAATAAAAAAAATAAAGAGATGAGAAAAAAAATATAAAAAAAAGAAAAAAAGGAAAAAAAAAGTGTAAGGAATAAATTGTATAAAAATATATAATATTTATTATTAATAAAAATTAAGAGAAGAAAAAATAAAAAATAAAAAATGTATTTATATTTTTAAAATAAAATTTATTTCATTTAATATATATATATATATATATATATATATATATATATATATATATATATATATATATATATTATTTGATTTGTGTTTCAGGTGTGACACTTGCTGGCCCCTTAATTCCGCCTCTGTATACAAAAAATTATTTTACCACCATCTTTAGTTTTGTTGGTAGATGAGAGTATCTTTGTGTAATCAATTAACATTTTTGATATATTATTTATTTTAAAATTTTATTCTATCACAATTTTTTTAAAATATATCTAAATAAATTAAGAAAAGGAAAAAAAACTGTATAAATTATTATTAACTTTAATTTTTAAGTGAGTTCGATCATATATATAAAAACAAATTCAAAATTTTGGATTCACGTCAATTTTTATAAATCGCACTTCATCAACGCAGCACCACACAATTCCCGTTTATTATCTTCAATTTTGCATTCGTTTTTTTTTTTTTTTTTCATAATGGATTCGAATTTCATGTTACAAAATCAAAATAAATAGTTGTTTATATTTCTCAATTTTTGAATCTGATTTTAAGAATCAACGGTACTTTACACTTTTAAAAGAAAGTGACGAATGTATAATTTTATTGATCTCTACTATTAGGTTATGTGTTGTTGTGATTTTTAACTCTTCATGTCATTATCTATCTATATGTTATCGTGTTTTCTTCTTTTCACTTAAATAATTTATTTATTCCCAATAAATTTACCATTTTTTTGTTTGCTTCCTCAATTTATTTCCCATGCTATTAATCATTGATTATGTATATACATTTCATATCCTATCATTCATTTTTCTTATCTAAGTACTAATGAGGATTGGTTGGTTTTCCTTAATTTTTAACCTATCAATATTGTCGATTAAATATAGGTTTTTATTTTTTTTAATCCTTAGTTGATGAATAATGTCATTAAAGTTTTAACTTTTACCTCCTTACATACATAATTGTTGGGATTTTAAAGGGTTAATACTACTATTGAATTTAATTAAAGGAGACAAAATAAAAATAATTTTATCTTCTAACTTAAATCTTAAGACAATATTATTATATAGATGAATAAACTTTCATTACAAAATAATAAAGTAAGTTATGTCTAAAGAGTGAAAATAATATTCATAAAAAAAAAAGGTTAAAACAAGAACAAACATTTATTTTATAAAATATTTTAATTTGTGATCTTACCCTCCTTAATTTTATTAACTATATCATGGATAAGAAAAAATAAATTAAAAACTTGAACAAATTAAAAAAAATGAGATAGTGAAACCTGAGACAAGACCATTGTTTCCCATGAAAACTATCTATATAAGGTACATGCGCAGAACTAAATTTATACAAGTATTCTTAGAAGGAAAAATCAAGTCTTTGGTGTGAGAAGAGTGATGATGGCGCAGAGAACTGAACCAGTAGTGGTCACCATAGATGTTTTTCAAAAGGGAGGTATCCAATGGAAGCAATTCAACCTTGACACCTCCACTGCTTCCTCTTCACCTCCAAAACCATTGCTAATATTTACACCAACTGTGCCTGGTTCTTACCCTGTAATGCTTTTCTGCCATGGCTTCTTCATTCGCAATAGCTACTACTCTGAGCTCCTAGCCCACATAGTTTCACATGGATTCATAGTTGTTGCTCCTCAACTGGTGCATACCCTTTCTAATTTCTTGCTATTTCTTCATTATACATGTTAAGTACTTTATGTTTATACAATTTTGTTTCATCATATAAAACCAAAACTTACATTCTTGAACGCAATGTTATCACACTATTTACTTTAGTTTCAGACAAGTTGTGAGAATGGTAATCTGTTAAAAGAATGAAAATAATTTAGTGATAGTATTATGATGTTAAAGAAAAACCCTAGTGTTATATTTACATACAGGCACATAAAAATCAACAACTGATTTTAAGAAAAACTATTCAAGACAGTGAAAAACTTTTAAAAGCTTCGTTTATTGCTTTTTGGACTTTGGATTCTCTAACACAGCTTTTCCTTATCCCATGCTAGTTCTCCAATGGGTTGCCTATGTTTGGATGCGAAGAAATAAAGTTTGCAGGAAAAGTTGTGGATTGGCTAGCCATGGGGCTTCAACCTCTGCTTCCTGAGAACGTTGAAGCCAAATTGGAGAAAGTGGTTCTATCAGGTCACAGTAAGGGTGGAAAAACTGCATTTTCTGTGGCACTAGGTTATGCTAAAACCATGCTAAAGTTTTCTGCACTTGTAGGCATAGACCCTGTGGGAAGCATATCTAAGTGTAATGTTAGCAAAACAATTCCTGAAATTCTCACAGGGGTGCCACGTTCACTGAATTTGAACATTCCCGTGGCTGTAATAGGCACTGGACTAGGACCAGAAAAGGCTAATATTCTTTTTCCACCATGTGCTCCTGATGGGGAGAACCACAAGGAGTTTTTCAACGAGTGCAAACCCCCTTGTGCACATTTTGTTGCAACAAAGTACGGTCACATGGACATGTTGGACGATGAAACACCTGGGGCAATGGGGACCATGATGTCTAAGTGTATGTGCAAGAATGGGAAGGGTCCTAGGGACTTGATGAGAAGGACCGTGGGAGGGTTGGTGGTGGCCTTTTTAAGGGCACAGTTGGATGAAAAATGCAAGGATTTTGACGCCATTATAACTGATCCTGATCTTGCTCCTGCTAGACTTGATGATGTGGTGTACATACCAGCATGAAAGGAACACTTGATTTCGTTGTTTGTGCTTACTATGATTCTCTCATTTTGGACAGAGTACTGTGTTCAAATCACAGGAAGGTAGAGTGTCTGTGTTTGGGATCAATGAATGAGTTACACCTAATTCAGGACTTCAAAGTGGATCCACTTACTCTACCAGATGTTGTCATAGTTTAAAATTGTAAATTAAAGTTGTTTTAAACATGAGAAGTTGTTGCAAGCTGAAGAGTTTAAAAAATTGGAAAATGACTTACAATAACATATGAAAATATAAATATTATCAATAAAAATAGAATTCTAAAAGCATAAAATATAATTTCACATGGATTCATACTTGTTGTTCCTCAGCTGGTATATTTCTAATTTCTTTTTTTCATTATAGATTATTTTTCGTACCAGTAATTTTATTTAACCATAAAACAAAAACTCAACGCATTATCTTTATTGTCAACTTTTATTTCAAACAAACAGTATTTCTCTGACATAGTTTTTACCTTTCTTCCAATGTTAAGGAAAAGTTGAAGCGAACATGGATCAATTGGTTCTATCAGGTCACAGAAAGGGTGGGAAGAGAGCATTTTCTGTGGCACTTGGTTATGCTTATGCAAAAACAAACCTCAAATTTTCAGCACTTGTAGGCATAGACCCTGTGGCTGGAACATCTAAATTTTGTGAAACACTTGCTCATATTCTCAAGGGAGTGCCTGTGCCTGTGATTGGTTCTGGGCTGGGCCCAAAGAAGGCTAATTGTTCTACTCCTCCTTGTGCTCCTGATAAGGGAGATTTCAATGAGTGAGGTTTTTATCTTGCATTTTTCTTAATAATATAGTTTGATTTGATGTTTTTAAATTCCCCAAACGATTTTCATTATCTTATAATTTTAGTGTATCAAATTATAATTACATTAATCATTATAGTGGTGTGAATTAGTTTTTTTAGACTACTGATAAGTCAATTAAAAAGGATGGTCAACTCAGAATACCCATCTTGACATTATCGTAAAACATGTTTTTAAGAATTAAGTGCTTTTACACATTATAGGAAACGCGTTTTTCGCAGGTTCCTTTTTTAGAATTTGAATACATACGCACATTGTGATCACAGACCAAGCGTTTGCGTTTGCCAGAAGTGTTTTATTATTTTAGCAGGTTCTTTTATTATTTTGTATAAGAGAAACTGTATTTAGTAATTTTTCTATTTGTAACAAGCGATAGTAGAAGAAATAAACTTAAGTTTGGATAAACATTTCAAAATTTTAAGAAATTAGTTACTCTAATTTTTTATTTTTTAATAAAAAAGTGTTTGACTATCATTTGTTTATCATGCTGGCTAATTTTTAAGTGACATATAATTAAATATCATCAATTAATTTATTTTATACTTAAGAATGTAATTATGTAAATCAATAGAGTATTTTGTAAATATGATGATCCATATAAAAATCATTTCTAAATATTTAAAGGTGAATTTTTAGATAAAGTGAAGTTATTGAATGTAAAAACTGGTGAAATTTAAACCATTAGAAAATTTGTAAAAAAAAATAAAAATAAATAAAACTTATTCATATTCAAACTATTAAATTATTATATTATTTGATCTTATTTATATCAATTTTTATCAAAATAAAAATAAAATAATGAAATAATTTATGTATAAATAAAAACACAGACATATGTTTATTTACAACATTTAACTCACTTCAAAAGAGATCGACTACCATATTGGCTTCTTCTTCTTCAACACTTCATTCCTCTTAACTCTTCAATGTGTCTTTTTAACATGAACATGCATAATTCTAATGAGTTTCTTAATAATAAACTAAAAGGTTATAGAATTAATTAGCATGATAATAATCAAGTTTTAAACTATAATAAACGAAGATAAGTATTAAAAAAAAATGTAAGTCTAGAATGAGTTTATTTTATTTTTCTATAGAGACATGCACTTTTAACCATGATTGCAACAAGTTCTCGATGCAGATAGCTTTCCATAAAATTTTCTGGGGATGGAATTCAGAAATATTTTATTATCTTGGGATACCCTTTCAGAAAAGTAGGTGCTTTAGCATGCTTAATTAATCCCACGTCTCATGCATGATCATATATTATACTAGTTGCATCTTTTCTTCTAAATTTTCCTGGCCCACAAGATCACCTTATTTTCCTTTTTCTTCAAAAAAAAAACCACTCTTTAGGTGAAAGTATATTATTTAAAAGGTTGTTCTTCTATAATTTTGATACATAAACGTAGGAACCAAAAATTTTATAACATGTTTAAAAAACATTGATATCAAAGAATTATATCATATTATGTTGGTAATCCAGCATTAAAGTTGTTTAAAGGGTGAAAGATTCATCTTAATAACAAAGTGATACTGCTAGATCTCTGGTAATAGTCATTCTGAGTAAAGTACAGAAAAGAATTAGCCTTGATTTTCTCGCTAAAGAATGTGGCCAATAAACAAGCAAGTGAAAAGAAAAGAGAAGGGACATGAATCTTGAGAAAAAGTAAAGTTTGATGCTGGTGTTGGTGTTGGTGCTTGATATAATAGTGAACTAAGCTTGTGCAGATTGATATGTGAGCTTATCATTCACCGTTGTTCAGCACTCTCTAGGCCAAAATTGACTGATGTAAGCAATGATAAATCCTCAATGATCATCTGAGCAGCACGAAGATTAAAAGTTGAAGGTACCATGATTTTAAGGCCCCACACGTTGCATCATGATAACAACCACTTTAATTGTTCAATAAAAATACAACCCCCCTTTAATTTTGACTTAGAATAGACCAAAATAATCTAGTAAATTCAATGATTATGTGCGTGAATTCACGCCAATTTGATCCCTCTTTTGCTTTTCCTGTACGAATTATTGTAGAACAAGTGAGCTGATGATTGTTATTGCTTGGCGTGCTTAAAGTATTTAGTGTAACAACAACATAATTAAATGTAAAACTATGAACAAATTTGCAGTTTTGTTGATTATAGAACTCCATGACATACATACCAAGTGCATTCAGAACTAGTAACATTGGTTAATTAAACTTGAACAAATTGATACATCTTTCTTCACTGTAGTTTGTTTTATGTTTCCCTTTAATCTCTCCCATCAATAAGAAAACAAAAGAAAAATTTAGAGGATTTTGGTTTGAGTAAAAAAGCCTTGTGGGATATGCTCAATTTGCCTTCCACTCACACAACAGATCAATGATCACTGCAGAAAATCTGAGCAAAGAAATGAAACTTTCAAAAGATTAGGCGCCTACAAAAACAAACCTGCACCTTCTAATCTGAACATGAAATGTCCTCCACTTGGTGGTTTTTCACTTTTCTTGGACAAAATTTCACATTCAAAATAGCAAATCTAATCCTCATTTTTTTTCCCCATTTCTTAGAGGGCAATCTTGTAACAGTGATATGACCAATAAAATACTGAAAGCTTAAGTAGGCAAGAATTGTTTAGGGTCAATTGGATCGGTCTTAATAATTATGATCATAGGATTTCCTGTTTCCATTAGACGACAATTATAAGAAATGCTTATTTAATTACTGTCTTTTACAACACCCCAACTAATCTTACATTGATCAAGAGTCAAACCCTTTTGCATCAATGAAACCACAGAGATAGGTATCAATTGGGTTGGTTCTTGGAAATAATTTTACATTGCTAATCATAGATTGGCAGCACCCTATTCCTTGTAATCCATTGCACTATGTAGTACCCTCCTTGGTCATGATGGCTACTGATTGTGAAGTTCATTTCACTAATTTCCCAGTGCGTGTTATGATCATCATAAGACAGCATGTGACTTTATGATAAAAGAAGCAGACATGGATGTAAACAAATACTCACCACATCAACATCACCGAAAGGTACCACGGCCGAAATGTGGGTCAAGGACATTCATGCATGCTGGTAGAAAATTGAAAACAGAAGGGAAAAGAACAGGAAATATTTCTATTTATAATTTACTAAACTCAAATTTGATTTCTATTTAAAAAAAAAAAACAAATTGTCCACATTTTCTCCAAAAAGTGAAGCCAACCTGAAATGATAGAAGGGAATTTGATCCATAACAAGTTGAGCTGTAGAAGTTGGTTTTTGGAGAATCAATTTGTTTTACCTTTTCATTTTTTTTCTTTATGATTACTTATTATACTGGATATGAATTTTCTTTTATCTATGCCACTTTGTAAATGCCATGGCTGAAATCAGCAATCTAGCTTTTTGACTGAAAAATAATTTCACCACATGTTCTGTAGTCGTCTTTCTTTCTTTCTATCCTTTTACTCCCATTTGCTAAGAGATTGAAATTTGCACAGCAGAGTGAGCAGTGGGAAATAATTGCATTTCAAATGACTTTGGTTATAGTTTCAGTCTGATATGTTACAATCTGTTTGACCACCATTCCACCGAAAGGTACTAAAATAATGCAGATGTTTATTAACATATGCAAAATTTCAACTCTGAACTATATGACAAAACCATCTAAAATATAAAATAGCAATATAATTTTGACCTTCAGACAATAGGAAGAAAAAACATTATAACATCAATAAACTACAAAAAAACTTGTGCAGCTTGCATCCAAAAGTACTCAGTTTTGTCAAATATTTAAAAGTGATTTTAAAAATGCTAATATTTTACAAAAATGTTTGTCGTTACCTGAAATCATTATGCAGTAATTTGGAGGCTAATAAATCTCTGGACTCTAATAATCTTTACCTCTAAATAGTGGACCAAAGTTTAAAGTGGTGAGATAAGGGACAAACCTAGCTACTCTCCCTCACTCTTATAATTTGATCCCACCTTCCCATGCTCTTATTTATTTTTGCTTTTCACTAAGCTCTCAGTATAAATAGGGACTAAACTCAACCCAAGATGCACCATCACAGAAGCGATTAACATATTCCTCTCATCCTCACTCAAAGCAGAAAACCTTGTTCATACTAATTTAGGTGAAAATGAAGGCAGTACACATTGCTTTGTGCACTTTGGTGGTGCTGCTTGTGGCTGAAGTTCAAGTGTCAATGGCAGTAACATGTAGCCCAGTACAGCTGAGTTCATGTGTGAGTGCAATAACCTCTTCAACTCCTCCATCAAACCTATGCTGCTCCAAGATCAAGGAACAGAAACCATGCCTTTGCCAATACCTCAAGAACCCCAATCTGAAGAAGTTTGTGGACTCTCCCAATGCAAGGAGAGTTGCTAGCACTTGTGGAACTCCCTTTCCAAGGTGCTAAGTGTTGAATTTGAAGAGGGTTTCTCTGCCTGATTATGCATGATCTGATCTCGATCCAAGTGTTCTGGCAAGAGACTGAGAGTGAAAGAAAATATATATATATGGTATCATCATATATGGTGTGGTTTAACGTCTCTATGTTTTAATGTTAGTAAAAGTACTAGTCCTAATGGATATGTGATGCTTTGGTTTCATGTCATTCCATTTCAGTTACTTGGTGTGGTCTCATCTTATGTAACGTTAATTGTTGCAAAAGGCTGTATTTATAAGTATCTCATCATGTTTTCTTTTTAACTCTCCTTTTTTTTTCTCTCTCTCACTCAATTTCTAATTGTTCACTCAATTTGTTATTGACTTTACTTATGAGAAAAACATTTAACATAAATTGAACAAGCCATAGAAAAAAATGGAGAAAACCTAGTAAAAATGTAATTTGGGTGCATCATAGTTGCCTTAACTATGATGAGTATCCATGATTGTGGAACTGACATAAGATAACATCCTATATATCCAGTACTTACACACTTTTGTCTCATCTTCACGTAAGTAAAAACAATTTTAGCTTATATCCCTCTAACAAATCACTCATATGCTCACTAAAGGCTAGTGAAATATAAAACATAGAAACCTGCAAGATTTGTCTTTCATTTGTGTAAACATGTCATGCTTTCTTCCTCGTTTCATAGCTGCATACTTTATTAAGAATAGATATGCTTATACAAAATTATAGGTTCAAATTATTTATTCTTATTATATTTTTTCTTTATTTAGTCATTTCCTTTTATTTAATGATACCCGTTAAAGTGTTATAGAGAATATTAACTTAGTTGGAATTTTCTACTGTTCTTCTTTGCACTAATTTGTCTTCTTTTGATTAAGCTGATAAGAGTACAGTAGTGAAAAAAAAAAGTTTAAACCAATATGAAATAAAGTGAGATGACATATTTAAAATTAAATATTATAACATTTTACATTTAAAGAAGTTTAAATATTAAAATTGTGATCAACCAAAAAAAAATAAAAATAAAAAATACAATATTTCTTTACATTTAAAGAAGGGAAACAGCAACTTGGAACTCAACATCACAAAAGATTCTTCTAATCAATTGACAATATGTTAGAATTATTTTGGCTCCCCTTTGATGTCCCATGTTTTTCCTTCCACGATTTTAGACTCCATAGTTTAGAAAATTCATAATTTTTACCCAATATTCGATTTTTCTTACATTAATTGCTTTTACTTTTACATTTTAACTAATTAAATTAATTTTTATGTACCTTAAATAAATATGTAGGTATAGGCTTTTCAGTTAGACCAAACTAAAAGACATAAAACATATGTAAAATTAAAAGTTAAACTAAAATTATGAAATTTTTAAAATTTGAAAATTGAAATCATGGATCAATAATTAAAAGAGACTAATATTACAATTTAACCAAAGAAATAGTATACTTTTTGGACTTTAAGAAAATAAAGTATCTAACATGAGAGCCTTTATAAATTAATAGAAGTTTAAACATTTAAGAAATGAATGGAGTTTCTTCCAGAACCCCACCTATTCTCAGATCTCATATTTATTCTGGACATTTTGAAATGTAAAAAATCATTTCAAATAGACCATCACCTGTTTTTTTTACAATCGACATTTCGAGATATAAAACATAACTTCCAGAAAGTCCACTTTAGAATGACTTAGAAAGTAGCCCAAGAAATATATTGGGCCTGATTGGTCGTTCATCTACAGAAGCGCATGCTCTTTCTTCATGTGTGGCTGACACATAAAGGTGTAACACAAATCGCACCCAAAAGTGGAGCAAATACACACATTGAAAACATGCTTCTTTTATATAATGGGAATCCAATGAATTGGATAAGTTTATTGGAATAAATAACATAGTCCAAAACAATAATTTTGAATTGAGAAATGCGCCAAAATCAATTAACATTTACAAGATTTTTAATGGTACCTAATATACAAACATGAAATGTATTACAAATTAAGCAAGTTTGTAATGGGATTCCAGCCCATTAACCATGGCCTCTTGTCCGATGGAAGCGCGAAGTTCAGCTCAAACATTTCCTTTGACATGTTGCGTCCTGTTCGGAAACCCACAAGCTTTGCAACAATTTCAGCACTCTCCTGTACATGGACTTGGTCATGAGGATCAGTCCAAAGTTTGCAGATAAATTGCATCCTCCTCTGCTTCCCATCAAGAGGGACATCCCATTTCATATATAATGCTTCCCTCTCCTCCAACGACAGACGTGATGTCAGTCTCTTGGCCAGAAATTCCCTTTCTCGTTTCAAAGCTCTCATACTGCATATAAAGTATATCTCAATGAAAACTTCTAATTCATAACTGCATGTTGTAAAATATATATTCCAAGATAAAATATCATTTATGAGTAACGAATAAGAACCTTGATGACAATGAGATAATAGGTTCATCCCCAGCATGAGGAGCTGGGCTTGCATTCCCAAGTTCGGCTAGTTGTTGTTGCAACCATGTCAAACGCCTTAGTTCTACTTCCATGTATATTTGATCAGCTGGATCTCCCTTGAATAACAAATAAAACTGGGTCCTATGGATGATGGAGACATAGCATAGATCCCATAATTCAAGGATCAGCTGCCTTTGCTCTTTGAATGTTATCTGCCAAGAAACCTGGGGTTCCTCCGGTTCACACGGGTACTCTTCGTTTTCGATGTTGTGACCATTTGCTTCGTTTGCTTCAAGTTCAAGCACCTAATTATCCAAATAAAAAAAACATCAATCTAAAGCTAATATAGAATGTGCAATGGCATTGAAAGTAGGAAGATTTTTTATCTACAAGTATACCTGGCAAACAAGTAACTGCTTTTGGTACTGCAGTTTGGCTACACGTTCTTTCAATTCTGTCACATATGCTCTTATACTTCTTACATTCTCCTCTGCTGCATTCTGAAACATTTTCTGCATTTTCTTCATGTTAACTGAGCTAGAGCGTCGATAACCCGGTGTATTTTCCTTCGATGAAACATCTCCCGCTTCTTCACTCTTTGTTGGAGTCTCCTTCTCAGACTCAGGCAGAGTATCAGTGGAAATAATATCATCATTCTCTGGAGCTTTATTTTCAATATCAGATTCCAAAACTTGCTGAGGAGTGGATAATGGTGAGCAGGGAGATCTTAGAAAATTTTGGCGATTGGCAGCATTGCTTGAAGACAAAGGAAGCAACTTCTTCCTCCTATGTTCCTTTTTATGCTTAGGGGATGCTTCATTGGGTGAATGTTGAAAGTTATTCGGGAGAGACATCACCAATTTGTCTATGGACCTTTGAACATTTTCAAGCTGCTGCTCAAGATTTGCAATGGTGCTGCCTTGTGAGTGAAGTCGGGTAATCTCTTCCTTGAGATTAGCACTGACACTCTTATTGATTGAAACCATGCTTCCAACTTCAACCTCCTTGGGTGTTGTTGACCTAACAGAACGCATTTCCCTTATTTCTGCCTGCAGTTTGGCAATTGTCTCAGCTGCATCTTGGTTACCTAGTCTATGACACGCCACTTCCTTTTGTAATACTTCCAAAGCTCTATTGGCTTCTTCACCTAGCTGCTCTTGGAGATGCTCAAGCTTTCGAATTTCGTGCATTAGGGTAAAAGGAGCAGCAGATGACTGCCTCAACGACTGTCTTAAAGTTGATCTTCTTACTCTCTCGCATCCTGGCTCTGGTTTTAGCGATGACAGTGCACCGGTGAATGAGAGGCACTTCTTGACCGGCAAATGTGGTGACTCAACTGGGTTGGAGACCTGAAGTGCAAAAGATCTGAAACTCAGTCGAAATGAATCATGACACAGATAAAGGTCGTAGAGAAAAAGAAGAGAGAGGAAAGAGACCTTTGGGTCATCCTGAAGCTTTCTGCGTAATTCATCCACCTGAGTTTGTGCAAGATCTCTCTGACGCCTCAGCTCTTCAATTTCCATTTCCATCTGGACAAAATCAGGTAACAATATTCAGTACTATGCTATCATACTTGTTCGTCCTAATGATCAGTTTTTTATTTTCCAATTTACCTGTTGAATTTTCCAATCCTTTTCATTGGAGGGATCAGGAGTGCGCAACACTGCCTCAAGCCTTGCAACTTCCTTTTGTAAATGTTTAACAAGCTGCTTATCTGATACAACCTATTGAAAAAAAAAAACAGTAAAATTTGTTTCTTCTAATTTGAAAAACTAAGAAAAGATTATCAGTAACTGAACAGATAAGTTACCATGTTAACTTGAGCGTTATTTGTTACTTCCTTTGCCCGGGTAGCAAACAAGAGAGTGTTTCGTGATTGCTCTACATGAGTCAGTGCTGGACTCAAAGTACAAACTATGGCAGTGCGTGCATTCCCACCGAGGGAATGTTGCAATATACGCGTTAGTTTTGAATCCCTGTAAGGTATATGCCCACTTCTTTTCCCAACACTGCATATGATGATATGAAAACAAGCGGTTAGAAGAAGATGAAACTAGTACTCAATTCTAATGGCACTACCACGTAATATTTTTCCATTATAACAACTCAATCAACTTTCTGTAAACAACAGAAATCCTGACCTGAGCTTCCTGATAACAGTTGTAAGAGTCATCAAGCTAAGGTTAATATGGCAGCCTTCTTTCAGCCTAGTGCCATCTGCATGTGTCTGTGCAGCCCTCTCACTTCCAGCAAGATCAACAAAGTTCTGCCATCATAGACGTGTTATTCAACAAGAACTAATCCAACCATCTAAAAGAAGATAAGTGGGAAACATCAAATTACCAAGGTTGCGACAAAAGATTTCACACAATCTGTATTTTCACGAAGAGTACTTTGAATTGTCTGCAAGGAAGAAAAAAAAAATCTTCATATTAATTACGAGAGGAAGAGGAAATAGGATGATATTCTGAATTCCAACAAATAATTGTACTACTGTCACTGACCAGTCTTATTATCTGGTGAGACCGCGAGCTGTTATCATTTAGAGCAGTTTCGCCAACCTGCCTTTGAGCTGCCAAATAAAAGAACTTTAATATACTAAATAGTTTGGGTACGGAACACGTATATAACCTCAAACAAACAAGAAAGTTCCCTTACCTTCACAAATGGAGATCAAATGTCTCAAATGCTTGTCATCTTTTGCTGTCTCTTCCACTAATTTCTCAACCACAGTTCCTTTCTACATTACATTAAGAATATTTAGTTAAGAAGGAAATAAAGTAAAAGCATGCTACTGAATTGCTACCTCATTAGAAAAGAAAGAAAATAAAAACAAAAACTTCACAATGTTTCAAAGATGACACAGGATAGTAAAATATGCAGTTCCAAATTCATGACGAAGAAGGAACTAAATTGTGAGCTTGCTAATACTAGAGAGAGAAAACAGGGGGAAATTGGGATATTACCTCGGGATCGTCGAGAAGCTTCAAACTGCGACCAGATTCCGAATTTAACAAGTCCCTTACATTCTCATTGTATATCTCTAGTCCAGATATTTTTATGGTGAAATCCCTTTCAGGTGACTGTAATGATTCCAATTGAAATATATTTAGTCAGCAATTCAATAACGTTCAAAATTCTAATATTTTATTAGATATATTAAATTAAAACAAGGCAAAATATTCCCTTCATAGCAATAAGAATCCAATTCTACAACTGATAAAGAATATGACCTATAATGAAGCCTTGGAAAAACTTACATTCATAATGTGCTCGTAGATATCATTGACAGCCTTCTCTGTTATGCCTCTCATTGTGTACGTCTTTCCACTGCTAGTTTGTCCATAAGCAAAAACTGTGGCTGCAACAAATAAGCATGCAATGGTTATGTTATGCAGTCTCAAGCAGATAATGGAGGTGAAGACATAAAAACACAAATATCCGACGCAGTACCGTTGATGCCAGTTAACGCAGATAATGCGACTTTCTTTACTCCTTCTTCATATACTGACTCTGTTACTGAAGCAGGACCAAAAACTTTATCTGCAGGGAGAAAAGGTAGGTCAACAAATATAAAAGGTTTAAGACATTAAATTCAGAACCGTGAACTGAAAACGAGTAAGCATAGGAAAATAGGATGAACAATTTCATTTGGTACCAAAAGTAAACGACGCTGGTTGAGCAGCACGTTCATGTGCCGGTGGTTTATACACGATAGTATAATCATTGACGCAGTCCCATGCCACCTGATCTTTAGCCAATTGCTCCCTTTTGTTCAAAGGCCTCAGCCTTACTGTGACCACAATCTTCTCTTCCCTAGCTCTTGGCCCTCCTGGAGTTGATACCGGTGTCCTATCTATCTTCGAAGCTGGTGTTCCAGGCGTTTTCAAAGTCATCTTCTGGAGAAAACCACCAACAAAAAAAAAAAGGAAAAAAAAGTTAGTAAATAGAAAAGTTAACATTTAGGGTTAGTTCACTAGTTCTTCAAATAATTCATGTTCCTGATAATGTTCAACACTGAAATGATGCTAGATCAATCGAAATCTCTTCCAATGTGACAAAAATCGTGCTCAAAAGAATGTCAAACGAAGTTTCAAATAAGAAAAAATAGTTGAAAATTTTATCAAAAATAATATTAAACTGAGGTCGTATAGATTCGATGCAGAGTACTCAATCGCCAAGGATTAAGTTTAGAGAAGGATGAAATCGGAATTAAATTTTAATACACTAAACTCAAAAAAAGGAAAGATTACATTCCATGTTAATTCAAATTGGATGCTGATTTCAAGGATTAGACTGTAAAACAGGAAAGTGAGTAAGTAAACAAAGAAAGAAGCACATTAATAATGGAATCAAAATCCTCAAACGGAAAACACTTCATCAACTGAAGAGAGAGTTCAAAAGGAACTAGCGGAATAGAAGGAAATGGAAGCATAAACTCACATCAACTTCAGTTGAGTAATTTCTTCAACTCAGATCCAGAAGAAGGAAAGAAGAGAGAAGCTGAAGAAAATTTGATTGGTAGAGCAATTACTGTCTGTGTGGCAATTGTGATGATTCAAATGAATGAAAGCGCATTGGTGTGTGTGCGATACGCGACCATTTCATTTGAATTTTGGGAACTCTTCCAACGGCTAGTTTTCTATTTCTTTTCATTTTTTATTTTCTTTTTCCGTTTTTTAATTAAATAATGTTAATATGACACAATTTTAATTATTATTTACTAATTTGATTATGCATTCGTCCAACGTTTTCATTCGCCAGATAATCATTGATGGACACTCATCCAGTGGGGCCCAGTTTTGAACGTAACGTTTTGTGTTTTGTTTGGTTCTTACACGGTTTTTTATCCTCACTTTATCGAATCTAAACTGATTTTTATCCTAAAAAATGTTAAAAAGAAAAAGGAGTGATTTTTGTTTTTAGTCTCTTAATCTTTCATTTGGAGAAGTATTAGTGTTGAAATTACAATTATTCAGTATTATTTATCTCAGGTATATGTGTAGAAACCTATATTTTAATAATAAATTTGTAATAAAAAATTCAATGACAATTGATTTAAAATAACCAAACACTTCATCAAAATCCACATCATACGTTGTTTTGACATGTTCACTGATGTTCCAATAATGATATATAAATTAAATTACAAACTTATTTGTATTTTATGAGATTGAATTTTACTTTGGATGATGAGTCTATACTTTCTGTAATTACAATATGTTCTTCAAGTATAAGAGTGATATTAATATTTTATAATTTTTATATTTTAAATTACTTGTATCAATAATATGTTATTATCTATAAATTTAAGCTAAATCATATTTTATTTTAACTCATAACAATTACTGTTGTTTTAAAATTTAAATTAAATTGTAATATTTACTGTTGTTATTTTATATTATTATCTTCAAACTCAAATTACGTCTAGCCTTGTCACATTTTTAATTATTCTCAAATATTGTTTATATATTTTTATATTAATTTAATTTATTGAAATAATATGAAACTTAATTTTACTTTAAAACTCGCAAAAGTTTTAATGAAACACTTATACAGTAATTAAAATTACCTTTCACCAAAAATTTGTTACTTTATCTCCTTAAAAAACAGTTTTTTTTAAGATGTAGACTATTTTTAAAGAAAATTCTTCACCAGAGTTGTTTATAAATACAAATAAATATTTTATTATAGATATTCTTACTTAAATTTAAATTCTATTATTTTTAGGGAGACCATAAATATAAAATGATATATTATTATTATTATACTATTATTTTTTTAAGAATATACAATATTAATTATTATTGTTATTATTATTAGAATGTAACATTTACAAAATGATTATTTAATTAAAAATAATTATTTATCATAAGTAAGTTGGATATTACACTTATAATTTATTTTCTTTTTATACTGAAATTTCAGTTTTTCAAAAATATTTTAATTAAATGTGTATAAATTAATAATTTATTTTAACTTTTTTAATATATACGTGACTTTAATGTGTAACTATTATTTTATATTTAGTAATTTTTTTTTCAATTAGTATGTAAAACAAAAAAATCTATACATAATGTTTAATTATTTATTTAAATAAATTTAAAATCATTTTTAAATATATTTATTTAAATTATTTTTAAAATTTTAAAATTAAATTTAATTCATATTTAACCATATTTTATTTTTAATTTATACTATTCTAATATAATTTTAACTTAAAATGTTTTGATAATTTACTAAATTATTTAATTATTACATTGTTTTTATTCTTTAAAACCAATGAAATCAAATTTCTCTCATTCCAATTAATTTCATCCTTCAATCTATTTATCTTGTTTCCAAACATATATATATATATATATATATATATATATATATATATATATATATATATATATATATATATATATATATATATATATATATATATATATATATATATATATATGATTTCGAAACATGAGTCATGATATGTAATGCATTAAGTCTCCAAACACACATCTTTACATCCATCAATATGAAAACTGAACAATACTTCATTGGGTGGGACCGTTGCCGCTCCAATTCACACACTCCATGTTTCACAATTTTGACCTTGAATTGTCAAATCACACGCTCCAAAACTATACCTTGTTATACAGAAATTACATATTTCAACAATTCTTTCTCTAAATCACAACATGACATAACAGTAAATATTTAAGTCTGGGATCATCTAACGTAATCCCACATATATTCTTCCCTGCAACCCTGTTTTGTTGAATGTTGTGTTTCATCTCTCTTTCCATTAGGAGTTTACACTTATGTGACAGTTTTTCTCCACACAAACCAACCTTTCTTTCTTTTTATTTTTCTATCCACCTCTTCTTTCTTCTTTTTTTCATTTCTGCTTTTTAACTTTAGCAATCACTATTTCACTCTTCACCTGAGACCACCTCATCTTTTGTGCTACTTGAGCATGTGTAACAGGAACAGGAATCCACATTACAAGTGCCAACTCCATCAGTCTCTGTTGATGGATGGACCATACCAAATTTGCATTGGGCAATGAACACAGAAATTTAAGGCTAACAGCTTTAGGATTTCACCATCAGAAGGTAATGACATGTCATCTCATTTGGTTCACCTGTGGTATGTGCCATGTGATTTGAAGAACTGATAATCAGGGTGATTCACTTGAAGCAGCCTTAACCAGTTATCTGCAGCCTGCAAGAGAGAATTTGCTAGCTGACTCTCACTAACTCCATTTTGTGTCCACATAGATCCCTTTAACTTGTAAGAAGCCATTGCAAAAGTTGGTAAGGAAATTTTTGGTACACCATCCATGTCATTTGGATAAATCAAAATTGGACCCTGAGTACCTCCATTTCCTGCAAAATGTAATAAAAAGAAAGTTAAAAAAAAAAAATGATCATTTACCATAAAGTCCTAAAACTGTAATTACCTTTACAACTTTTGCAATAAAACGCTACTTGCACACATTTTTTTTATAAAATTAATCACCTCAGTGAAGAAATCTATTAATAGAATCAATTTTCACCAGCTTGATTCCAGCCAAGCCTTAGTTTTTACCATTCCCGCTGCATTTTCCGGCCAAGTCATTCATTCTTATTTAAGTCTTCACATCCTCTGTTTTGAAAGCTTCTGTTCTCTTGGGTAGCCCATTACTTTTATTTTCTCAAGCTATTATCAGTTCTGCCCTTGTTCCTTTTTTTTCCTGCTTTTACCTCTCCATAGGCTTAAACTTATTTGATTCCTTCACTTGATTCTTTGCATGTTTAATGTGTTTGGTTTAATATATATGACTTTTAGTTACCATTCATGCATTAGTCTTCAATTTTTGAATGCTTTAGCATTTATAACCTATACCTAAAACTTTAGACCAGCAGCTATGCGCCATCATCTGGGATTGAGAAACTATGTAAATGCTCATTTCATATTTGATTACCCCAAAAAAAAAAAAAAAAATCTGTTTTCATAATTTTATATTCTTGAGATATTGTAAAAAGATAAAGAGGAAATAAGTTTAAAATGATTGAGTACATCTAATAATAATGAGTCCAAATGATTGGTGCATTTTTACATTAAAATGCATGAGTAAATCTAACAATAACAAGCATATTTGATAGGTACATCATGATAAGCAAGAACTACAATGCCACTGCAGATCAAACATAGGGTTAAAGTTCCATGATTACCTGTCAAGGGCGTATGGAGTGTATGGTATGTAAGAAAGCAAGCATCTAAATCTTTTAACGTTGGACCGGTGGGTATTCGATATATAGGATACCTGAAAGATACCATTAGAAAAATGTTAGATAGCACAAAATATTGCAATAGTTACTAAAGCAAAAAATCAAGTTATTCTCACCATGCTACAGACATCCAACTAATTGGCAATAAATCACAACTTCTCAGTGACTTGAGGTTAGGATAGTGCCTTGCAAGATCAAGTATCTGTCCAAATATAAAAACATATAATATGGACAGTTTAAATTAACTGCAAATAAGACACATTAATTAAGATTTGATACCAGTACTAACCTTGTCAGTCAGTGGTTCACGACTATAAGGAGGATTGTGATCAAAATACTCAAAAAGAAGATTTTGAGGATTCCCAGTTTCACTATCATCACTAGAAAATCCCTCTTGCATTCTATTGTGCTTATCATGCACAGATAGCCTGCTCATTTGAACCGAAGCATCACCTCTATGATATTGACCATTTCTTTGCGCTATAAAAAGTTCAGTCCTTTTTCCAAATTCACTGTCACTGCTTCCATCACTGCTTGAATCTTTGTAGTAATCACCATCGCTGTCTTCACTTATGTACCTGATGACAGAAGAAAATGAGACATGGTTACATACTAAAGCACAGTGGTGCATTCTTAAGGAAAACATACAATAGCACAGGCAGCAATGGATTAGCATACTATTAAAATTAACAGTATATTCCTATATACCCAACCACATTGACAACACACAGGAATCAGTGGCCTGAAAGAAGGAGAATAAAGAAAGAAAAAGTTTCTAAAAATTGAGATGAAAAAATTGCGATATTTTATCAAAATAAAACCGATAGTAGTATAAAATGACCAAATTCAACACAGCACAAGAGGGATCCATGAAGCACCATAAGGAAACAAATTATACATAGTCAGCTATGCATCGTACCGTATGTAGGAAGAAAATTCTCAATTCCCTCAGATGCTATGGAGGATAAAAGAAATAAAAATCCAAGGACATGTACATATATACATAGACACACACACACACACACACACACATATATATATATATATATATAATACATTTAGCTAGTGGTAACTGCAGAAATGTTTGGGATCTCCCACGATACAAACATGAATCAGAATTAAATACATCTTACTCACTTAAACAACCGATTCCCATCTTAGCTGTTCCTGATTTTTGCAATTATTTTCAACTGTCCCTTTGTATACATTTTCTGAAAACTAAAAACCCCAAATGCAGTTATCTTTTGTTGATTTCATCATTCAACCAGTGCCGCCAACAGAGCCCCCCCTCCCCATGAAATCAATTTAACCATACATGATACAGTACAAGCAAATAACAGAATGACTAAAATCATGTTTCCAGTAGTCAATGTAGTATTGACTAAAGTTTCAAATTCTTACACACATGTATAAAACTTTTATACATGCTTTTATAATAAAAGAATGGCATTAGATAGGTAAAGTCAATACCTTGGCTTAGCATTTGACTTCTTATCTGATTGACCATATATTTGAATAGCTGACAAATAAGGAACATAATATTGGACAACAGCCTGTCTTTGATCAAGCACCAGAGGGACTCCTGCTCCATATACGCTCCACTCCTTAAACGAATCCCAGAGATCATTAAGGGTAAAGTAAGATTGATACTCCACATCACAAGTCTTCCAACCTCTCATTGTTGTCTACACCCAGAAGATAACAAAAGTAAGTCCAGTGTAAGTAAGCTGGGTGAAAAAGGAGTGAAATTAATCAATATTATGCATAAAGCTAGTAAACTATTCCCGCAAGAATTAACATTCCACACCAATTAGTCAGATACCTACTGCAAAAATACCAAAAACAAGTTGAATAATCTAAAACTACATTTATATATATTAGTCAACATGATAATGTTCACATATTTGGTTCAGTCTGACGACTTGATTCTTGGTTCAAAATTGATTTTTTGAATATACTTCTGCATTAGATAAAAAATGTCAAACCGAGTTTTCCTACTTGCTTTGAAAATAAATACACTCGAACATAAATCACTTTAATTCGAAGTCAATTTTAACCAAAATCAATTTCATTCAAAATCAATTTTGCGAATTCACACTCAAATATACACTAAGTGGAGATTGTTCTACTCTCCAAGTCCCACAGAGTAAAGACCATCACTCAAGACATAGTTCAATTACATGATTGCATAAAGGAAAAGATGCACAAAGGACAAGATGATATCAACCTTAGCTAAATATTGTGCAGAGACTATAGGAGTTGTGGACTCCAGAAACCTATCAATGTTGCTAGCATGCTCTACAGAAGGGCAAGAAGATGGTTTGCTCAACAAGTACGAAGACTTATTGAGATTTTCATTCTCAGAAGCAACAAGTTCTCTCTTTGAAACTGAATCAGCACTCTCAGTTTCACCACCCTTCTCTCTCTGAACCGGTTTACGCTGAATCTGGTTCTTCCTTGCCTTCACCGGAATGTAAAGTCGATCATCACCACGAACACCTCCAAATTGCAAAGCCGTCCCCAACATTTTTCACCACTCTAAAAAAAGTAACTTCCCCAAGAAAATGAAGAAAAATATGGTCTAATTAAGAAAATAAAAAGAAGAAGAAGACCAGACCCAGATTAAAAAAATAAGTTTTTTCAGTTTTTCCAAGGAAAGACAGAAAATTCAGAGCTGGGTCAGGTACTCTGAGTTTCTTTCTAGACTCTACACACAAAAGAGAAAATGTTGTGACTAAACGGAGGATCAATACACAGTAACACTGATTACTTTCTGGAAGTTTATCAGCAACCGAACATCAATAAGGAATTAGAAGATAACAATAGTAGGGTGATGATGATAATCTGCAGATGACAGAAACTCAGAAGAGAGTTGGCGTGAAGAAAAAGAGGATCAAAGAATGTGGGAAAGGGAGCAGAGGAATGGTGTCTTGAATGATTGGATGAGAGAAAGTAGAATGAATTTGAAGGAATATATGCGTGAAGTAATGTAATGAACAGAGACAGAGAGAGAGAGAGGGAGAGGGGTAAAAAAGTTTCTCTTCAGCCACACTGAATAGAGAAGAATAGGTGCATAGAAGTTTGGTGCCACTATGAGGGAGAATATCATGTGATGAATTTGGTGGGGTTAGGAACATGATTATAGTGGGAAATACTTATTAATAAAAACACTTCAATAAATTTAGGATTTAGTTGAAAGATTGGTACTGTTAGCATTTGGTTTGTCTGGTATCAAATAATATTTTCTTTCTTAATTTTTTTTCAAGTAAAAATAATTCATTCTTTTAATTATTTTAAGTAATAATTTATATGCTTATAAAATAATATGTTATTAATTAACTATAAATTTTATATGTAATAAATTCCTTATTAATTTATAATGGTTATTCTAAGATCTTATTAAAAAACATCGGATTCCTGTTTAGCTATTATTCGTTATTATTAATATAAATAAAAAATTTCAATTGTTTGATTGCAAATTTTTTTGTTTATTTTCATTTTAATTCATTTAAAATATTTATTATTATAATTTTTAATCAATGACTGTGTAAAAATATTGTATAAACGAAGTACATAAAATTTTATTAAATGAAAATAATATACTTACCTATTTTTTTGTCGAAATTACATTCAACCTTATTTTATATTTGACTATTTTTTAAAATGTTGAAATTAAAATTTTTAATATCTATTAATTTTCATGTGCGTATAGGTATTTTGATAAGATTTTTTTTAATTTCAATTTATTAAAATATTTTTTTAATAAAAATTTAGAAATAAAAACAATATAGTAAACTAAGCATTAAATTCATAAAATTAAATTTGATTCTCTAAATATAGAAATGGTTAAATGTTTGAGATAAAAAAAATTGTATAACAACTTTTTGTATTTATATACTTAAAAATTAACTTTTATTTTGAAACTCCTTTATTAAGTAAAACACAAGGCACCATAAAAAATGTGTTTATAAAATTACATTATGAAACAAAATAAAATAAATAAATAAAAAGAACATATTAACCAAGTATTATTTTACATTCATTTAACCTAAATAAGAAAAAACACTAAAAATACGATTTGGTTGGGTTGGTCAGGAAAAGGCAGTGCAGTTGACACGTGCAAAAGAGTGAGTAGGTGGCACACGTGCAAGATGTAAGATAAATAGAGGACATTGCACTGATCATACTTTTATAACAAACCACCACAATTATTGCACAATCTCTACTTTATGTTATAATTTTTTTAATTTAATAAAAAATATTATGACAATAAAAAACAGTTTTATAAAGTTTTTAATATTATTATTACAATAATTGATTTGTAATTAGCTTATATTATTATGTTTATTATTATGGATGAAAAAAATGATTATGAATAAGATGAATTTTTAATACAATATACCTTGTATAAGGTTAAGGAAAATATGCAATTTTTTAATAAGAAAGTATCTAATTAAATTAAAAGGATTGAATGATACATTAGTGAAATTAATTTAAAGAAAATGGTGTAGTAATTAACACTTATTAATACTAAGCCATTGTAAAGCAAAATTCGCCTAAACTTTTTACAAACTTAAATAATCTACGACAATATATATTATGATTTTAATATAAATAAATAAAAAATAGAAATTTATAAACTTATAATTTAATTTAAAGTTACTTTTTAAATATAAAATTAAAGAGGTTCAATGGACCTATGTTTATTGCTTGATTAGTCTCATCTTTGTCCTTGAAGCAATAACAATCCTTGTCATGCTTTAAATGAAGTTCCCTTAAACCATTGAGACTAACTCATTAACTCTTCAAAAAAATTAAATTATGGTTTGAATTTTTATTAAAAAATACTTATTATTTATTTTCATGTGGAAGAAGATGGTTATCTATATCACTACTAAAGACAATTAAATTAATTAATGTAGAATTAATTATCTTGTTCATAATAATTGTGTTAGTTTAAATAAATTTCATTTCTTATAAGATAAATATGTATTTTGCACTAAAAGAATGTTACTTTGGAATATGTTTTATGAAGAAAAAAACAAACTAAAATGTTGAAATTATTGATCCAATATAAACAAAAAAACAAAACATCCTCATCGGAAAAATGGATTGAAACGAGGACAAGTTGATTGTGTTTGATTATGAATTGGTCCATAAGAATGTGACACATCATTCAATGTATAGTGTGTATTCATTGCTTCGCATCATATGCTGGAATGAAAACACACAACATCACAATTTATTTAAAATGCATTATTCACACAATTATTATTTAGTAATATTTCATATTTTCTTAGTAATGATAATTGAGCCACAAATTGTGATTAAGGGTTGTTTAGAACAGCTTATTCACAATTTCATTCCAACATAACAACTTGTATAAATATTTGAAAGAGCTTATAATACATGTCAATTAGTTGTTTAAGTTCTTGAAAATAGCTAATGAAAATAACTTATAATGTATATATATAAGAGTAATTTTTATTTTATTTTTATTATTAAAATAATTTATATATAAATATTATAAAAAATTTATTTATATGATATGCATTTAAAATTTAATCGTGATTTAATAAAATAATATTTTTATAATATAATAAATATATAATAATTTTATTATAAAAATAATTTTTCTATAAAATTAAAAAACAAGGAAGATTATTATTAAAATAATTATAAATTATAAATATAATAAAAAAATAAAAATAAATAATATTTAAATAATATAAAAATAAAATAATTATTATTTAAAATTAATACAATTAATTATAAGATAAATAAAAAAATTTAATACTATATTTTAATTTTTTAAATGTTATTATTTAATTTTTTATCAAAATCAATTAATTAATTGTTTCTTTGTTTCGATTTTATATCAGTTTAATTAAATTTAATTTTATAAAAATTATAGGACAATTTTCAAATCACTTTCAGATTAAAAAATAATAATATAAAGATTAATAATTATATAATTTTTTTTCTAAGATTTTTTTCTTCTTCTTCTTTTTACACCTTCCTTCTAAGTAATTTTAGGATTTGTAAGCATTTATTAAAGTGGACCTATAAACCTAATCTCTCAATTATGCACAAAAGAGATTCTTGCTTTTTAAATTCTGAATTTAATTTGATATATTTATAATTATTGTGAGACTATGGCAACATGGAAGATAGTTTCTAATAAATAGTTGTTCCAAGATTTAAAACATTTAAATTTCTTTAATTTTTTTTGTGTGTAAAATGCTAATTTATATAAGATCCATAGATCTATTATTTCAGCAAATTATTAAAGATTGTTGGTGTATTAGTATGAGTGAGTTAATTTTGAGAAAATACGAGTAAGGCATAGCCCACAAATCTAGTTTCATCTTCTGAAGAAAGATACGAGTGAGAAAATAGAGATGGTGTGTCTGAATCTAAATAATGTGTGGCAGACAACAATTAAAGTGGTGGCCCCAAGCTTAGTGACAACGTAGGTTTGTCACAAAAACTGAAGAAAGGACAATTATGTATAAAGGAGGGGTTGCATTGCATACGGTGTAGTTGGGATGAGACATGAAATGCATGGGACCCTTACAGTGTTTTGGTTTGGGGTTGTTAGACTTTAGTGTGTCAACGTCTTGCTAAAGATACAATCACACCATAAATTTATGGCCACCGCATACCTTATTCTCAACACATTCATTATCTTAGTATAAATAATTGATTAAATTATAATGTAAGGTTATTTTGAAAATGCTAATGGTTTATTCTGAAAATGGTCGAATTTGAATATATAAAAAGAGAGATGAATGAAGAGTAAATTAAAGAGATTACAGTTAAGAATAACAAGTATAGATTAAGATAGATGAAAAGTAATTCAAATATTTCAGAGATTTTTTTAACTAATTACAAATATATGGTGTGAAATACTCATCTTAATTAGAGGAGATCAAATTAAGAATTTCTTCTCAGAAACATATTACAGTTAAACAACGAATTAAAGAAAAAAAAAATAGAAAACAGTGAGAAGAAAGAACATGTGCCTATTGTGGGATACAAATAATCAATGATGAAACTGAAACAATGATATAAAGTGAAGCCAAAAGCAAGTTTGTTAAGTTACTGTTTAACTGATAATCACCATGACCTGGTACTGTGGACGATTGGTGGTCTCAGAAATCATATAAGAATTTATCTGCAGTATGAATAAAGACTATGTTATCTGGTTGAATCCCCATTTTCCTTTCCTTATGCCCTCCAGGGTCTCTAGCACCTGTTTCATGGATGGTCTGAGTTCCTTGGGACACTGCACACACTGAAATGCTAACTCTGCCACTGCTGTTACCATTTTCACAATGTTTTTGTCAGAACCACGCCAAAAACTAGGATCCACTATCTCTTTTAATTCACTGTTCAAGATTTTGTCCTTTGCAAACTGTGCAAGAGTATTATCTGTGCCTGCCACTAAACTTGGGCGGATAGATGATATGAGTTCAAACAAGACCACTCCAAAACTGTAGACATCACTTTTGTTACTGACCCTTCCAGATAAGTAGTAGTCAGGATCTATGTAAGCACGAGTTCCTACTGGAATAGTTGTAACATGAGTAACATGGTCTGGAAGAGACCGTGAGAATCCAAAATCTGCAACTTTAACAATAAAATTTTCATCCAACAGGATATTACTCCCTTTCACATCCCGGTGGATGATGCCTGAGTCATGCAGATATACTAAGGCAGTCGCAGTTTCGATGGCAATGTTCAATCTAGTATGCCATGGTAGTTTGCTGGAGGATTCATGAAGATGTTTAGAAAGAGTTCCATTGGAGATGTACTCGTACACTAGCATGTGTTTGTTGCTATGGCGAGAAGTGCGGCCATAAAGTGAAACCAGATTTTGATGGTGCAAGAGACCTAAGATCTCACTTTCTTTCATGAATTGGTTAATGGTCTCTTCTGTCTCGTTCTCGTCATGGAAACGTTTTATTGCAACCTCTAGCCCATCTTTAAGTTTTCCTATCACAATGGCATGTCATCAGAGCAAATATATATCGATCTATTTGAGTTTAATGACTTTGTACTATTGGTGTGAAATTTTTTTGCAACTAACTAATAAAGAAACATAAATATATGCGCATGAGTTTAATAATTATGCAGAGTCATGAAAAAGGTGTTTACATGGTCAAGTCAATTACTCAGAAATAACCTTTGACACACGACTGTTAAGATGTTTGTTATCGAAGTCAACAAAATTATGATATATAGTGGTTTGTGATGAGATGACAAAATAAAACTGTGTTACACATTCTTTCTACATAGCCTAGTTTCTCTATGATTATTTCTTACAGGGAACTATGATTTAAATTATGTGAACTAATTAGCCTCTCACCATAGTACACGCTGCCGTACCCTCCCTCTCCAAGGCAAGTGCCAAAATTGTTAGTAGCTTCTTCAAGGTCGGCGTGGTGGAAGATTTTCAGAGCTGAGATGTATGGATTGTAAGACGTTAATAAAAACTTTTATCCTCGGTCTGGTAACACCAAAAACACAAAGAAGCTAGAAAACCAAGGGAGAGGAAAAGGGATATAATATGGTTTTATTGTACCTTTAGTGCAGAAAGAGTTTATTTTATATCTCCCTTGCTTCATTTGATACAGAATCTCTAGCACCTGTTCCATGTTTGGCCTTGATTCTTGTGGACATTTCATGCACAGAACTGCAAGCTCAGCTGTAGCAGTCATCACCTGCTTGATCATAAGGTTTGATTGGAACCCAAGTCTTGGATCCAACAGCTCCACCAAAGATTGGTTTTCAAGTTTTCTACTTAAAAGGGTAGCAAGATTTTCCTCTTCATTCAGAACCCAATTTTTTGCCAGCTGTGATGATAGAAGCTCACACAACACCACTCCAAAGCTATAAACATCATTTTTTACGCTAAGCTGGCCTTTTGTCAAATACTCTGGGTCTATATAACCACTTGAACCTACTCTATCACTAGTAAGATGGGTGGCATCAACAGGAACTCCATCTGGAAGTTTCCGTGATAAATGAAGGCTACCAACTTTAGCAGAAAAGTTCTCATGTAGGAGAATATTGCTGGACTTCACATTCCGGTGGATGATGCCGTAATAGTGAAGATAGTCCAATGCATTTGCAATATCAATGGCTATATCCAGTCGTTTATGCCAAGGTAGTGAAATGTTACTTTGAAAATGAGCAGCAAGATTTCCATTGGATAGGTACTCTTGCACTAGTAGAGGTTCCTCGTGATGAGAACTACACCCATAAATTGACACAATATTTTTGTGAGGCAAGTAATTTAGGATAACAGTTTCATTGATAAACTGTTGCAATATGTAGCGCTTGTCTTCTTTAAAGCACTGTACTGTAATCTCACGTCCATCCTCAAGTGTTCCTAAAACGAATAAGTATAAATGATCAGAAGAAAATGTTCCGTGCAAAAACATGAGGTATAGTCCTGTAACTGTTTTTCATGCTAGTCAAAATTGAAGTTATATATTGGCATTTGTTTTGGTCACAGAAAATTGTCCAAAACGCATTGCCAATTTCGATTTTGTTTTTCTTGTATTTACTACCATGCATATAAAAGGTTGTGGCATAATCTCTTACCGTAATATTGAGTGGTAAAGCCTCTCTTTTCAATTCCCTTTCTAAGACAATGAGATTGTTCAAAATAATTTGTGGCTTTCGCAAGTTCCTTATACGAAAATATTCGCCACTTCGACTTACTGTGCTTTGGAAATGTATCAGAAGATGTGCTAGTGAAGCAGCACTCAAAGAGATCACACCTCAATCTCATGACCAAAAAGGGTCGTTGGGATGCTGAGGGTGAGTGAGGTAAAAGGTGCTGATCAGAAATGAAAGTTTCTCTGCATGTTAAATTCTATAACGTCTAATTCCTGTTCAAATAAGATAAAAAAATTGCAATTTAGGTGGAATAAGATGAAAAGTGTGAGGATCAGCTAAAACAAAAGGGGTTGTTCCGGCTGGTAATATCCTATTATGCCAATGAGTATATAACAACAACAACAACTGTGTGTGGATAAATGACGTTAACTAGTTGATCAACCTCATGTGAGTTTATCATCCATATATGAAATTTAGGTGGAATAAGAAGAATACCGAAAAGGTAAAATTAACTAGAAGAGAATAGGGGCTATATCAGTACCAAAATTTATTCACTGCAAAGAAATCCTACTTGAACCAGACAAAACCACTATAAGCGATAAAACAACTAACGAACAAAAAGAATTAAATAAATGTGAATTTTCCTATCCATACTATGCTCATACACAAATATTTTGTATGCATAATGCCATTTACACAAAAGAATTCATCACAATTATCAAGTATATAAAACAGAGACGAGGTTTCTTAGTTCTTACCTGGAGAACAAACAAAACCAAGAAAGACAAGGTGCCCCCAACAGTTCCTGGAGGTGAATTATGTGACCCCTTTCAAAGAATGGTCTGCCAGAGAGGTAGTGATTCAGGTGTAGTGCCTCAAAGTCTCAATTTAGTGACTAACAAGTAAGACCCTTCTTGAATGAGTGTTGTTCTATGAAGTTGAGAACTTTGAGGATCAAGAATAATTAAAACTGAAGTTATAACCTGTGTTGAGGTTCAGTGAAGATGGATAAAAGGGTGGCATTGAAAAGGAAAGAACAAAGAAGCTGCAGAAAATGGAAGGAAGGGAATATGAATTGCAGCACAACACTGCATTTAATATCTAAGCATTTACTAGGGAGATGACTTTGTTTCCAACAGTTTTTTGTTTGACTTAGTTGTCGTCGGTTTCATATTATATATAATCATATAATTTTTCTCGAAAAACTGAGCCATCATTTTAATAAAGTTTCTTGTTATAATTTTTATTTACAAAATTTAAAATCAAAATCTTATTTAAAGGAACCTAATTCAATTCTATTCATGATATTATGAAAGAGACAATATAATTACACAAATTTTTTAACACATTCTTTTGTCATTAACCTAAGAAAGTTTGAAAAATTATTTTTAAAAAATATACTATTGTCTTATCCTTCATTCGCTAGTGTAAGACAGTGTTAAAACCGCGTCAAGGAAAATAAAAGCAATTTCTCTAATAATGTAAAATTCTTTACACTCACAATAAATAAATATATATATATATATATATATATATATATATATATATATATATATATATAAACTCGTAAAAATCTATATTTTATATAAATTTATACTAAATTAACCATAAATAAAATAATATACTCCTTGTTTTCCATCTTTAGTGAATGGCCTCAACTATATGACATTGAGGAAGTGCTGCCAAGTGTTGATCTTTCACACCATATTATATATTAGTCAACTTTTTATTGACTTCAGCTGGCTGAAACTTGAATTCAATTCTAAAAGTAATCATGCAATACATTGAACATGAATTCAGGGAGAGAAGGATACACGTTCAATTTGCCTCAGAAGGAGTAACCTAGCTGAAGCATACACACCCTAAAACAACCTCCTCAACTTACTCTTTTACGTGTACATCATTTGCAATGATGCATGCCTAACCTCAAATTACTATACTACAGCAAAACTTCATATCTATTAAATCAAAAACCAAATGAATGGTTCTGAAGAACCAGGCTTGTTGGTAGCAAGAACAGACTATGTTATCTGGTTGAATCCCCATGTTCCTTTCCTAATGCCCTCAAGGGTGTCTACCACCTGATTCATAGATGGTCTGAGTTCCTTGGGACACTGCACACACTGAAATGCTAACTCTGCCACTGCCGTTATCATTTCCATCATGTTTCCGTCAACACCAAACCAAAAGCTTGGATCCACTACCGCGTTTAATTCCCTGTTTAAGATTTTTCCCTTTGCAAACTGTGCAAGAGTAACATATTCTGTGCCTTCCAATAAAATTGGGGGGTTGGAAGATATAAGTTCCAACAATACCACCCCAAAACTATAGAATTCACTTTTGTCACTGACCCTTCCAGATTCATAGTAGTCAGGATCTATGTAAGCACGTGTTCCTACAGGAATAGTGGAAACGTGAGTGACATGATCTGGAAGAGACCGTGAGAATCCAAAAATCTGCAACTTTAACAGAAAAGTTTTCATCCAACAGAATATTACTCCCTTTCACATCTCGGTGGATGATGCCCGAGTCATGAAGATATACCAAGGCAGTTGCAGTTTCGATGGCTATGTTCAATCTAGTATGCCATGGTAGTTTGCCACAGTAAGATTCATGAAGATGTTTAGAAAGAGTGCCATTGGAGATGTGCTCGTACACTAGCATGTGTTTGTTGCTATGGCGAGAAGTGCGGCCATAAAGTAAAACCAGATTTATATTGTGCAACAGACCCAAGATCTCAATTTCTTGCATGAATTGCTTAATAGTCTTTTCTGTCTCACTCTCGTCATGGAAACATTTTATTGCAACCTCTCGCCCATCCTTAAGTTTTCGTAATACATGGCACACTATCAGAACAAATATAGATATATGCATATTATTTACAGGAAACACTGGCTTAAAATATGTGGACCAATTAGACTCTCACCATAGTACACGGTGCCATAGCCTCCCTTTCCAAGGCAAGTATCAAAGTTGTTAGTAGCCTCTTCGAGTTCAGCAGGGTGGAAGATTTTCAAAGCTAAGATGTATGGATAATCAGATATGAATTAAAGCTTTTATCCTCAGTCTGTTGGCACTAAAAAACATATAGAAGCTAGAAAACCATTAGTAAGGAAACGGGACAAAAAATGGCTTTATTATACCTTTTGTTGTGTTTGTTTCATGTCTCCCCTGCTTTATGCCATTGAGAATCTCTAGCACCTGTTCCATGCTTGGCCTTAATTCTTGTGGACATTTCATGCACAAAAGTGCAAGCTCAGCTGTAGCAGTCATCATCCACTTGATCTTAAGGTTTGATTGGAAGCCAAGTCTTGGATCCAACAGCGTTCAATTTTTCTGCTTAAAAGGGTAGCAAGATTATCCTCCTCGTTTAGAACCCAGTATTTTGCCAGCTTTGATGATAGAAGCTCACACAACACTACCCCAAAGCTATAAACATCATTTTTTACACTAAGCTGTCCCTTTTTCAAATACTCCGGGTCGATATAACCACATGTTCCAATTATATCATTAGTAACATGGGTGGCATAGACAGGAACTCCAGCTGGAAGTTTGCATGATAAATGAAGGTTAGCAAGTTTAGCAGAAAAGTTCACATCTAGGAGAATATTGCTGGATTTTACATTGCGGTGGATGATGCCATAATAGTGAAGATAGTCCACTGCATTTGCAATGTCAATGGCTACATCTAATCGTGTCAGCCAAGATTGTGTGCTGTTTCCATCTTCACTTTTAAGATGAGCAGCAAGATTGCCATTGGATATGTATTCATGGACTAGCAGGGATTGTTCATTGTGAGAAGCATACCCATAAATTGACACAATATTTTTGTGAGGCAAGTCATTTAGAATAGAAGTTTCATTGATAAATTGTTGCAATGTATGATGCTTGTCTTCGTTGAAGCACTGGATCATAATCTCGCGCCCATCCTCAAGTTTTCCTAAAAGATGGGAAATAAACTGAAGACAATTTTGCTTGAAGAAAACTTGCAGATGTTAAGGTGCTTTTTGCTGTTAGTTATTCAATCAGAACATCGGTATTGAGTGTGGTATCATGGTGAAAAACAGATTTTAACAACAGAAAGAGGACCGAAAGCAATTTAAGAACTACATCTGATCTTTCTGCTATTTCTATTGGACAAAACATGAATGCAGTTCCTTAAATTCTCTGTGTTGTGATAATTTGGTATCTCACCTCGTAACCTATGTTGATCATTAATCCAAATTTTCATTATATGGATTACCAAGCCGAACTCCAAATTTGGTTTGAGAACCATGTCAGAGTTACTCAAGCAAATCTATCTTGGTTTTCTCCTTCTCTATTGGCATTGTTGTTCACATAAAAGGCCATAGCTTAGTCACTTACCGTAATACTCAGTGGCAAAGCCTCTTTTTCCAAGACAATGAGATCGATTGAAGTTATCTGTGACTTTTGCAAGTTTCTCGTAGGGCAAGATTTTCCATTTACTCTGCTTTGGAAATGTGTCAGAAGTGCTAGTGCAGCAGCACTCAAAGAGATTGCACCTCATTCTCATAAGGCAATTAATAAACGTCATTGGGATGCGGAATGTGAGTGAGGAAAAAGAGGCTGATCAGAATTGCCAATATCCATGTATATTGAATTCTATAAAGTCTATAATTTGAGTTCATACTATGTTGGGAAGAAAAAATATATAAGTCAATGACACAATCTTGATGTTTGAATCCCTACACTTAGAAACTACTCATTTTAGTTCCTCCACATACACTTTTTAACTTGTTTTAGTCCCACACATACTCTTCTTAATCCATTTTATTCCCTTCAATCTTCGATGGCAGAAGTGTATGTCCAAGGACTACACGGTGTAGTCTACACCAAGTAGTTTTCCATGTAGGAACTTGAACATGAAAATTGTGCCGAGTAATTAAACAAACTCTCAAGAGGAACAAGTTAGCAACTAAATAAAGTTAACAAGAAGAGGCTAGATGTTACAGGAGTACCAAAAATTACTCCTCGTAAGGGAATTCCTTCTTTAGGAGTCTGCTGTATAGCTGAGAAAGACAAGGTGCCCTCAACAAATTTTGGATGGTTGAATACGAACTAACCTTCAAAAAGAATGTTCTGGCATTGAGAGGAAGTGATACAGTCTACACCTCAACATGGAAAGCAACCTTGGTGACATGCAAAGTCTCTATGGGAAGAGCAGAGAAAATGAAAGAAGTGTACAAAGTGAGTGACAGGAAGGACGAAGGAAACAGCAGAAGACGAATGAGTCTTCAGAAAACATGGGAAAGTCTTAATTCTGACATGTCTATTTTCCTGTGAAAAGATATTTTGAGTATATTATTACAATCAAGTCTGCAGATGGATAATTAAACCATTTAGTTTTTTTTTATTATTTTAAAATATTATTCTCCTCTGTTGGTTTGAAACATGTATGTTATGTGTTAATTTTTTTAACATAAATGAGTTTTTCAGTAATTATTTTTACAACTCTTCGAATAAGTTTTAAACTCATATTATTATCACGAGACTTTAAATATTAAAAAATATATTTGAAATTAATTAAAAAGAGTGAAAGATAAAATATTTATATATTAGAGATAGACCATAGTTTAACAATAAAAAAAGTCTGCAATTATTTTTTATATATTGTAAGAAAATAAATGTTAATTTATTTAAAATAAGAAAAAAACATCATTTTATTAATTTTTTTTCATGAATTGTTTCAAAAAGTTTTTTTTTCAGATTCTGATTATTTAAAAAAGAGTAACAAACATACAACTTATTTAAAATATTATTAAAATAAAAAAGGCTAAATAAGTTGAATGTCTAACTTCTAGATGCACTTTTATTAAACAATCATAAATATAATTGATTTTGAATAGAATTATGTTTTGAAATTTTAATTTTGTGAAGAGAATTTGAGTTTCTTAAACTATTTTATAATTTACTATTTAGTATTTCATTAAGATGATAATCTACAAATAGTAATATGAAGTATGTGAAATTCAAATATTTTAAATATTATATTTTTATAATTCAGTAAATAAAAGATTCACAAAACTAATTTGACCACACTCTCCAAAATTGTAAATATTTTCGTGATAATTTTTACAAAATGATAAAAGTGAATAAGATCTTCATCATTATATAGTCTAAGAAAATAAGCTAGGACAAAAAAATGTTAAACATGTAAAACATGAATGCGATTCATTTAAATAATTAATTCTTGATTTTTTTTTAATTTTCATTAACTAAGTAAATTTAATTAAATACTTAACTAGCTAAATTTAAACAACTCACGAATAATTCAGTTTATTTATAGTTTTAATCATGGGCCGAGTGTATCTCAAAGCCCAGGAATAAAAGATAAAGCAGAGTAAGCCCACCGGAAAGGAAAAAGTTGTAATTTTTTTATTATTAATAAATCCACTAATGGGCTGTTTATGTTACCCGCCCACTGAATGATTAATCCATTCAACACCATTTCCTACAAATTGCAACGCACGTGTTGTTGATTGGGTTGGTTAACTAACCGATGCTTAATCTAATTTAAGTTAAAACTCTAATTTAGTTAAATATAACCTAGTTTAGTATGATTTAATCTAAGAGCTATATAATGACCATTTTTGTAATTAAATCTAAACAGGTTTAAATTATTAAATTATGAAAATTGAAACTAAAATTTGAAAACATTATAAATAATCAAAATTAAGTAAAAAAAATAAGGAGCTGAAGTTATATGAACTAACAAATTTAAGTTGTTGAAATTATGAAAAAAAAATAAGAATAAAAATAAATACATTCCATGTTTATTAGTTAAAAGTCGAACAAAGATTCATAACCTAATAATTTACTTAAAATCGTAAATGAAAGATAGCGTAAATCATCTTGTAAATTCTTGATGTTGTTTTTCACCGCTGAATCCCTCAGTCTAAGATTTCATGCCCATGAAATGAATACATTTACTTCCACTTGACTATAAAGCCACGAGCAGATACAATGGACTTTATAATCAAAGGAACGTGCCAGCCACGGTTTTCTCAATCTTATATTCTTCAACATGGTTTTATAATACTCACATCCCAAGCTTTTTTCTTAACCCAATACAACTTTAAAGTTAAAGAATAACACATTGAATTTCGTGGAACAGCGTTGATTCTTTTCGCACTTACAGACATATGGACCCAGATTTCATTTCTAAATAAGTTTTAGACTCTTAAGATATATTTTTTTTTTTACTGGTTCATGACATTGAAGAAAATTTACAGCTATATATATATATATATATATATATATATATATATATATATATATATATATCATAATCTCATTCATAATCAACGTCCAAAGTATAGTTAGCTTACGTTTCTGAGTCCACTAAGCCATGTCAAAAACCTTGTACTCCCTCTTTGCATTGTTCATCATCCTCGTGCCATGTCATGCTCAAACCTCTAGTAGTAGTAATACATCAACAATATGTGTTCCTTCTTACTGTGGTAGCGTCTCCATTAGTTACCCTTTTTGGAAGAAATCCAACACCAACGTTGGAGAGTTTTGTGGTTATCCCGAATTTGGTCTTGAATGCTTGAACGACCATGCCATCATTAGTCTTCCAAGTGATACATACCAAGTCACAGATATAAACTATGATGATCATTCGATTACACTTGTTGATATAGATATTTTGGACCAACCATGTCCAAGGGCACGTCACAATGTTTCCCTACATAACCTCCCTTTGTCTTTCAGCTCATTAGATTTGAATCTAAGTTTCTATTTCAACTGCAGTTCTTACCCTTCATCTGTTCAGCACATAGGGTGCATGAAACAAGATAAGAATCAGTCTTATGTTTTTCTGGCTGGGGATGAAGATAAAAATGGATATGGTTGGCTGAGGCAGTGCGAGGATCATGTTGTGGTGACAGTGAAGCAAAAAGAGACTGAAACTAGTGATTTGATCACTGGTTTTGGTGATACCATGAAGAAAGGGTTTGTGCTTGATTGGATGAGAGCTAAGGATTGTGCAGTGTGTGAGGAGTCTAATGGCTATTGCAGATTTGACCATACCACCAAGCAATCAAGTTGCCTATGCATAGATGGCAGAACTGTTTCCAAAAGTTGCAAAAAAGGTACAGTCCTTTAAGCTTCTTGAAATAAATTATAGATTCTTTTATTGGTGAAATGCGTAGCTCAAATTCACATGATCACATCTTCAGAAATCTCATGCTTCTATAGATACACACTTTAATTATTTGTTTGTTAAGATTTAAAACATAATTATAGTTATAACATTTTAATTATGTATTGCGAGGTTCATTTTGCATGCTTTATTAATATATTTTTAGTTTGTGTTATTCGTATAACTTAGAGTTCGTATCCATGTTTACTTGTACTTCTTCATCTGTTTAAAAAAATTTCATGATTTTATATCTCCTTTTGGTTATTTGGCCCATCTTATTGTGGTTCTAGTCGACCATAGATTATTAGTTAATACAAAATCTGATAGAAATATGTGATTGATAAATTGTTACTTTTATATCTAGAAATAAGATGGATTGGGCATGTGGGTTGGGAATAAGGTACTGTATTTGGGCTTAGGAGTTTGAAGGACTACTGGGCTGCCCAACTAGGACTGCTAACTAGGTAAAATCAGGAGCCATGCATATTCCACAGTTGCAACCTGCAATGTAAAGTATTATAAAATAAGTTTTTATTTTTTATTTTTTGTGGTTTAATTAGTCAGAGAACAACAATGTGTGTTGAATGAGAAGTTCTGAACAATTTTTGTTTCTTTCGCTGACATAGTAATAAAAATTGTGTAGAACAGACAGTGCTATTTTTTAAATCCTCTTTACCTAACTTTGCAATAGTATTTTCTGTATTCTTTTCTATATAAAAATTTCTTCTTTCAGAACATATGTTAACTAAACTCTACCATCAAAAAGGGAAAAAGTAGAAGGAGAGACTCGTTAGTTTTAATCTTATGTCAAATGCAGTGGATGGTAGTAAATGGTTTTCTTTTAATGAATGGGAAATATTTGAAATATTAAATAGTGGTAGGTAGAGTGTTTGTCTTAACTATATAATTAATGTAATATCAATTTGCTTGTTTAGCAAATACTTTTTGACAACAGTTTTCCAGCAAAGCACAAATTGTTTTTTGTTCTGGTCAGTCCAACCTTGTAAAGAACATTTTTTCTTCCCACCTTCATTGTATATATTTGTAGCACAAATGACACAATTTTCTATTTTAAGATTTGCTAACCTTTACTAATGATTTTTATAATATAGTCTTAAAAAATTGGTGAGATGCCTAACTCAACATACAGATTATGAAAAGATAGAACTCTAATTATGTCGTCAGAAAATAACAACTAAGAGCATTTTACAGACAAGTATCTAAGTCTTGTTTTATTTGATATCTTGTACATTTTCTTCTAGTTTATCATTCCCTTGGTTAAGTTTTCTTATGTGTTGAATAAAGTTAGTAAGAAAAATCTAATCACGACATCACTAACGTGACAAAGTCACCGCAGCCAGTGAATAAATTTTACTGGATAACATGTTTACAGAATCAAAATTTAAGGCTCAGAGGTGTTTCCTTTTTATTGTTTTAATTCCAAGTTGTCAACACGAAATTTATGAAAAAAACCAAACTAGTTATACGTCATTTAGTTTGACTTGTATATATATAGATTGTTGTCCCGTACTTGCCATTTGCCTCACCAACAAACAAGGCCTCTTACATTGTTCCTCTGCAAATTAAGGCCCCTCTCAGATTTCTGTCATGCCTCATCCTCTTGTTCCACCTCCTTCTTCCCTCATAAACACCCTTTTCTTCTTCTCACTCTTCTTCCCAACATCTATATCTAGTGATGCTGAAGGGTACACAGCATGTGATCCTTTTAGCTGTGGGAAATTCGACAATATTAGCTACCCATTTTGGAGTAAGGACCAACAAGATTATTGTGGGCATCCAAAGTTCATGCTTGATTGCCAACAAGACAACGTGACCATTGGCATCATGTCACAGACATTCCAAGTCATTGATATGGATCAGATATCGAAGGTTTTGAAGATTGCAAGGTTGGATTTATGGACCAACCCTTGTACTAATGACTATGTCAATGTTAAGTTGGATTCGAATTTCTTCAGCAACACTTCCAATGATGTTGAGTACACTTTGTTATATGACTGCGGCCCTCTTGGATATGCGTCTAGTAGTGTGAATATTGGAGGAGCAATACAATTTAATTGCCGCATAGGTGGTGATCTTCAAGCTGGATTCTTTGTGTTGAGTACTGAAGTGGTTAATTTCAATAGTCTGAGTTGCAAGAATAGCATCACTGTTTATGTTCTAAAAGAGGCTGTGAAGAATGATTCGGTTGTGGACAATGTTTTAGGAAGCGGATTTGAGGTTGGATGGAGTGGTGCTAATGAACATCAATGTAATGGTTGCTCAAAATCTGGTGGGAGATGTGGACACAATGCATCTGTGGATGCATTTATGTGTCTCTGTCCTAATCAGCAATCTGATGGTGAGTTTTGTAAGAATATCCTAGCGAGGCCCCCAGAACCAACACCTAGATCAACACCAGAAAAGTCAATTTCACCCACTTACCATGTAATGCCAGATGCTCCACCTGCTCCGAGTATGTTTTCTTCCTTCTCGTTTTGATTAAGTTCTTCTACAATAGCCTTATTCTTTTGGATGGTGACATTCAATTTTGTTTGATCATCCAAATGCTTGTTTAGAAACAACTTAAGAAGTGAAAAATCACGTTTAGGATGTGAAAGACCGAAAAGTTATAATTACCAGCTTCTAAATAAGCGTTATGGAATCATATCTGAAACGTGAAATCAAACATGTCATTCATCCACTCTGGTTCGGCAGGTAGAGCTTCACATTCTAGACATGGAATGGAATTGTTAATTTAGTTTGCGTGTTAGAAAGACTTATTTGGTTAGAATAGTTCCCTTTGATTTTTTTTCACCTTCATTCTGTGCAAAAATTTTATAATATAGATCGAACTATTGAAGACTGTTCTGAGAGAACGTGTCAAATTTTATATTGTCATATTTGGGTTCCCTAAGGGTGTGTTTGGCTTACTTTGACTTTAAAATACTAACAGGTGATAATAACGAGTATAAGTTTTTAAAAGTCTGCGTATAAACGATATGGTAATGGAGTGTGCCCCTTTGGTGAATAGATGTGAAAATTTAGGACTTTCATGGAAAGATGACAGCAACAGTTACCTAACAAGCTGTCCTACGTTTTTATTAGAATATTCCAAATGAATCACTTCTTCACAGCTGATTGCCTTGATTCCAAAAAAGTGACTCCATTGTTTTGTCCCATACAAGTTGGACGATCCATTGTGGAGGAAGCATCAGTGATTCCATTGCCTTGAAATTAATAATTTTTTAAGATATAAAGAATAAAGAAGTATGGAAGATATTGCTATAAGCTTAGAGCTTATAAGAAGGAAAATATAAAGCAACCACCTCTCTTTTTAACTTTCCTTTAGTTTGTTTGGCTAATATATATCTCGATGATCCTAACCTCTGTTTGAGGTGGAGCTTACGATTTACATTCCTCATAAGGGTGAAATTTCAAGCTTCATATGCTTTTCTGTATGTGGCTTCAGTTTTAGTCATCTTTTGGTTGCTCGTGCAACCTTCTAAGGAAATTGTTATTTTTCTTAAAAGGTTCTTTTTGCACAAGAACTGAAGAATAAAGCACAATGTGTTTTCTCATCAGCAACAGCTCATGCAGCTAATTCACTTAACATCTGACATAAATTTTTGCAACACGTGTATTTCTATACCTCTATCTAAACCACCCTATTGCTTACATCCTTAGTCACTTTCTTCTTATCAACTATTCCTTGTGCAACCACTCATACAAATGTGGAACCGAAGACATTTTTTATCAATTCTGGGGATGAAATCAAGGCAGTGACTATGAGACATCCAAGAACAAGTACCTTGATAATCACCACCATACCTTTCAATTAAACTAGGCTCTCAAAATTACACTATAATTGATATTAATCCAGTTTTCTACCTCATGAAAACGATGATGCAGACTAACATGATGATTGTTCCTTGGATTTCACAAACACTTCTTTGATTTCCATCCTCTCCTAACACATACCCTGCAGGAACGAATTTGGCAGACAGCTGCTGGTATTACTAAGTTAAAATTAGAATAGAAGAAAAACAAATAAAGACTAAAAAAATCCCCAGATCTTTCTTCATTGATTGCTTGATTTACTCCAAGATTATGACTTGAATATACTTAATTGATGTTAATCGAAAAATAATATTTTTCATCTGTAAAGACTTTTCAACCATTTAGGTTTTAATGTTACTGATACGAAGTATCTACCGGTTTTACTGATGATTAATATCTGTTAAAAATCTGATTGATCTTTATTTAATGGATGTCCTATTCCAGTTCTATTTTTTTCTCTTCACTCACAAGACACGAACTTGAAACTTTGCTTACTACTCCAACCATGGACTTGTTAATAGGTTTTACTATAATAGAGCATTCCTAGATCCGACCTAGCATAAACTTATGATTTAGCTTGCCACATTCACAGACATATTTCTTCACCCCTCTCTCCCCTGTTCTCATTCTCAATTTCCTTGAATTGCTGGAGTCTTGATTAGGAATATAAAGTCCACTCTTGGTCAATGGTCATAGACCTTTATTGCATATAATGGTTTATCCTTGAGAGATGGGTCGAGAAAGAACTTAAAAGAGCTTGCTTTTGTTTGATAGAATAAAGATGATGTTTCCATTATAGAGAACAACCGCATCCTTTCACACGTTGTTGGATACATTTTTATTACATAAAAGAATGGTTGGTCTATTCTAATAGTTGTCAACCACAGAGGTTAACAACCACAAGTTTAAAAGGTTAGATATCTGGGAAAATGATGCAGACTAATCTCACGAACCATGATGATTCTTCCTTGGATTTCACTAATATCTACAGTGCACGACATCACCATACTCTATGATTATTTTTTAAGTGTAAGGTTGATACTGAGTAAAGCATGCTTTGATGGAGCCTGTTTCCATTTCATGGGGGTGTTTCTCGTAATCCTAACCGCATTGCTTCGATGAAGGGTGACTTGAAAATTATGGGTTTGAGTCTTGAGGTTGACAATTATGCAGACTACGATGGTTGGTCAAAGTGAAGTAGCCATGATATTCTCAATTTGATGATATACTCTGTTCTCATTCTCATATTCCTAGAAATGCTCTTCAATATGCTAATACATATTCCTTCTTGATTATTGACCTATATATCTTTCTTCATTGCGTGTATAATGGTTGAAACTTGAGACATGGGTCAAGGAATGACTTGTTACAAACCTGAATTTTCCATCATAATGAAGAACCATGGCCTTTCACATGCATCAGACTGATTAGAAATCCAATCAGCATGTGATACATTTGAAATTTATAGGAATAAACAAAATTAGAATGATCGTTGGTTTCTAATAGTACACCTCTTGACAGAGGATAGGTCGCAAGTTTGATAAAATGTTACAAATTTGGGCAGTAAAAAACAGAGCAGGCCTAGAACAAGATACTGATAATTAATGAATTACTACAAATGAATTTCTGAAGAAAAAATTATTTTCCTTAGGTTACGTCACTGATGTATAATTCATACTATTTGGATTACAGACAATATTAACATGATAGTATACAAATTTACAGAGAAATCTAATAATAAAAAATTAACTGCAAATTATTCAAATAACCATTCACCTACAGAGGAGAAAAACAAAAACAAAAGTCACCAAAGCAGTTTGTTCCCTACCAATATTTTGTATGTTAATAGATTTATTGGTATGGTTGGGTTGTGAGGCTTCATTAAAGATGAACAGTTAAGTTTTTGAGCTGCGATTAATTATAGATAAAAGTGGCAAATGCTGAGTAAATGGTTAAAAAACTGGTATAAATTATATAATATTTCGTGAAATAAAGTAAAAATGGGCGAGGTGAGATATAGTATAGTCAAAAATTTAGTATGAGAAATAGTGGAGTGTGAATTGGGGAAGAGAGGGTAGAAGACTGGGTCGTGTTTTGGGAATTTAGAATTGTATTTTGTTTTGGAGTGGGAAAAATGTGACAAGGCAGCCACAGCGGGAAAGAGGAAAGAAAGTGGTAGTTTCGTGGGAGGACTCTTGGCTTTATTCATATCATATGCTTCTGAGAAACAATCCCATCATTTTCCAAGAACTGCTTCTATAACTTTGATTCATGTATTGAGATGAGAGGCTTCTGAGGAACTGCAAGAAAGTGTGAGAATGGGTGATGAGCATGATGATTTCCACAACACTCTCCTTCCCTTCCTACTCACCGTCTCTTGCTTGTTGCTAACCTCTTTCCCACACTCCCACTCTCAACCACCCCCACCACCACCACAACGCACTTGCTCTCACCAGTCATACGCGTGCAGCATAAACGTTTCCGCCATCTTCTATCCTTTCTGGGAACGCGCCCCACCATGTAGCGACGGTGACGAATCCCTGCTCTACTGCGGTGCTTCTTATGGTAATAATCCTCCAATCGAATCTCCATATTTCACAGTGAAGGAGATCAACGACGCCCATCACACCATGAAAGTGATGCTAACATACCCTGTCAAGGATGTTTGTTCTCCGGAATTTGTTCCCACTTACCAGAATTTGAATAACACTCTGTTCCAGTATTCCGCGTCTGTGCACAACATCACCACATTCTTCGATGGTTGTTCTGATCACATCCCAAATTTCCCTTCAAACCGCAAATTTGAGTGCGAGAATGTTGCGCATTATTTTGAGGAGAGAGACAAGGAGGAAGAGATGCTCCAGAAATATCCGAAGCTTAGGGATTGCAAGCAACGTTTGCTAGTGCCCACTGCCGCTCCTCTGGAGCATTATGTTTACGGTGATGAAGGATATGATGTTCTGAGAGAAGCTATCAGTGATGGTTTTGAGGTGTACTATGATGTTCCTCAACATTGCAAACGATGCAACGAAACGGACGGAAGTTGCTGGAACGGTGGTATTGGTGAATATGTAGTTTCATGCAAGTATTGCTCAAATGAACACTGTTCTTCTCCCGCCGAAAATAGTATGTCTTTCTATCCTCCGTTTCCTCTTGTTTTTATTGTAAGGTACTGAATTCTCTTCGATGCTCTTTAATCTGAATTCTGCTATCTTCAACCAATACGCATTTTGATGCAACAATAACAATCCTACTTCTCTTTCAACATCAACCATCCTTCTCCCTTTCAACTCCTTCCTCCCAACGCAATAGCTGCTTGCGTTATGCACTATATTTTTACCTCCAATGCTTTTGGATTTTATTTCAGACACCTTACTATTTTTTTATACATGTTTTTGGATTATGTAATATATTTTTATTCTCATTTGAATAAAGTTATGGATTTTAGAAAACTAATTATATTTTTTTAATAAAAGAAGTACTTTCATTGTTATATAAACATTTGACTCAAACAAGTACGTATCTATAGTTTAGAACTTTAAACAAAAATAAAACACTTGTTGCTTCTTAGATATGAATTAACAATTAATAGTACAAGAGTAAAAGTAAATAATTATTTATAATTCAAATTTCTACTAAAATTTACTCAACAATCTCTCGGAGGTTTCGATGACAATTACGTTGTTGACCAGATGACTTTGAGAAAAACTATAGTAGTTGACTGCACATTTTTCCAAGTCTTGCTGAGATGGTCCCCACAAGTATTATTAGGTGGTTCCTTCTTTACACCTGCACTTCCATCGTCCAGCTTTGACCCTGTCAATAACCAAATTATCATCATCCCTGAATTTTCTCTCCACCTATTTTTCCATTCCATTCTCAGTTTTTTCTTCCTTTCCAATCAATCACCTCCCTATACATGTATCAACTTTGACTTTATTTTTTCTTTATAACCCATGAATAATATTGTCAAGTAATTTCTCTATGAATAATAGTCCTTTTGTTTGGGTATATCAGTTATTTCTAAATTTATTTTTAACCACCATTCTTCTTACAAAGTTAATGATTTTTTAATAGTTCACTTATCGCTTTCATCACATGTACCATTATTAACAAAAAAAAAAAACACCGGACAAGAGCATGACTTGAGACAAAATTTCCGGTGAATCTATTTGATAGGGGGAAAACTTTTATCATTTATTTATGATTTATTTATTGATATAATATTTACAGTGTAGATGATAAATCTACGTTGGTTTTTACTGTAGAACACTTTCTGGTGACATTGGCTAGATTTTTAAATCACTTCTTGTTCTCTTCTCTTTTGTGGTCTAAAATTATTAGGATTCATCCTTCAGATAAACGACAGAAAAGTATGATCCATCCTTTTTCTACTTTTCTTTCTTTTACTTTCATTTTGACGGATGCATGTATTAAGAAAAGAAAAAAACTTTTTCATTATTAATATATTTTCTCATTTAACATTTTTTTTAAATAAAAATTGAAGCTTATCTCGGATAAGTGATAACTTGAAATTAAATAGCATCACAAGTGATATATATATATATATATATATATATATATATATATATATTATGGGTATATATATTTATGATTTTCATTTTCAACGGAGTTGTTGATTAATTGCGTTTGCATGCATGTGAAGATCTTTTCCTTCGTTGTGGTCCAACACGTCTTTCACCATCATGGACGTCATTTTCTGGTTTCTTCTGCTTTTGAGATTTTTAAAGTATTAATATTACGAAACAGACTTTGATTCCTCCACTTATTCTTATTTTTCCTACAAAATCCTTGCTCAAATCATATCATCCACTTATTCTGGTTTTCCCCTGTAGTCACAAAAATCCTAATCAATTTAAAAACATTACTATTTAGTCTTTACATAACTTTTGGTGATCATAACCGGGAAATATTTGTATACATGACTACATCTCTATTGAAGTGCTAAATATTCAAATGGAGGTGTATAAATATGGTTGTATTCAGATACAACAGCAACATTCAAGTAGATAGAACAACTAGTACAGCAGTGCATTCCATAGTTGCTTTTCTTATTTGTTCTTTAGGTGTGGAAGTTATGGAACCTATCATAGGACAAAAATATTGATTTGTACTATAATGTTTAAAAACCTCTACCTTACCAATTGGTTGATTAATTAATCAATTATTGCATGTATATGAAATTCATGAATGATTGATAGATATGTATTTTGCCTGCAGCTTTATTTGTCTTCATCCAGTGTCATAGTGATGTCACCATTACTATAGACCATATGGTTTTCATCCCTCAGTAGTATTTCATTTTTGTCATTCCTTATCATATAACTACAAAAAAATGGAGTCTTGAAACTTCCATTGGAAGGCACTTCACCTACTTTCCTTTGTGGGTGTTCAACTTTTGACTAGTATAACTTGGAATGGACGTGCACCGACCCATGAAACTACAAAAACACCCTCAACAAGTTCACAAAACTGCTATTCACTTGTTTGGGAAAAATAAGAAAGGGAGTTAACCTACTTCCTCATGATTGTAAGCAAGCCAATAACTGGTTATCTATTGCTTGAACTTTTGTGTTGTTTTCATCTATCTTTTCAAACTTCAATCATAAGCCCCATTGTAAAATAGAAGCATGTTTCGTGTAAAATTTTCCACAGTACATACCTACCAACGACTTTGAACTTTTTCTTGGGGTCTTTTGACGGGATTTATTGGGATTTATAGGGAAAATAATATAAATGAACTACATCACTCTCAACCCGAAGCTTCAAAAAGTAGGTTACAAGTGATATTTTCATATATATTACTCATCTCTCTTATTCTTAGGATTTAGAATCAAACTTCGATTACGTAACACTTTACTCTAAATGCCTGCCTTAGATTGCACACAATTTCTCTTCTCTCCTCTTCTCTTCATTCTTTTCATATCTCCAGAACCAAATGATTCTTCCAATCTCCTTCCATTACAATAAGCCTCAACTATGCATTATTACCACTATCTTTTTCTTGGCTACCACCGTTCTATCTTCTAATCCAAAATTCAAGGCCTGCACACCTAAAAGTTGTGGAAATGGCCCATCCATTAAGTATCCTTTCTGGATTCCTGATGAACAGGGATCATTTTGTGGCTATCCCTCCTTTGAGATCACTTGCTTGGACAAAAATCCAATTCTCAGAACTTCTAGTTATGATTTTCTGATGAAAGATATCTCTTACTCTAACTCCTCATTTACTGTGGCCAACATAGCTTTCTATGAGGACAATTGTCCAGTTCCCTTATATAATTACAGCTTTGATCAAACTCCATTTACCTACAGTTCAGAAAATTGGAATCTCTCTTTCTTCTACAACTGTACCACAGAACCCATAGATTACCCCACTTACGAAGTAGATTGTGCTAAAAATGCTTCACATTATTCTTTTGGGGTTTTTCACAAGGAGGCACTAGAGCACAGAAACTATTCCTTGAACGAGTGTCAGTTTATGGTTAATGTGCCATTTTACAAGAACGCTGCTGTTAATTTCACTAGCTTATTGAGAATGAATTACATTGAGATTTTGAAGATGGGCTTTCTTTTGAATTGGACTGCACCTGATTGCCAGTACTGTGAGACAAGTGGTGGACGTTGTGGATTTGATAGCAATCAGTTCCTCTGCTTCTGCAAGGATAAGTCCTACTTAAAAACTTGTGGTAGTGGTAATAATAATTTTTCAAATATTTTTATCAAATTTTTGTTGTTTCTTCAGAAAACATTCTTCTCTTTATGTGACGCTTCTATTCCTTTACTGATTCAATTTCTATTCTAATATGCCATTTCAGAATATGCTCCAAATAAGTAGTCCAAATTTTTGTCTTTTCTTTTATGTGTCTGATACTCAACTTAAAGTATCGTTTGGCATTTGATGAAAGCACGTGTATACATGTTTATATATGATATATTCGAGTACAATATCATTGAACTGACACTTTGCTAATCCATCTGTGTTTTCCTTGCTAACTCTTTCAGGCACACTTAATTTGCCAAGGAAAATCCTTATAGGTAATTGATGGAGTGTGTTTTCTTTTTTTCTATAATTTTTGCGCATTTATTTCATTAATAATTGTATGTTAATTGAAATTTGCTACGGATGTTCTTCAGGTGTTGGTTCTGGTGTGGTGGGAGCACTTTTGGTGGGCATTTGCGGCTATCTCTATATTCGTAGAAGAAAGAATAGTTATGTAATGTCATATATACAATCTCGGAGCCTCTCTTCTGATCCATCTTCAAAAGACACTGAGAAGGGAACTCAAAGCTTCACTCGCAGCATTTTACCCGGAGTGCCCCACTTCTCCTATGAAGAACTAGAAGAGGCCACAAATTACTTTGACTCATCTAAAGAACTAGGAGAAGGAGGCTTTGGGACAGTGTATTTTGGTAAAAACATGCACCTTATACTTTATATCTGTCATTTTTTCTGCTCCGAATGAACATTGACAAAGATGGCTGTCTTCTGATGTTTCTTTTCTAGGAAAACTGCGAGATGGACGTTCTGTTGCAGTGAAGAGATTGTATGAGAACAACTACAGGATAGTTGCACAGTTCATGAATGAAATTAAAATCCTAGCTGATTTAGCTCATCCAAATCTTGTGACATTATATGGATGCACCTCTCGCCACAGTCGTGAACTTCTGCTTGTATATGAGTACATTCCTAATGGAACTGTTGCTGATCATCTTCATGGTCAACGATCCAAACCTGTAACACTCCCTTGGCATATTAGAATCAATATTGCTGTTGAGACTGCAAGTGCACTGAAATTTCTTCATCTCAGAGGCATCATCCACAGAGATGTCAAAACCAACAATATTCTTCTTGACAGTAACTTCCGCGTCAAAGTGGCAGATTTTGGACTCTCACGTCTTTTCCCACAGCATGTCACTCATGTTTCAACAGCTCCACAAGGGACTCCAGGTTATGTGGATCCAGAGTACCACGAGTGCTACCAGCTTACTAACAAAAGTGATGTATATAGCTTTGGAGTGGTGCTGGTTGAGCTGATATCTTCCCTGCCTGCCGTTGATATCACAAGGCATAGACATGAAATCAATTTGGCCAACATGGCCATCAACAAGATTCACAATCAGGCACTACATGAGCTTGTGGACCCGAACCTTGGTTTTGAATCAGATTTGAAGGTAAGAAAAATGGTAAGTGCTGTGGCTGAGTTAGCATTTCAGTGCTTGCAGAGTTCCAAAGATATGAGACCTTCTATGGAAGAAGTGGCGGACACTCTCGAGGATATACGGAGTGATGGCAAAAACAAAAGTCAGCCTGAGGTAATGGATATCTCAAGCTCAGCTGATGATGTTGTGTTGCTGAAGAATGACCCTCCTCCGCCATCACCTGATTCTAATGCAGTGAGCAAGACAACAACACCAAATACTAGTGGATGAGTGCAACTTCGTTTTCACTTCCACATAATTAACTTATCCGCTATGTAAGCAGAGTTAGTATTACATTGCCAGCCTCCACCCAGTTACAGCTTACATTCTGTCGTCTTCCGATGAGGATAACTTCTAAGATTGAGATGTATATATAGATGACAAAGCTGCTTTGGTTATGAAATTTCATCTTTTTAATAAATAGAGTTATGTATTATTAAATTATTTTGGTTTTATTAACATTTATTCATGTTATTTATTCCCTACAAATTAACATTTTGGTCCAACATGAAGAAACATATAAAAATTGATCTTTGTCAATTATTATACAGCTACAGGGCAACCAGTGGGTAGCTTTCCTTTGTATAGTGATCCAAAACATCCTCGATCGGGTTTAACTTTGAAGGAATTGGTCATTTTATTGACTTCTGAAACTTTGTATCTTTTTTGTGCAACAGCTCCATGAATTTTGAACAATGCTTCAATCTCTGGGTCACTCTTTGTCGTCAAACAAAGTTTGACTGGTTGGATATCAATGACATGTATTTAAAACAACAAATTATGATGTACAATAATTAGGTGTTGAGAAACATATGTTTCCTATCATTTTAGAAAATAATTTTTATTTGTTCATTTTGTGCCCGGGTAACCGAACCTTAATATCAATGTGAGTCTTAGTAAAAAATTTCTTTTTTTCAAACACCTATATTTCCTACACTTTTCTGCTGTTTGAAGCGATATATATGTCATAGCTCATTGAAAAGTCTTTTATTGATATTGTTATTTAATCATGGAACCAAAACAATTATTGTTTGAATGTGGACATGGATTCGCTATAGCAACTGCATCTGAGAGATTACTGGGCTAAATTAGTTTGATTTAGAAAATAACTTTTTCTTTTCTAATTTTCTGATACATGTTAGTACAAATTTATGAGATATGTATAAATAATTGTTTCTGAGAATTGTCACAATTAAGCACTAAGCTTATTATATTAATAAATCTAATCATCCTCTAAAAGTTAAGCTAGAGCACATCATGTTTCGTGATTGCTGGAATTTATGGCAACAGAGAAACACTGGATCAGTGAACGTAGATTGGTGATTTGATGTTTCCACTAGGGAGAAGCCTAGTTCATCATATTTACACTTACATATGATCCTGGAATCTTTAGTGACACTTATTCATCCATTATTTGCTCGTATGTACATTAGATCAGAGAATTGAAGTACTTGTTAGAGGCAAAAGTTATGTATAAATCTGAACCTAACTGGTATAACAATTTTTTATGCCATACATTGATACTTCAAACATTAATTATAAATTGAAGTGTAATGGTTGTAGCTAAAAATTACAGTGAAATTATAATGGAACAATGCAAAAGCTTAATTCTCAGTCACAAACATATAGAAAATTCACACGGGAAAACTATTGATCTATGAAGAGAAATAAGTAATGAATATAGGATAAATAGAATTCATTAGAGGGAAAGAGAAGAAGTTCAAGAAGGATTAAATCCTCCAGAGGGAAATAATTCTCAGTAGTTGCCTAGACTTCTCCTCCTTCTCGCACCATAAATCCTATTACATGGTTTGGATTGGAGCCATAGTTTCTCAAGCCTATATGGTTTTCAATTAACTTGTTACAAGAAATTTATCATACACAATTTGTCAAGCTTCAGCAATCACTGCAGTTGCATTTTAACACAAATATGAGATCCATTGGCTTTTCAGAATAAAAAGTACTAAACAAATATGTTGAGTGGTCCTCTTTACAATAACTTGAAAGATCTTATCAAAATACAATGAGAATAATTTCAAGAGTAAGATTCCGTTATTGATCTACTAGGAGAAGAAAACAAAGGTTTTGGAGGCATTTCCAAGGAATTCATGTTATCTTCCAACATTTCTACTACTCTACTCATTGTAGGTCTATCATTTGGTAATGTTTGAATGCACCATAAACCCACTACAGTCATTCTCTTTGCAATCTCATTTTCTTCTGTATTCATCGCCTCATCCGGTCTAACATCATCATCCAACTCAAGTCTCCTGTATACCAAATGTGGAAAGTATATCTCACTTGTATGACTAGCTTCAGCATTGATGTTCTTCCTCCCTCCTACCATTTCTAGCAGCATCATTCCATAACTATAAACATCGGACTTGTGCGAAACTCCACCAAAATGTCTATTTATCATTTCTGGAGCTACATACCCCATTGTCCCTCTAGTATCAGATATAGAAACAATGCTTTCTTTCCTGGGACATAGCTTTGCTAGCCCAAAATCTGATATTTTGGGACAGAAATTCTCATCTAAAAGAATATTATGTGGCTTTATGTCAAAATGTAAAATTTTAGTTTTACAGCCCCTATGCAAGTACTCCAACCCTCGAGCTATCCCTATTGAAATTTGATATAAATTCTCCCAGCTCAAAGATGCAATTGTTGACCCTCTTTTGTAGATAAACTTGTCCAAAGAACCATTAGCCATAAACTCATAGATGAGAGCTTTTTTGCGACCTTCCAGACAAAATCCAAGTAGTGAGACAATGTTAACATGAGATGTTCTACTTATGGTAGCAACCTCATTGATAAATTCTTCACCATTTCTTTTGGATGCATTCAGTAATTTTACAGCCACATGGCAACCGTTGTGTATCTTTCCTTCGTACACTGATCCAAAACCACCTTCACCAAGTTTAACTCTGAATGAATTAGTCATTTTCTTAACTTCTGAAAATTTGTATCTTTTCTGTGCAAGAGCTCCATGATTTGTTAAGAATGCTTCAATATATGGGTCACTCTTTGTGGTAAAACAAACTTTGACTAGTCGGATTATAGATTTATACCTATAACAACAAAATATGAAGCAAAACCCTCCGACTACACTTGCAGCTCCTGTTAAGAAATATACGATAGTTAAGAAACCATAGATATCCTTTCATAACACTGATCTTTTCCTATGAAAGTAAATGTTATGCTTGCTCATTATAAAATGCCTTCTAAACCGCCACAAATGCTCTGTTTTGATTGCTTGAAGAAGTTGAATAGTGAAAATATTAGACACAATCGTTATGTCTTTTGCACGCAATAACTTGAACTTTTATGGTAGTTTATGAGATGCGTGGTATTGGTGTTTAAACCAATATAACCACTACCCTAATTTCCAACCTTATTACGATTTTTTTATAAACTAAAGTTAAGGTGAGTTTGTTCGTTATGTTATGTGTCCCTGCATTTCAAGCACTAAAGCTTCCTGCGTGAGTCTGTTGGACTATAAATAACCTGTCTAATAGGTATTTCATTGCAACATGGATTAAGGATTTATGAAGAACGTAGCTCCTAAAATAGTGAAATAGGAGATATAAAAGGATAATTGATCTACTACCTATGATAACTTTCACTTTCCACGATTGCCGATTATCTGCAACAATAAGTAGTGACAATAAAAAAGAGTGGTTAAACTGTTGTGACTTGAATCTTCTTGGAAGAGTATATAGATTGGAGGAAAACATCTATTTGATAGCAATCACGTACCAATATAAAAGGGATACAAATATTGCATTCATGATCATATTTCAGCAGATCATATCATTAAACTATAGCTCAATATCTAATGAACTAGATGAACCATAACATTTACTTAAAGGCAGTGACATTGTTATGAGAGCTTTATCTACATTGGAAGAAAGAGTGATAATATATACCTGGAAATATTGATGAAATTGGTGTTCGTCGTGGAGATGGCAATGGTTGTGATGACGAATTTGTTGGTAAGGGCGATAATACTGGAGATGACGATGTTGAGCTGCTATGAGTGCATGAACGAGCCGTTTCACTGCAAACTATTTACCAGTTTGAGATATAAATTTTTTTCTACAAATAATTGTTGAAGATATACATATAAATATATTTACAAATAGACAACAAAAATAGATAATCTATTTTGATGACGTAAAAATGCTAATCAATTAATCGGAACTGTAGAAACCTACATGCGCACATGAGTCTTACACTGAATTACATGCTCCACTTCTATTCACTAAGCTCCATTTACTTTTATTTGTTCAACATATCATCTTTTATCAATATCTATAAATTGAAGTTCAACCTAAAAGTTTTAATATTTTCATATCACAATTTAAACAATTTATTATAAATTTAAAAACTATTGTTTATATCATTTGATTTATATTATATAAATATATAAACTTATCATGCACAATAAATATTTGAAAAAATATATGTATGAGTATTAGGTAGCGCCACTGTCGGAAATTTCTGAATCCATGAGTCATATGTAAGAATTTCTCAGAGAATATATAGCATTGTCAAAGAAAATAAAAAACTGTGATTTTGGAGAACGTAATCAAAATAAGAAGAACGAGAAAAATCCTTACAAGTGGTGGAAACATCATATGATACAACCTGAGGAGAATCCTTACTGCTGCTGCAATCTGTTTGCCAAAAAATTTTGGTCAACAACCATTTATTACAACTATATTTAAGAATAAACAATATAAACATGATAGCGTAAAGACATTTCACGAAATTATTAATCGCCGATAGTTATGATTAGAATGATTCTTTTTCATCAGTTAAATATCTTTTGGGAAAACACAGTACTTCTCTGAAAAGATGCTATTTCAAGTAAAATATGAAGAAGTTGCTGATAAATAGAAGTACTTTTTCCATCAGCACTGCAGTTCAGGTCGGCATATCTGACAAGATGGCGTCTGTTTCTGGCTTTGTCCATAACTTTAACTGTTGTTAAACCGCTGTTTGAGTGCCGTTTACCTACACCCACAAACCCTTCAATAATTCACACATGCATCTATAAATTTAACTACAAAACTGTATATTACAAAGGAATATACGTACTCTCAAAAACCGAAGTGTTAACTTTGGCATCACTTCGACTCGGAATAAGAAGCGTTGCAGTTACGGAGAAGAGGAATAACAGAGAGAGACTGCGATACATGGGGAAAAGTCCACGTTTATCCATGAATGAGGGATGTGAGATAGGAAGGCATGGTAGATAGAGCATGCAGAGAAGAGGTAAAAGAATTATTTATTATTTTATTGTGATTATAAGTTTTATTATAATTTATTGTGATTATAATTTTTAATTTTTATTATTTTTTAAGAAAAAGAATTATTTTTAAAAATTGTTATATATACTTTATATTATAAAAATATTATTTATTAAATATAATTTAAACTTTAAATTTATATTTTCATCCATTTAATAACCAAATTTAATTTTAAAATTGCTGACACCAAAAAATTAATTTTAAGAAAATCAATCTAAATAAATTAATTAAAAAATAATAATTTTAAAAATATCAATTCAAATAAATAAATTTTTAAAAAGATGATAACATATTTTTTTAATAAAATTAAAAATAAAAATAAAAATTGGAGAACTGCCCAGGCCAGCCAGCCCTCCCTACACCATTGTTGTCAATTAGACAGTCGTGGGATCGGGGTAGTGACGGGACGAGGCAATTTTTTTGAATTGTTCTCAACCTTAATTTAGAAATTAAATGAATCAAGTCATAATCTTTATTTTTATTGGATTTTGGATTTTTCTTTCTTAATTTCGTACTGTTCTATTTTATTTAAAAAAATAATTATATTTATAATAAATTAATTTTAATACTTTTATATAAAAATAAATATTTATAATTTTAATAATTATTATTAATAAAAGAATATACTTTAATTTATTATATTTATATTAAAATATATATTAAAGAAATATTTAATTATTTTTTTATATAATTATAAAATACTTATTATTATATTATTATTATTATTATTTTATATTCAATTAGTTAATTATTTTTCAATTTCTTATTTTTAAATATTTAAATATAAAATATATAATTTATAAAAAGATATTTAATAAATTAATTCTTATTAATTAGTTTAGAGTAATATAATTTTTAATTATTAATTCTATTTAATCCATGAAAATAAAATTTGATATATGATAAATAGAAATAATAAAATCTAAAATTATTATAGAAAAAATTTTATAAACATAAATTATAAATAAAATAATATCAGTTATTATTAAAAATTGAAGTAGAATATTTAGAAAAAAATTAACTTGATGTTAAAAAAATTAAATTAATTAAAAATATTAAGAACATATGAATAAAGAAAATGGATGAGAAAAAATAATAATATAATGAACTTGTTAATATAAGAAATTGAAAAAAAATAAAAAAAGTAAAAATTGGGTTAAAAAAAGTAAAATAAATGAAATATATAAAAACAAAATAATATAAGAAAGAATAAGAAATATTTAAAAAATATTAATATTTTTAAATTTAAATTTAAATATAAAATTAAAAAACGTGGATATTAGATAAAGACGGGATGGAGGTAGAGTGGGATTGTTTTACCATTTACATTTACATTCATTGCCCAATTTTTTATAACAGAAAAAATCATAATTTATTATCGTCCTTGTTAATTTATTTTTTTCCTTCAAATTCGGGACGATAAATACATAAGTTCTTATGATTATTGGTTTAATTATATCATAACGTCGATCATTATTAATCACTTTCTCTTTATTATTATATTTTAAGTTTAAAGAGATAAAATTATTCAAACAATATTTTTACAAGAATATTTCTTATTTCTTTAACGTATTATAACTCTGAGAAATAGATTCACGTCTTATTTTATCCGGTATAAAACTATTTTCGAATCTTTTTATTTTCACGATGCCATGTATGAGCAATAAAAATTTATAAAATACTAACAGCAAACTCTTTTCACACACATTTTTTTATATATTAAAATATAATAAAAATGTTCAATTTGATGAATTTTACTACTTATTTAAATTTATTTCATAATTGTGATTTAAATATAGTTCAACCAATAATAAAACGTGTGTTAAGATGGCTAACGGTTCTCTAAAAATTAAAACTATAAATACATTACCGATCGAAGATATTAATTTAAACTAAAACCATATTTTAAAAAAATTCTTATTAATGATAGAGGTGGCCTTTTGAAAAAATAAATGATATACGCACCAATTTAATACCGTTAGTTATATGAACTATTTTCGTTAATTCGGATGAATTTGTAATTATATTTTAAATTAATATTATTTTCTTCCCACCATATCTCCGTCAGCGAGGAAACGAGAATATTAAAATTTAATAAATATATAGATATTAAATAATTATACAAATACTTTTTATTTTTTTAAATTATAAAAGAGTATAATAGATAATATATTTTCATAAAATATTTTAAATATTTAAAAATATAAATGATAAGCACTGAATTCACATTCTACTAACACCTTGATGATTTAATTATATTAGTTATGCAAAATTCTTATTAATTATACTGTATGTTGTTTATGTCATAGAGCAATAGTAGTCAACAAATTTTAAAAATTAACTTGCTTTATGATTATTGAAAAATAAAAGTAGAAGAATGGTATCTTATAACAAAACACTGAAATCTTAATTTTTGTTTTGCTCTCATATATATATATATATTGATTGGCTTGTTACAAGGATCCTACCGTAACAGCAGTTAAACACACATAAAAGATATCCATTAATGCTTGACATGATGATTATGCAAGATTTGCAACGTAATTAAATCAAAGGGGAAGATTCTGCTGTGGATCTAGTAGGTGAAGAGAACATAGGTTTTGGTGGCATTTCCAAGAAATTCACGTTGCTTTCGAGCATGTCTACTACTTTGCTCATTGTAGGTCTATCATTTGGAAACGTTTGAATGCACCATAAACCAACTATGGTCATTCGCTTTGCAATCTCATTTTCTTCCGCAGTCATCTCTTCATCAGGCCTTAAATCCTTGTCCAGCGCAAGCCTCTTGTGTATCACATATGGGAAGTATATCTCACTTGTATGACTAGCTTCAGGATTGATGTTCGTCCTCCCTCCTACCATTTCTAGCAACATCATCCCATAACTATAAACATCAGACTTATGTGAAACTCCACCAAATTGTCTGTTGCACATTTCTGGAGCTACATACCCCATTGTCCCTCTAGTATCTGCCATGGAAATGATGCTCTCGTTTCTGGGACAGAGCTTTGCTAACCCAAAATCTGATATCTTGGGACACAAATTTTCATCCAAAAGAATGTTATGCGGTTTTATGTCAAAGTGTAAAATTCTAGTGTTGCATCCCCTGTGTAAGTACTCCAACCCTCGAGCTATTCCAATTGAGATTTGGTATAAATTCTCCCAACTCAAACATGTAATGGTTTCTGTCCCTCTTTTGTAGATAAACTTTTCGAGCGAACCATTTGCCATAAACTCATAGATCAGAGCTTTCTTGTTGCCTTCATAACAAAATCCAAGAAGTGACACGATATTAATATGAGAGGTTCTACTAATGCTAGCAACCTCATTCATAAATTCTTCACCGTTTCTTTTGGATGCGTTCAATAATTTTACAGCCACAGGGGTCCCAGTGGGTAGTTGTCCTTTGTATACTGCACCAAAACCACCTTGACCAAGTTTAACTTTGAGGGAATTGGTCATTTTCTTCACTTCTGCAAATTTGTATCTTTTTTGTGACACATCTCCATGATCTTTTAAGAATACTTCAATATTTTGGTCATTCTTTGTGGTAGAACAAAATTTCACTAGTTGGTTATATCTTAAACAACAAATTATGATACATATGATGAATATTACCATAGCCGCACTTGCAACACCTGTTAACAAGTATAGTAGGAGAGACATAAGTTAATAAATAATTATCCTTTTATTTTGGAAAATCAATATTTATTATAGTTTAACATATTTCCATGAGTATAAATGAGGATGGAAAATGATACTTTGACAACTTAAATCCATATAACTCCTATAAACAATTCTTTTTTAATATTATAATAATAATTTTAATTTAATTTTATTTTTATTAAATCATTCAATATATTATTATATTAATAAAAATGAGTTGTTTGAAGGGTTGTAAAGAAGATTGTGAAGATAAAAACCCCTTTTTAACCTCCACCAAATGGGCATTATAAGAATGCTTGAAAATGTTAACGGAAGAACCTTTTTCTGTGTAAAATCGTTCATGCTTCTTCATTCAATTACGTCAATTTTAAGATGTTATATGGCATGGTGTTGGTCTCTAAACCTTTATAATTAGTAGTCTAAATTTTGATCCTTGTTGCCCTGTTTCTTCTCTAAAATCTGTCAGAACTTCTAATACAGGGTGAGTTTTTTGCATTATGTGTTCATTCTTCCACCTCTAAAGGTTCAGTTATATTATTGTAAATTTCTGTTTGAAAGAACTTTGAGGTTATTTACAAATATGGGTACATTTTGGATTCATCAACAAAACTAAAAGACGTGGTCTAAGATGGTGTCCTTTCACTGCAGATGTTTTGTAACTTATTAGGAAATAGTGAAACAGTAGATATAAAAGGATATTTGATCTATTACCTATAATGAGTGTCCTTCTCCCAAATTGGTGTTTACCTGCAATAATAAGTAACTCTCATGAGAAGTCTTCTGGAAAGATAATATAGATTGAAAGAAAATGTACTAGCAATCAGTTGAAAATTAAGTTACCAAGAAACTTTTAACCACGGAAAAGTACTTGTATAAATGAGTGGAGTCAATATTTATATTATAACTTCTTTAACTGTGTTTTAAATTATGGTAACAATTTATGTATATTAAGAAGAAATAATCATGTGAGGGAAACTGCCTCCAAATCCTCTAACACAGATCCTTCATGTTTTCCATTAACAGGGTAAGGGCAAACATTACATGATCACATTTTACATAGCGTTTATGTTTAGGAAAAGGAGTTGCTATTTTTTCTAACCAGAATGGATGTGCGAGAACTTTGTAAAAGAAAGAATAATAGACATATATGAAGTATAATAAAACTGACCTAATAATGTTATTGTTTGTGTTGATGGCGAGAAAGATGGAGGAAGTGTTAAAATTGTTGGATTGTCTGGTGCTGGACTTGGCGATGAAATTGATACTGCTGGTAGTATTGTTACTGCTGATAATGATGAACATAAAAGGCGTACATATCAAGAATTTGTCACAGAAGTTGAAAAGAAAATGAAATGTTATAATTTTAGAGAATCAGAAGAAGGAAGAATCCATACCATTGCTTGACACATCATGTTCAGCCTTTTGCTTGGCAGATTCATCACTTCCCAGTAAGCGTGATATGATGCTCCTCCTGCAATCTGTTTATAACAAATAATTAAAATTAAGAAAATCAAAATAACATAAAATAACATACTTTTCTTATCGCCGCATGCCATGAAAACATAATCCACTTTGTCCACTGTTTTGTTCCTACCCCAGTTTAAGTGCTTTTTACCTGCAGCCAGAAACCCTTCAATAATTATTTGTTAAAAAGTATATTTTTATTTCACAAAAACGTGAGTGAATTTTTGTAGTTTTATTAAAAAAAATTATCATTTTAGTCCTTATAGAATGAGTAAAATGTTAGATATAATTTTGTAAAATATATTTTTCTATCCTTTCAAATTTTTAACCCATTTAGATTGAAGAGAAAGACAACACAAAAAAAAGCGAGTAGATCAGATGAGAAATAGAAAGAAAATAATAATGAATCTAATTGACATCATTTCTATAACACCAAACTATTCACAATGTAATGAAGAAAACTGAAATATGAAAAGAAAAAGAAAAACCTGAAATCTGCATTGCAATCATTCTAATGTACATATGAGTGCATGAATCTATATTACAAAGGAAAACTTACCCTGCTGAAGCAGTGACAAAATGTTAAAATGGACATGACTGCTACTGGTAGTTGGAATAAGAAGCGTGGCAGTGAAAGAGAGGAGGAAGAAAAGAGGGAGACTCCTGCGGATCATTTGGACGACAACCAGTTTCAGTGCACATGGAAATGCCAAAATTTGACCTAGCTTTACTTCTTAAACTTAAAGATCTTCTAGTGGGTGTAGCTATAAAACTACTACTCTAAATTTAAGTACTTTATGTTCCTTTTCTCACAAGGTGCATGTACCATCACTTTCTAATAAAACAATTTTATATATTAATATAATAATTATAACAAATAATTATTTATGAAAAAAGTTTTCTAATAAAACAATTATTTTATTATTAAATAAAGTTCTCTAATAAATATTTATGAAAAAATTTCCATCACTGCTTTTTTTTCTCACAATTAGATGTCAAATTTAATTTACACGAAGATAGAGTTTCCGCGTTGTTTGCTATTTCAATCCGCGTTATATGCTAATCAAAATCGTTTGTTATTGTGACGATATAAATAAAAAAAATTATAAAATCATCACAAATATTTATTTTAAAAAAACTAAGAATAAAAGTAATATATGTGAAACCAAATTTAAATTTAAATTAAAATGTGAGAGTCCTATGAATAAAAAAAATATTAATATCCTACCACCTTCATTTTTTTATTAAATATAAAAAAATTAAATATCTTAAAAATTATTTATTTTATTTTTTTAAATAAATAAAAAATAATATTTTATTATATATTAATATATTTAATCGTAAAATTAAATATGATTAGTTTTTATTCAATAAAAAATTATGTCTACTTCTACCTATTTTTAGAATTAAAGTTAAATAATTAAAAAATATATATTTATAGGTTGATAGATTTTAATTATATTAAAAGTGTTTGTTATTATATATAACCAAATTAATAGTAATTTTTTTTATCAGATTGTGAGACTTATATAATTTTATGATTCTGAATTAACTTTAGTTAATAATAAAAAGTTTGTTAAAATTGTGACCGACAATGAATCCTTCCATAAAATCAGATGTATTAAATATATGTTATAAATCTAGGGATGCTATCTTCAATTCCTGCTTTGAAGTTCTATTGCTTAAAAATCCCAACACAAAGAGATGCTATCTTCAATTCCTGCTTCAAAGTTCTATTGCTTAAAAATAAATTTAGACCTTGAATTAACTTGGTGAAAGAACAGTAACAGTAATCCTTTATTTTAGTGATAAGATACAGCAATTTATGCAACATACTTGACGACATTAAGCAGTGTAAAGGAATATTTAAGGAAACATTACTAAGAGGAAATCTTTATCCATCTGAAAGATTCATATGATATAATAATTGTTTTTGTAGAAATTTTACTCAACGGAGATGGAAAAACCAAATAATGAATAACTGGAGGAAAAACCGGAGAAGACGTTGATTTGGTTATTGACAGGGTCAAAACTGAACAATGGAAGTGAAGCTGCAACGAAGGAACCATCTGGTGGGGACCATCTCAGCAAGACTTGGAAAAATCTGCGGTCAACAACTCCTTCTCAAAGTCATCAGGTCAACAACTTTATACGCGATGTGACTTCCCAAGAAATATGAAGTTTTGATTGGTGAGTTGGTGGTGGAGAGGGAAAATTCAGGAAGGGAGTAATGTGGGTTGGTCCAGTTGCAGCGGTTCCCATACTTCAATTAATTTGATGTTCTAATTTTGTTCTAAGTGGAATCAAGATGGATGATGGTTGGTGTTCAAATACACTTGCATGAAAATGGGTATTGGTTAAATTATAGCACATTTAGTTCGTTTTACAAAGTAACACTGAATACAATATAATTAATCTTAAGAGGAAGATTCTGTTGTGGATCTAGTAGGCGAAGAAAACATAGGTTTTGGTGGCATTTCCAATAAATTCATGTTGCCTTCGAGCATATCTACCACTTTGCTCATTGTAGGTCTATCATTTGGAAACGTTTGAATGCACCATAAACCTACTATGGTCATTCGCTTTGCAATCTCATTTTCTTCCGTAGTCATCACTTCATCAGGTCTTAAATCCTTGTCCAACGCAAGCCTCTTGTGAATCAAATGTGGGAAGTATATCTCACTTGTATGACTAGCTTCAGCATTAATGTTCGTCCTCCCTCCTACCATTTCTAGCAGCATCATCCCATAACTATATACATCGGACTTATGTGAAACTCCCCCGAATTGTCTGTTGCACATTTCTGGAGCCACATACCCCATTGTACCTCTAGTATCTGCCATGGAAATAATGCTCTCTTTTCTGGGACAGAGCTTTGCTAACCCAAAATCTGATATCTTGGGACAAAAATTTTCATCCAAAAGAATGTTATGCGGTTTTATGTCAAAGTGTAAAATTCTAGTGTTGCATCCCCTGTGTAAGTACTCCAACCCTCGAGCTATTCCAATTGAGATTTGGTATAAATTCTCCCAACTCAAACTTGTAATGGTTTCTGTCCCTCTTTTGTAGATAAACTTTTCGAGCGAACCATTTGCCATAAACTCATAGATCAGAGCTTTCTTGTTGCCTTCAAAGCAAAATCCAAGAAGTGACACAATATTAACATGAGAAGTTCTACTAATGCTAGCAACCTCATTCATAAATTCTTCACCATTTCTTTTGGATGCGTTCAATAATTTTACAGCCACAGGGATCCCAGTCCTTTGTATACAGCACCAAAACCACCTTGACCAAGTTTAACTTTGAGGGAATTGGTCATTTTCTTGACCTCCGCAAATTTGTATCTTTTTTGTTACACAGCTCCATGATTTTTCAAGAATGCTTCAATATCTTGGTCGTTCTTTGTGGTAAAACAAAATTTGTATCTAAAACAACAAATTATGATACATATGAACATTATCATAGCCGCAGTTGCAACACCTGTAAACAAGTATGATAGATTTGAGTTAATAAATAATAAATATCATTTTATTTTGGAAATTTAATATTTATTAGTTTAATATATCTCCAGGAATCTAAACCTAAATAAATGAGACTTGTGAAGATAAAACTCCTTTCAACCTCCACTAAATAAGTAGTCTAATTTTAATCCTTGTTACCCCGTTGTTCTTTAGAATCTGTCAAAATTTATAAGATAGGGTGAGTTTTGCATTATGTTCTCATTCTTTATACACTAAAGGTTCTGTTATACTGTCGTAAATTTCTGTTTGAATGAATTTTTAGGTTGTTTTCAAATATGTATACATTTTGGATTCATCAACAAAACTAGAAGACATGGTCTAAGATGGTGTATCTAATTGTCCTTTCATTGCAGATGGATTATAGATTTGTCGTTTTTGTAACTTACTAGGAAATAGTGACACAGTAGATATAAAAGAATAATTGATCTATATTACCTATAATGAGTGTCCATTTCCCAAATTGGTGTTTACCTGCAATAATAAGTAACTCTCATGAGAAGTCTTCTGGGAAGAATATAACCAAGGGAAAATACCTATATAAATAATTAATGAAGTTAATATCTATATTATAACCTCTTTTACTGTATTTTAAATTATGGAAACAATTTATATATATTAAGAAGAATAATAATTTTGTGAGGGAAGCTGTCTCCAAATCCTCTAACACAGATCCTTCATGTTTGCCATTGAAAGGGTAATGGCAAACATTAATGATCACATTTTAGCTACCATATCTCATTCCACATTTGGGTCTTCTATATGATAAAACTTTACATGATGAGACTGAAGAATTAGATCAAGGATTCACTTTAACCACGAATCATTTTTGTATAGGCAAATCAAACACCATGTTTAGAAAGTCGAGTTACTGTTTGTTTCCATGTAGTAATTGGACTTGTCAAATTCAATGTCATCATTATGAGAACTTAATAAGAGAAAAGAATAATAGGCACACATGAAGTATGATAAAACTAACCTAATGTTGCGGTTTGTGTTGGTATTGATGATGGTGACAAAGAAGGAGTTGGTGATAAGAATGTTGGTACTTTTGCTGGTGCTGGACTTGGCGATGAAGTATTTGATGCAGCTGGTAATATCTGTCGTGGCGAGTTTGTTGTTGCTTTTAATAATGATGAACATAACGTATGCATGTGAGAATTTGTCAGAGAAGTTATTGGAGTTATAAAGAGAATGAAAAGTTATAATTTTGTAGAATTAGAAGAAGGAAAATTCCATACCATTGAGCACACGAGGTTCAGCGAGCAGAGTTTTATTAGAACTCTTATATTGTGTACTTAAGATATGAGGTTCTGAGATCAGAGTATTGCCACTCTTGTTTTTCGTACTTGACACATTATTTTCACTGAGTTCTGCAAGTGATAAATTAAAACTGCTATATTTCACACGTGCCAACATAGCAGATTCATCACTTCCAGGTGAGCGTGTGATGGTGCTACTGCTGCAATCTGTTTACAGAAAAATTTTGGTTAACAATAAATTTTTATAACAATTTAAGAACGAATAAACTATATTATTCATAAAAAAGACATAACAATATCTTTAAGATAATTGTATGCAGAGTTAGTGCTGAATCTTAGTCAGCGAGTAGGTTGTATTCAGACATTATAAGAACTAAACCTAAACTTGTATTCAAATCTTAATTTAATATCATTTGTAGTTTTTTTTTCTTGTTAGTTCGAAAAATAATTTATAAAAATATCATATTTAAAATTTCTAATATAAAATAATATTTTCTCCAGAGACCCAATTTTTAGAATTGCAATCAATAAACATGAAATGTGCATAATTAAAATTAAGAAAATCAAAATAGCACTAAATAACATACTTTTCATATCGCCGCACGCCATGAAGACATAATCCACTTTAAGGTTGCCATCATCATTACCTTTGATCACCACTTTATTTGTTGTCCAAACCCTGTTTAAGTGTTTTTTACCTGCAGCCAGAACAACCTTTCAATATATATATTTTTTTATTTTAATTCACGAAAAATGAGAGAATTTTAGTTTTTTTTTTAAACATTATTATTTCATTTGAAATATAAAACAAATCATTTAGTCTTTATAGAATGAGTAAAATTTGGGTTTTGATTTTGTAATATATTTTTGACCCACTTAGATTGAAGAGAAATAAGGAAAAAAAAAAGTGAATAAATTAGATGCGAAATAGAAAGAAAATAATAATGAACCTAACAAATTTTCAAATTTCTTCACATTATTTTTCTCATTCCTCTTTTTTTCATCATCTATTTCTTAGCAACCAAATAAACATTAAGAGTTATTGAAGCGATGTAATTAAGCAAAACTGAATTACGAAAATAAAATATAAAAAACCTCAAATCTGCATATCAACCCTTCTGGTATACATATTACATGCATCTGTATAATTTAATTCAAAGGAAAACGTACCCTGAAGCAGTGACAAAATATTAAAATGGACATGACTGCTACTGGTAGTTGGAAGAAGAAGCGTAGCAGTGAAAGAGAGGAGGAAGAAAAGAGGGAGACTACTGCGGATCATGTGGAAGACAACCAGTTTCAATGAACATGGAAATGCCAAAATTCGACCTAGCTATACTTCTTAAACCTGAAGAACTTCTAGTGGATGTAGCATTACATCGTTGTTTATTAATTTCATGAAACTAAATCTATAAAGTGAAATAAATCATACTTTAAATAAGATAAAAAAATTAAAAGCTTATTGAAATATATGACTTTTTCACATTATTTATTTATTTATTATCTTGCTTTTGTCTCAGTTTATAACAATAATTCTACCTGTGTCTCCTCTGATTGATGACCCTACAAGTATTAAACTATTAACTGGGTGGTTCTTTGCTTTTAGACTTTGGTTAGACCCAATGTTCTACGTTTCAATGTGTCATTCATCAAATTAAAAGGTACCCTAAATTTTGTTTCCATCAGTAAAAAAGGAACCACAGCTTTTAGGTAAGGTCAATAAACGTAGTCGACTAAACCTACAAGAGGGTTGTTGAGTAAAAGTAGTTTTACCAGGGTTAATTATTTTAATTCTTTTTATATGTTAACTTTTGCTTGTTCCTCTGTGATTTCATTATTAAAGTGTGTCTCATATATTAAAAAATAAAAAAATAAGATATATATAAATTATTCTTAATTTCGATTCTAATATAAATCTTATAAATATATTGACACATAAATTATTTAATTAAAGATTAAGAAATATAAATAAAAGAGAATCCACTTTATATTTATTATAATAATATTTTACCTAAAATCAAGAGTATCCACTTTATATCTATTATAATAATATTATTATAATAAATTTTTATATCTGAATTATTATCTATTTTTGAATTTTAGTCCGTTACTGTTTTATTTTTATCTTTAAAAACGTATTGATGGATTGATAAATATTTCACAAAGGATTAATTATTTTAATTTTGATTATATGTTAAATTTTGGGTTAATTAATATGTTTTAATCCATCAAATTTGTTTTGATGTTAGTTTCAATTCAAATAAAATAAAAATTTTATTTTAATTCCCGTAAAATAAATATTTTGAGAAACTAAACACATTTCATAGATCAATCAACACAGAATCTCCTGGCTATGCCTTTTATATAGGTCATGACAAAGAAATTGCTGAGAGGATTTTTTTTATATGAAAGTAACGGGTTATTAGAGTGTTTTTTCCTTTTCTTTTGAGGAAAGGGATTGTTAGAGTTAATTATGGGTTTATGAGGTAATGATAACAATGAGGAGGGGCATGTGTCCCCACACGTTCTTTTGCCCAATAATGCAATGCACATGTAGTCAAGGAAGACTTGTAAACAATTTCGTGGAAGACTTGGAAAAAACAGTAGTCAATGAAGACTTTAATAAAAAAAGTATTAAAGAACAAAACCTGGGCGGTGAAATCTCATCCCTCAACTGGAAAATAAATTGTATTTAACGACGATTTATAAGATAACCGTAATAATAAGTGAAAAAGAAGTAATTTTATAATATTTAAATATTTATTATGTCATTTATAGCAAGAACAGACATGAAAGATATAATGAGAATAAATACAATAAATTTATCGGTTGTATTTTCATAATATAGGCATAAAATGCCAGTTATACGGTAAATTGATATAGGAAATTATTTATTATGTCAAATATTATGTAAATTAATAAATGTGACAATAGTATTTTGTAATATTAGACCTAAATAATTTATTATGTTAATTTTTTTCGTAATTGACGTAATAAATTTTTAGGATTATACTTTTATATTTGATCCACTTTTGTGTTCTCATCTTTTTCCTCCCCACATTCTATGTTCTCATTTTTTTTTTCTGTCTCCACATTCTTTTAATCCTCCTTCACTGCATGTTTTTTTTTAATGATGTCAACGACCATTGCCTGTATTCTGCATAGTTTTTTCATCCTTCAACTTTAAAACGAAGTTCATATGTTTGTTAACCCTTCAATGCTTCTAATTCTAGCTATTGATATATTTTTTTATCACGTTCAATTCATATAATTCATAATATTTTTCACAAGTGTAGTTGATAAGTTAGCCCACGTATAACTTTAAAGATCAAATATATATGTTTATTTTTCTAACACACATATTACTTTTGATCACTAAGTCATTTAGATTACACTTTGGAAAAAGAAAGAAAAAAATTAGATAGTATTTCTGAAGGACAAAAATATCGAATATTTCAAAATAAAATCATAAAAATATTTACCTAGTTTTGGAAAAGCGAACAAACTTATAATAGATTAGAAATAACATCTTAATAGAATAATTCTCTTCCTCTAATGCTATGTTTTTTCAAGTGTGATTTTTTTTTCTCTTTTACACCGTTGTATTGTCTAGTTTTCTCTTGTTTGAAGCGATATTATAATTAAATATCATAGCTTTTGTAGATATTATAACTGCAATTTAACACAATGATTGTGTATGCAAATAAAGATTCCTGTTGTATATTGATTCATTTTAAAACCATTGTTAGGTTCTCTGTTGCATTTTTCCTTCTTTGCTTTCTGTTATTCTGTTTTTAGCAGTTGGCAGTTAAGTAGTTAGTTGATTGGTCATGTTAGTTAAGCTTAAATCGTACTTCTGTTTGTTTTTAAGCATAAGTAGAGAGTTTGTATACCTGTTGTAAAAAATTTAACTTTGATATGCTACGAATAAAAATACCGTTGTTATTTTTCTGTTGGCTATTATATTGGCAAACTTTGTATTTCAATGAATTATTGTGTTTATTTGCAAATATAAGTGTTCGTTTAGGGTTCTTCAACAGAAGCAGAAGACATGGTCTAAGATGGTCTCTCTGGCTGTTCTTTTCGTTACAGACTTATCATAAATGTCACTAATTAGTGACACATGAAATGTGAAAAGGACAATTGACTTGTTTATTATCTATAACGACTTTCCTTTCCATTGGTGATGATTATGTGTGACAATGAGTAGCAAGAACAAAGAGAGGAATAATTAATCTGTGGTAACCTAAACTTTTAGGAAGGTTTTAGATTGGAAGAAAATACCCTATTTGATAGCAATCACTTGACATTGAAAAGGGAATCGACTGACAGATATTGCATACATGATCACATTTCAGTTATAATACAACTTTTGGTGACACTAAGAACTAAATCAAAAGGATTAATTTTAGCTATAGGGAATTTTTGTACAGGAACATCAAACACCATTGGACAATGTATTGGTTTAAGTTGCTTTTATCGAGAGAAGGAATAATCAGTCAAAACTGAAGATAAATATAACATTCACACCATGTTTTCACTTCCTCCATGTTGACAGTGTACTTTCATGTCAGGAAATGGAAGATTCTGGCACTGATCTAGTGGGAGAAGAAAGCGAAGGTTTTGGTGGGATTTCTAGGGAGTTCATGTTGCCTTCCAACATATCTATCACTCTACTAATTGTAGGTCTCTCATTAGGAAACGTTTGAGTGCACCATAAACCTACTATGACCAACCTCTTTGCAATCTCATTTTCTTCTGTTGTCATCACCATATCTGGTCTCAAATCATTGTCCAACTCAAGCTGATTGTATGCCCAGTGTGGGAAGTATATCTCACTTGTATGACTAGCTTCAGCATTAATATTTTTCCTCCCTCCCACCATCTCTAGCAGCATCATTCCGTAACTATAAACATCAGATTTATGTGAAACCCCTCCAAAATTTCTACTCCACATTTCTGGAGCTACATACCCCATTGTTCCTCTAGCATCTGACAAGGAAATAATACTTTCATTCCTAGGACACAGTTTTGCCAACCCGAAATCCGATATCTTTGCACAAAAATTCTCATCCAGAAGAATGTTATGTGGTTTAATGTCGAAGTGAAAAATTCGAGTGTTGCATCCCTTATGCAAGTATTCTAACCCTCGAGCTATATCCTTTGCAATTTGATATATGATATCCCAACTCAAAGGTGAAAGGGTCTCATGTCCTTCTCTATAAATGAATTTGTCAAGGGAACCGTTGGGCATAAATTCATATATGAGAGCTCTCTTTCGACCTTTCAAACAAAATCCAAGAAGATTGACCACATTTACATGAGAAGTTCGACTGATGCTAGCAACCTCGTTGATAAATTCTTCACCACTTTTCTTCGATGCATTTAACATCTTTACAGCCACAGGACTACCATTGGATAACTTTCCTTTGTACACCACAGCAAAACCACCTTTTCCCAGCTTCACCTTGAAGTTGTTGGTGATTTTTTTTACATGTGATAATTTATATCTTTTCAAAGCTAGAGAGCCGTGAATTTTTAGGAATGCTTCAATATTTTGATTACCTTTTGAAGTCAACCCAGAATTCGCTTGCCAGGTTGGTGACTTGTATCTGACACACAGAATTGCAATTGATATTAACACTCCAGCAATTGCTGAACCTGTAACACCTGTGAACAGATAAAGTAGGGGTAACAGTAAACATTTGACAATATTGGCATCTCATTTCTAACCATTATGTTTCTGACACATAAATTTTACTATTATACTATTCATACAACAACGTTTAAATATTATTGTAATCAATGAGAATGATGAGATGAAAGTAATAAATTGTTGCACAGATAACTCCTTTGTTTTTTTTATTAAATGGTGAGACTTATATAATTTTATGATTCTGAATAAATTTAAGTAAACAATAAAAAGTGTGACAGTAAGTAAATGAAGAAATTAGAAGATCGTGTTAGAGGGTGTTTACCATATGTATCTCATAAATATTCAAGGAACTAGTGGATGGGAAAATATAGAAGGAAATTAGTTTATTACCAATAATAATGAGTTTCTTCTTTTTGTTCGATTTGCCTGCAAAAACACGCAGTGGTGAGAACAAAGAACAATCCATCATTATTCATTGTTAGAAGCATTGTTGAATGGTTTATAAATTAGATTTATAAAGCATCACATGTATTTTATTCGTGTATAACCTAAATTCTAAACATTAAACATATAACGTAAAATCACATATAAAGAGGGAGGATATTACATTTGTAAGTGTAAGAATGTACGAAGGAATGAAGTCTCTACCTTATGCTAGATATCAATTTTAATACTTGGGACTGCTGCAATGGAAACACTGACCCATCCTATCCGCCAGAATTGTCACTCACACAAGCATGCTGACTTACGAAACATCACACTAATTCATGTAAAAATTCCTGATATGCAATATTATTCAAGGGATACAAAGGAAAACTTAAGGAAAGGTTACTAGAAGTCAAAGCTCATAAATTCACACACATTTAGGGAAACTAAGAAAAACTGATAAGGAATCACGGTAGAGAAAATTCAGGGACGACGTTAATTTGGGTTTTGGCAGGGTCAAAATTGGACAATGGAAGTGAAGCTGTAAAGAAGGAACCACCTAATTAATAATTGTGGGGACCATCTCAGCAAGACTTGGAAAAATGTGCCTCGACAACTCTAGGAAAAATCAGGTTAACGTAATCGTCATCGAAGCCCCAGATATTACTGAATGTGAAAGCAAAGTCCCAGGTCGGTCGTCTTCAAGGGGGCATGGGTGAGCACGGTGAGTGGTTATATAAGAAATTACATGTTCCTATTCTAATTATTTCAAAATATTTTTTCTTCTTTAAGTATTAAAAAGTGTTGTCATTCTTAGGACTAGAGAAGGAGTATGTAATTTTTCTTTTTATTATAAAATTTTCACTTTTGTCTAGTATTGCTATTCAATTTTTCTTTTCTCTATTTTAGTTGAGTTCTTATGCAAGTAGTCTGATACCTAACAGTGGTATCAGAGTCACGTTCTTATTCTGTTGCGCTAGTCACTAGAATAGTGTTGGTGTTGGTAAAATTTTGAGTATGCTATGTGGTTGTGGTTTAATCTGATCTTCCACATCAGAAAAGAGTTGTTACTGGAAAAGGTGTAGTAGTGTGAAACTGTTATCTGGGGAAGTTCTGGCTAGGAAAGACTTGGTACTTAAGTGTGTCCATTAGTGACTCACCTCTCTTTCCTGGAAACTTACCTAGTGTACTGGTTCACGGTCTACTACTATTGTTCCAGTAGACAATACTATTCATAAGTGAGAGTTGCATAAGTGGAAACACAACTATGACAGCAAAGTATGAGATAGAGAAGTTTAACGGGAACAATTTCTCGTTATGGAAATTGAAGATGAAGGCAATTTTGAGAAAGGACAATTGCCTTGATGCAATTGAAGGAAGACCCGCAGAAATGACGGATCAGAAGTGGAAGGAAATTGACGGAAATACTATCATAAATTTGCATTTAGCAATGGCAGATTTCGTACTATCTAGTGTTGCGGAAAAGAATACAACAAAGGAGATTTGGGATGCCCTCATCAAATTATATGAGGTGAAGTCTCTTCACACAAGGATATTCTTGAAGCGAAAACTCTACACTCTTCGGATGAGTGAGTCCACATCGATGATGGACCACATCAATCATCTGAACACTTTATTTGCCCAACTATCAGCAGCAGATTTCAACATAGTTGAAAATGAACGTGCAGAACTTCTACTTCAGAGCCTACCAGACTCATACAATCAACTCATCATCAACATAACAAATACTAATATGGAAGGAAATCTACGCTTTGAGGATGTTGCCGGAGCTACTCTAGAAGAAGAATCCAGACGCAAGAATAAAGTAGATAGATTGGAAAATTCCAAGCAAGCAGAGGCTTTGACGATGATGAGAGGAAGATCAACAGAGTGTGGCTCTAGTGGGAGTCAAAATCATGGTAGATCAAAATCTCGAGGAAGGAAGAATTTCAAATGCTACTATTGTGGCATGAGAGGGCACTTGAAGAAAGATTGTTGGAAGAAGAAAAATGTAGAGAAGTCTTTTGAGGCAACTACATCTCAAGGATGTGTTGCCAGTACCTCTGATGATGGAGAAATCCTGTATAGCGAAGCAGCTATTGGTTCCAAAGGTGAAAAACAGCTCACTGATGTTTGGATAATAGATTCGGGAGCAACATGGCACATGACTTCACGAAGAGATTGATTTTGCACTTATAAACCTATCTCAGAAGGATCTGTGTTCATGGGTAATGATCACGCCTTGGAAATTGCTGGAATCGGTACTGTCAAATTGAAGATATACAATGGTACTATTCGTACAATTCAAGGGGTACGACATGTGAAGGGCTTGAGAAAGAATTTATTGTCTATTGGATGACCTCGGTTGCAAGACCCATATTGAAGGTGGGATCTTGAAAGTAGTAAAAGGTGTTCTAGTAGTGATGAAAGCAGAGAAATTTGCTGCAAACCTATACATGCTTCTGGGAGATACGTTGCAAGAGGCAGATGTATCAGTTGCATCAGCTAGTCAAGAGGAATCAACGACAATGTGGCATCGCAGACTAGGCCATATGTCAGAACGAAGCTTGAAGGTCCTTGCGGAACGTAAACTCTTACCCAGGCTCACATCGGTAAACTTACCTTTCTGTGAGCACTGTGTGACAAACAAACAACATAGATTGAAATTTGAAAAGTCAACTACTAGAAGCAAACACATACTTGACTTGATACATTCTGATGTGTGGGAGTCACCGGAAATGTCCCTAGGAGGAGCTAAATATTTTGTATCATTTATTGATGATTATTCTAGGAGATTGTGGGTGTACCCAATCAAGAAAAAGTCAGATGTGTTTCCAGTTTTCAAGGAATTCAAAGCACAAGTGGAGCTTGAAACTGGGAAGAAGATCAAGTGCTTAAGGACAGACAATGGAGGAGAATATACAAATGGTGAGTTTCTGGCATTCTGCAAGTAGGAGGGTATAAGGAGGCAGTTCACGGGTTGCTCATACACCTCAGCAAAATGGTGTAGCAGAGCGGATGAATAGAACTCTCCTAGAGAGGACTAGAGCTATCTTACGAACAAGCAAGATTAGCCAAGTCTTTTTGGGCGAAGCGATGAAGACAGACTTGTTACGTGATAAATCGATCCCCATCAACCGTGATTAGTTTAAAGACACCTATGGAGATGTGGAAAGGAAAGCCAGCAGAGTACTCTTCTCTACATGTGTTTGGATGTCCTGTGTACGTAATGTACAACTCCCAAGAAAGAACAAAGTTGGATCCAAAATCCAGAAAATGCATATTCTTGGGCTATGCTGACGGAGTTAAGGGGTATCGCCTGTGGGATCCCACTGCTCGCAAGGTTATTGTCAGCAGAGACGTAATCTTTGCAGAGAATGAACTGCAAAATGAACAGGTAAATGACAAGACTTCTAAAGATGTAACTACTCGTACAAATAGATGGAAAGTCTCGGAGAAGATTCTTTAGAAGCAGTAACCGGAGCATGAGGAGCAAGAACCAGAAGAGACCAATGATACGTAAGTTCGACGAATAACACGTCGATAAGGAGACCATCTTGGCACTCGACTATATAATGGCAAGTCATGATGCATATTGTCTTCTAACAGAAGAGGGAGAACCGTCAACCTTTCAGGAGGCTGTGAGTAGTTCAGATGCTTCTCTGTGGATGGCAGCAATGTAAGAAGAAATAGAAGCCTTACACAAAAACAAGACATGGGAGCTTGTTGCACTTCCACAAGGTCGAAAAGCCATCGGCAACAAATGGGTTTATAAGATCAAACATGATGGTAATGATCAAGTGGAACAATATCATGCAAGATTGGTAGTAAAAGGGTATGCTCAAAAGGAAGGTATTGATTTCAATGAGATATTCTCTCCAGTGGTTAGACTTACCACTATCAGAGTAGTGTTGACTATGTGTGCTGCATTTGACTTACATCTTGAACAATTGGATGTAAAGACTACTTTTCTTCATGGAGAACTTGAAGAAGAAATTTATATGCTCCAACCAGAAGGCTTTGAAGAACAAGGAAAAGAAAACTTGGTTTGTAGGTTGACCAAATCTTTGTACGGTTTAAAGCAGGCGCCAAGGTGTTGGTACAAGAGATTTGATTCCTTCATTATTAGCCTCAGATACAACAGACTAAGTTAAGACCATTATACGTATTACAAGAGGTTTGATGATAATGATTTCATCATTTTGTTGTTGTATGTGGATGACATGTTGGTGGTAGGCCCCAACAAAGATCGAGTCCAAGAATTGAAGGCACAGTTGGCTAGGGAATTTGATATGAAGGACTTGGGACTCGCAAACAAGATTTTAGGGATGCAAATTCACCGAGACAAAAAGGATAGGAAGATTTGGCTCTCTCAAAAGAATTATCTTAAGAAAGTCTTGCGGCGCTTCAACATGCAAGATTGTAAGTCAATCTCTACCCCATTGCCTATCAATTACAAATTATCCTCAGATATGTGTCCTAGCAGTGAAGCAGAAAGGATGGAAATGTCTCGAGTGCCGTATGCATCGACGATGGGAAGTCTTATGTATGCTATGATTTGTACGAGACCAGATATTGCACAAGCAGTTGGGACGGTTAGTCGATTTATGGCAAATCCTGGTAGAGAGCACTGGAATGCTGTGAAAAGGATCCTAAGATACATTAAAGGAACCTCAAATGCTGCATTATGTTTTGAAGGATCAGAGTTTATTGTCAGAGGATATGTTGATTTAGATTTTGCAGGTGATCTTGATAAAAGAAAATCTACTACAGGATATGTATTTACACTTGCAAGTGGAGCAGTAAGTTGGCTATCTAAACTGCAGACTGTTGTAGCCTTATCTACTACAGAGGCGGAGTACATGGCAGCTACCCAGTGCATGCAAGGAAGCAATTTGGATTCAAAGGTTATTGGGAGAACTCGGACACAAGCAACAGAAGATCAATGTGTATTGTGACAGTCGAGTGTCTTGCACATTGCAAGGAATCCAACTTTTCATTCCAGAACAAAACACATAGGAGTACAATATCATTTTGTCAGAGAAGTAGTAGAGGAAGAGAGTGTGGATATGCAGAAGATTCATACCAAAGATAACCTAGCAGATGCCTTGACAAAACCAGTAAATGCTGACAAGTTTATACAAAGTCGATCATGTTATGGCCTATTGAAAGCATAAGCAGCATAGATGGAAAAGATAATCATGGTGTGAAGATTGGATTAATTTCATCAAAATCTTCAAGTGGGAGATTGTGAGAGCAAAGTGTGGGTACTTCAAATGGGGCATGAGTGAGTGGTTATATAAGAAACCACATGCCTCCCATTCCAATCATCCCAAAATTTCTTTCCTTCTCTAAGTATTAAAAAGTGTTGTCATTCTTAGGACTAGAGAACGGGTATATAATTTTTTTTCTTATTATAAAATTTTTACTTTTGTCTATTATTGCTATTCAATTTTTCTCTTCTCTATTTTAATTGAGTTCTTGTGCAAGTAGTCTAATAGCTAACATTGAATACATTGGTATTACAAATTGGAATTATTAATGCATATATGCGAAGCAATACTCTTTTTTTTTTTTTTGTCTAAGTTCTAATCAGTGCCTGTCTGGGACTTTCATAAGATGTATGTATGTCCCCAAGTTAGAATAATTAATACCAAATCACAAGCTTTATGGGACTTGGTGGGAAAAGAACCCTGAGAGGATGGACTACTGGGTGGGAACTGGGAACTAGGATCTGGAACTTCACACACTAATTAATTGATTTTTATTTTTTTTACAACTTCATTATATATATATATATATATCAAGTTACATTAAGTTGGAATCTCATATCATAACTTATAAATATGATTTAGTATGGTAACTTACGATTTTTTCTAATAAACATATTGTTGAGGTGATGGTTTTGTTACAGTATAAGCTATGAGACAAGAGAGGAGGAGAAATGAAGAAAAGAGGAATAGAAGGATAGAAGACATACTAGTTTTAGGAGGATATAAGTGTTGTAGAGCATTAGATACATTTGAACAATAATAGTTGCATGAAACTAGATGTTGAAGAATACCATCGTTCCAACAACTTCCGTCAGTTTCGTTGCATCTTGTGCAATCTTGAGGAACACTATAGTACACCTCAAACCCATCACTGATAGCTTCTCTCAGTACTTCACCACCATAAGTATAATAATAATGCTCGAGAGGAGCGGCAGTGGTCACGTGCAAACGTTGCCTGCAATTCTTAAGCAGTGAGTATTTCTCGAGCATCTCTTGCTCCTTGTATCCCTCCTCAAAATATTGCACAGACACGCAAGTAAAGTTGCGATTTAAAGGAAAACCTGGGATATAATCAAGACAACCATCGAAGAATATGGTGATGTTGTGCACTGACGAAGAATGGAACAGATTTTTGTTCAAATTCCAACAAATGTCAAAAAATTGATGAGAACAAACATTGCTGTTGACAGGGTATGTTGGCTCAACTTTCATGGTGTGAATGGTGTTGTTGGTCTCCTTCACTGTGAAATTTGGAGACACAATTGGAGTATTATTACCATAATAAGCATAGCAGGTGAGATGGGATGGGTCACGGGCGGTACATGGTGGGTTGGGTTCCCAGAAAGGATAGAAGATGGCGGAAACGTTTATGCTGTACGTATACGACTGGTGAAGACGAGCCGGTGGTGGTGGTGGTGGTGGTGGTTGAGAGTGGGAGTGTGGGAATGTGATTGACAACAAGCAACAGATGGTGAATACGAAGGGAAGGAGCGTGTTGTGGAAGTCACCATGCTTATCATCCATTCTCGTACTTGTTTGCAGTGCCCTCAGAAGACTCTCTTCTCCACACATAAATCAGAAGTTATGTGAAAACACGGATGTAAACATAAAACATGTAGTCACATGAAATATCCACTGATAAAGTTTATTCTTATTACATCCTAAGTATTTGTTCAACACAGACTATTATTCAAATGTAAAAATATCAAACATATCAGATGTTACAATGTTTATGTGCTCATATATGATTAGTATATATGTGATTTGATGATATATTCTTTTCAAAAGAAAACGTGTATGTTGATAATATATGTTTAATTATGCATAAATTCTTACTAAACATTTATCCTTGTAAAACATATATATTCTTTTTATGATTAATTTATGTTAAGATGATATAAAAATGTGAAAATTTATATTAAAACATCGGATATTGCTAGCTTAGAATTCATACGAAATTAATTTTTTCAAACTAATTATTAAAAACTTCTTTTTATTTTGATTAAAACATTAATTTTGAAATTTAATATTCATCCAAATTCTTGAAAATTTAATATTTAATCAAATTGTATATCCCCTTAGAAGGAGAAAGAGGCTGGGGAGCATGTTTAGTTTGAGAGATTATGGGGCTAAATTAGTTTGCGTTAGAAAAGGAGTATTTTTTTTATTTCTAATACATTTACTACAATTTTATGAGATATGTATAAATAATTGTTTTTGAGAATTGTCACAATTATAAGCACTTTTCTTAAGCTACTGATAAAATCTAAACAAAACCCGAAAATGGGAAAAAACTAAAACTAATAACTAAGTTACGTTGGAGCACGTCACGTTGTTTCGTGATTGCTGACATTTATGACAACAGAGAAACACTGCATCGATGAAGGTAGATTGGTGATTTGATGTTTCCACAAGGGAGAAGCCTAGTTCATCATATTCACACTTCAGATAAGAGAATTGAAGGACTTGTTAGAGGCAAAAGTTATTCATAAATCTGAACTTAAAATACGATATTAATTATGAAACCAAGGAATTCATGTTATCTTCAACTTCAAACATATCTACCACTCTACAGTGTAGGTCTACCATTTGGAATTGTTTGAATTTTCTTCTTTATTTATCACATCATTCTGTTACATCATTATCCAATTCAAGTCTCCTCTGTATCAAATGGAGAAAGTATATCACTTGTATGATTAGCTTCAACATTTATGTTCTTCCTCCCTCCTATCACTTCTAGCAGCATCATCATCCCATAACTATAAACATCGGACTTGTGCGAAACCCCACCAGAATGAGTATTTACCATTTCTGGAGCAACATACTTCAGTGTCCTTCTAGTGTCAGACATAGAACAAATGCTTTCTTTCCTGGGACAGAGCTTTGATAGCCCAAAATATGATATTTTGGGAATAAAATTCTCATCTAAAAGAATATTATCTGGTTTTACGTCAAAATGTAAAATTTTAGTGTTGTAGCCCCTATGCAAGTATTCCAACCTTCGAGCTATTCCTATTGTAATTTGATATAAATTCTTCCAGCTTAAAGATGCAATTCATGCTGGCCCTCTTTTGTAGATAAACTTGTCCCTATAACCATTAGCAATAAGCTCATAGATGAGAGCTTTTTTGCGACCTTCCAAACTGTTGGCAATCCTTTGTGACAAGGAGGGAGACATATTTTTCACTTGTCAATTATTTGTAGTGTATTAGATAACAGTCAGTCACTTTGATCTCGCCTATAGCAACAATTATACTTGACCCTCACTCTTAATACTTTACACATACCATAGTTTGATCTAGCTTTTCCATGCAAATTCGTGAGTTTCAAAATGAATTAAAAGTACAACATAATTATATTATGCGATCTGTTTTAGAAAGATCTACACAGACTGCAAATAACTAGTGGTCCATTTTGGCACCGATCTGGTAGTGAGAGAAGAAAGAAAAGGTTTTGGGGGTATTTCTTGGGATTTCATGTTACCTTAGCATATCTATTACTCTACTCATAGTAGGTCTATCCTTTGGAATCGTTTCAATGCACCATAAACTTACTACAATCATTCTCCTTTCTGTCTCTCTTTCTTCTGTGGTTATCACCCCGTCAGATCTCAAATCTTCATCTTGCTCTAACTTGCGGTATATCCAATCTGGGAGGAATAAAATCCAAAAGCATTGGAGGTAAAAATATAGTGCATAAAGCAAGCAGCTATTGCGTTGGGAGGAAGGAGTTGTGGGTGGGAAGAATTGAAAGGGAGAAGGATGGTTGATGTTGAAAGAGAAGTAGTATTTGTTATTGTTGCATGAGAATGCGTATTGGTTGAAGATAGCAGAATTCAGATTAAAGAGCATCGATGAGAATTCAGTACCTTATAACAAAAACAAGAGGAATACAGAGGATAGAATAGAAAGACATACTTTTTTCGGGAGGAGAATATCCTCTTTCTCGCTGTGCCTGCCTTGTCACATTTTTCCCACTCCAAAACAAAATATAATTCTAAATTTCCAAAACACGAACCAGTCTTCTACTCTCTCTTCCCCAATTCACACTCCACTATTTCTCATACTAAATTTTTGACTATACTAAATCTCACCTCGCCCATTTTCCTTTATTCCACTAAATATAGTTTATACCAGTTTTAACCATTTACTAAACATTCACCACTTTTATCTATAATTAATCTCAGCTCAAAAACTTAACTGATCATCTTTAATGAAGCCTCACAACCATATCAATAAATCTATTATCATACAAAATATTGGTAGGGAACAAACTCTTTTGGTGAATTTTGTTTTTGTTTTTCTCCTCTGGAGGTCAATGGTTATTTGAATAATTTGCAGTTAATTTTTTATTATTAGATTTCTCTGTAAATTTGTATACTATCATGTTAATATTGTCTAATCCAAATAGTATGAATTATACATCAGTGATGTAACCTAAGGAAAATATTTTTTCTTCAGAAATTCATTTGTAGTAATTCATTAATTATCAGTATCTTGTTCTAGGCCTGCTCTGTTTTTTACTGCCCAAATTTGTAACATTTTATCAAACTTGCGACCTAACCTCTGTCAAGAGGAGTACTATTAGAAACCAACGATCATTCTAATTTTGTTTATTTCTATAAATTCAAATGTATCACATGCTGATTGGATTTCTAATCAGTCTGATGCATGTGAAAGGGCATGGTTCTTCTTTATGATGGAAATTTCAGGTTTGTAAGAAGTCATTCCTTGACCCATGTCTCAAGTTTCAACCATTATACACGCGATGAAGAAAGATATATAGGTCAATAATCAACAAGGAATATGTATTAGCAAATTGAAGAGCATTTCTAGGAAAACCCATGTCCACATACTCGGAGCAGGTGGAGCCTATGGCATTCCGTGGTAAGTGGGTGAAATTGACTTTTCTGGTGTTGATCTAGGTGTTGGTTCTGGGGACCTTGCTAGGATATTCTTACAAAACTCACCATCAGATTGCTGATTAGGACAGAGACACATAAATGCATCCATAGATGCTTTGTGTCCACATCTCCCACCAGATTTTGAGCAACCATTACATTGATCTTCATTAGCACCACTCCATCCAACCTCAAATCCTCTTCCTAAAACATTGTCCACAACCGAATCATTCTTCACAGCCTCTTTTAGAACATAAACAGTGATGCCATTCTTGCAACTCAGACTATTGAAATTAACCACTTCAGTACTCAACACAAAGAATCCAGCTTGGAGACCACCACCTATTGGGGCAATTAAATTGTATTGCTCCTCCATATTCACACTGCTAGACATATATCCAAGAGGGCCGCAGTCATATAACAAAGTGTACTCAACATCATTGGAAGTGTTGCTGAAGAAATTTGAATCCAACTTAACATTGACATAGTCATTAGTACAAGGGTTGGTCCATAAATCCAACCTTGCAATCTTCAAAACCTTAGATATCTGATCCATATCAATGACTTGGAATGTCTGTGACATGATGTCAATTGTCACGTTGTCTTGTTGGCAATCAAGCATGAACTTTGGATGCCCACAATAATCTTGTTGGTCCTTACTCCAAAATGGGTACCTAATATTGTTGAATTTCCCACAGCTAAAAGGTTCACATGCTGTGTAACCTTCAGCATCACTAGATATAGATGTTGGGAAGAAGAGTGACAAGAAGAAAAGGGTGTTTATGAGGGAAGAAGGAGGTGGAACAAGAGGATGAGGCATGGCAGAAATCTGAGAGGGGCCTTAATTTGCAGAGGAACAATGTAAAAGACCTTTTTTGTTGGTGAGGCAAATGGCAAGTACGGAACGACAATCTATATATATAAGTCAAACTAAATGACGTATAACTAACTAGATTGTTTTTTTTTTCATAAATTTCGTGTTGACAACTTGGAATTAAAACAATAAAAAGAAAACACCTCTGAGCCTTAAATTTTGATTCTGTAAACATGTTATCCAGTAATATTTATTCACTGGCTGCGGTGACTTTGTCACGTTAGTGATGTCGTGATTAGATTTTTCTTAAGCTATGTGATCATGTGAATTTGAGCTATGCATTTCACCAATAAAAGAATCTATAATTTATTTCAAGAAGCTTAAAGGACTGTGCCTTTTTTGTAACTTTTGGAAACAGTTCTGCCATCTGTGCTCTCATCCAATCAAGCACAAACCCTTTCTTCATGGTATCACTAGTTTCAGTCTCTTTTGCTTCACTGTCACCACAACATGATCCTCGCACTACCTCAGCCAACCATATCCATTTTTATCTTCATCCCCAGCCAGAAAAACATCAGACTGATTCTTATCTTGTTTCATGCACCCTATTTGCTGAACAGATGAAGGGTAAGAACTGCAGTTGAAATAGAAACTTAGATTCAAATCTAATGAGCTGAAAGACAAAGGGAGGTTGTGACGTGTCCTTGGACATGGTTGGTCCAAAATATCTATGTCAACAAGTGTAATCGAATGATCATCATAGTTTATATCTGTGACTTGGTATGTATCACTTGGAAGACTAATGATGGCATGGTCGTTCAAGCATTCAAGACCAAATTCGGGATAACCACAAAACTCTCCAACGTTGGTGTGGGATTTCTTCCAAAAAGGGTAACTAATGGAGACGCTACCACAGTAAGAAGGAACACATATTGTTGATGTAGTACTAGAGGTTTGAGCATGACATGGCACGAGGATGATGAACACTGTAAAGAGGGAGTACAAGGTTTTTGACATAGCTTAGTAGACTCAGAAACGTAAGCTAACTGTACTTTGGACGTTGATTATAAATGAGATTATATATATATATATATATATATATATATATATATATATAGCTTTAAATTTTCTTCAATGCGATGAACCAGTAAAAATAAAAATAAAAATCCAAGTCTTATTTAGAAATAAAATCTGGGTCCATATGTCTGTAAGTGGTAAAAGAATCAACGCTGTTTCACGAAATTCAATGTGTTATTCTTTAACTTTGAAGTTGTATTGGGTTAAGAAAAAAGCTTAGGATGTGAATATTATAAAACCATGTTGAAGAATATGAGATTGAGAGAAAACCGTGGCTGGCACGTTCCTTTGATTATAAAGGTCCGTTGTATCTGTTCGTGGCTTTTTAGTTAAGTGGAAGTAAATATATTCCTTTCATGGGCTGTCACGTGTCATGAAATGTTAGGTTGAGGATTAACCGGTGAAAAACAACACCACCAGTCAGAACTTACATAATATATTCGTATTATTTTCAATTCAAAATCTTAAGTTAGATAAACTATTTTTCTTTTTTATATATAGTTCAATTTCTTATTTTTTTTAATTGAAGAATAACTGTATCAAATGTATTTATTTTTATTTATAATTTTCAGCAACTTAAAATTTTTAGCACATATAACTTCAGTTCCTGGTTTTTTTACTTAATTTTTAATTATTTGTAATTTTTTCAAATTTTAGTTTCAATTTTCATAATTTAATAATTTAAACCTGTTTAGATTAATTTGAATCTTAGATTTAATTTACAAAATGGTCATTCTATAGCTCTTAGAGATTAAATCATACTAAATTAGATTATATTTAACTAAATTAGATTTTTAACTTTAATTAGATTAAGCATCGGTTAGTTAACCCAATCAACAACACGTGCGTTGCAATTTGTAGGAAATGGTATTGAATGGATTAATCATTCAGTGGGCGGGTAACATAAACAGCCCATTAGTAGATTTATTAATAATAAAAAAATTACAACTTTTTCCTTTCCGGTGGGCTTACTCTGCTTTATCTTTTATTCCTGGGCTTTGAGATACACTCGGCCCATGATTTAAAATATAAATAAACTGAATTATTTGTGAGTTATTCAAATTTAGCTAGTTAAATATTTAATTAAATTAACTTGGTTAATGAAAATTAAAAAAAATCAAGATTTAATTATTTAAATCAATTGAATTCATGTTTTACATGTTTAACATTTTTTGTCCATGAATATATAGCTTATTTTTCTTAAACTATATAATGATGAAGATCTTATTCATTTTTACCATTTTGTATAAATTATCACGAAAATATTTACAAAATTGGAGAGTGTGTTAAAATTAGTTTTGTGAATCTTTTATTTACTGAATTATAAAAGTAGAATATTTAAAATATTTGAATTTCACATACTTCATATTACTATTTGTAGATTATCATCTTAATGAAATACTAAATAGTAAAGTTATAATAGTTTAAGAAACTCAAATTCTCTTCACAAAATCAAATTTTCAAAACATAATTCTATTCAAAATCAATTATATATTATGATTGTTTAATAAAAATGCATCTAGAAGTTAGACATTAAACTTATTTAGCCTTTTTTATTTTAATAATATTTTAAATAAGTTGTATGTTTGTTACTCGTTTTTACATAATCAGAGTCTGAAAAAAAAAACTTTTCGAAACAATTCATGACAAAAAAATTAATTAATAAGATGGTGTTTTTTTTTAAATAAATTAACATTTATTTTCTTACAATATATAAAAATAATTGCAGACTTTTTTTATTGTTAAACTATGGTCTATCCCTAATATATAAATATTTTATCTTTCACTCTTTTTAATTAATTTCAAATATATTTTTTAATATTTAAAGTCTCGTGTTAATAATATGAGTTTAAAACTTATTCAAAGAGTTGTAAAAACTAATTAATAAAAAACTCATTTATGTTAAAAAAAAAATTAACACATAACATTCATGTTTTAAACCAACAGAGGAGAATAATATTTTAAAAGAAAAAAAAAAACTAAATGGTTTAATTGTCCGCAGACTTTATTGTAATAATATACTCAAAATATCTTTTCATAAGAAAATGGACGTGTCAGAGTTAAGACTTTTCCATGTTTTCTGAAGACTCATTCGTCTTCAGCTGTTTCCTTCGTCCTTCCTGTTACTCACTTTGTACACTTCTTTCATTTTCTCTGCTCTTCCCATAGAGACTTTGCATGTCACCAAAGTTGCTTTCCATGTTGAGGTGTAGACTGTATCACTTCCTCTCAATTCCAGAACATTCTTTGTGAAGGTTAGTTCGCATTCAACCATCCAAAATTTGTTGATGGCATCTTGTCTTTCTCAGCTATACAGCAGACTCGTAAAGAAGGAATTCCCTTACGAGGAGTAATTTTTGGTACTCATGTAACATCTAGCCTCTTGTTGTTAACTTTATTTAGTTGCTAACTTGTTCCTCTTGAGAGTTTGTTTAATTACTCATCTGGTTCTTGTACTTGCACAATTTTCATGTTTAAGTTGCTACATGGAAAACTACTTGGTGTAGTCCCCAGATATACACTTCTGTCATCCAAAATTGAAGGGAATAAAATGGATTAAGAAGAGTATGTGTGGGACTAAAACAAGTTTAAAAGTGTATGTGGAGGAACTAAAATGAGTAGTTTCTACGTGTAGGGACTCAAACATCAAGATTGTGCCATTGACTTAAATATGCTTTCTTCCCAACATAGTATGAACACAAATTATAGACCTTATAGAATCAATATACATGGAAATTAGCAATTCTGATAGCGTCTTTTTCCTCACTCACATTCAGCATCCCAATGACGTTTATTAATTGCCTTATGAGAATGAGGTGTAATCTCTTTGAGTGCTGCTGCATTAGCACTTCTGACGCATTTCCAAAGCAGAGTAAATGGAAAATCTTGCCCTACAAGAAACTTGCAAAAGTCACAGATAACTTCAATCAATCTCATTGTCTTGGAAAAAGAGGCTTTGCCACTGAGTATTACGGTAAGTGACTAAGCTATGGCCTTTTATGTGAACAACAATGCCAATAGAGAAGGAGAAAACCAAGATAGATTTGCTTGAGTAACCCTGACATAGTTCTCAAACCAAATTTGGAGTTCGGCTTGGTAATCCATATAATGAAAATTTGGATTAATGATCAATATAGGTTACGAGGTGAGATACCAAGTTATCACAACACAGAATTTAAGGAACTGAATTCATGTTTTGTCCAATAGAAATAGCACAAAGATCAGATGTAGTTCTTTAATTGCTTTCGGTCCTCTTTCTGTTGTTAAAATCTGTTTTTCACCATGATACCACACACAATACCGATGTTCTGATTGAATAACTAACAGCAAAAAGCACCTTAACATCTGCAAGTTTTCTTCAAGCAAAATTGTCTTCAGTTTATTTCCCTTCTTTTAGGAAAACTTGAGGATGGGCGCGAGATTACAGTCCAGTGCTTCAACGAAGACAAGCATCATACATTGCAACAATTTATCAATGAAACTTCTATTCTAAATTACTTGCCTCACAAAAATATTGTGTCAATTTATGGGTATGCTTCTCACAATGAACAATCCCTGCTAGTCCATGAATACATATCCAATGGCAATCTTGCTGCTCATCTTAAAAGTGAAGATGGAAACAGCACACAATCTTGGCTGACACGATTAGATGTAGCCATTGACATTGCAAATGCAGTGGACTATCTTCACTATTATGGCATCATCCACCGCAATGTAAAATCCAGCAATATTCTCCTAGATGTGAACTTTTCTGCTAAACTTGCTAACCTTCATTTATCATGCAAACTTCCAGCTGGAGTTCCTGTCTATGCCACCCATGTTACTAATGATATAATTGGAACATGTGGTTATATCGACCCGGAGTATTTGAAAAAGGGACAGCTTAGTGTAAAAAATGATGTTTATAGCTTTGGGGTAGTGTTGTGTGAGCTTCTATCATCAAAGCTGGCAAAATACTGGGTTCTAAACGAGGAGGATAATCTTGCTACCCTTTTAAGCAGAAAAATTGAAAACCAAGCGTTGGTGGAGCTGTTGGATCCAAGACTTGGCTTCCAATCAAACCTTAAGATCAAGTGGATGATGACTGCTACAGCTGAGCTTGCACTTTTGTGCATGAAATGTCCACAAGAATTAAGGCCAAGCATGGAACAGGTGCTAGAGATTCTCAATGGCATAAAGCAGGGGAGACATGAAACAAACACAACAAAAGGTATAATAAAGCCATTTTTTGTCCCGTTTCCTTACTAATGGTTTTCTAGCTTCTATATGTTTTTTAGTGCCAACAGACTGAGGATAAAAGCTTTAATTCATATGATTATCCATACATCTCAGCTTTGAAAATCTTCCACCCTGCTGAACTCGAAGAGGCTACTAACAACTTTGATACTTGCCTTGGAAAGGGAGGCTATGGCACCGTGTACTATGGTGAGAGTCTAATTGGTCCACATATTTTAAGCCAGTGTTTCCTGTAAATAATATGCATATATCTATATTTGTTCTGATAGTGTGCCATGTATTAGGAAAACTTAAGGATGGACGAGAGGTTGCAATAAAATGTTTCCATGACGAGAGTGCGACAGAAAAGACTATTAAGCAATTCATGCAAGAAACTGAGATCTTGGTTCTGTTGCACCATCAAAATCTGGTTTTACTTTATGGCCGCACTTCTCGCCATAGCAACAAACACATGCTAGTGTACGAGTATATCTCCAATGGCACTCTTTCTAAACATCTTCATGAATCTTCGTGTGGCAAACTACCATGGCATACTAGATTGAACATAGCCATCGAAACTGCAACTGCCTTGGTATATCTTCATGACTCGGGCGTCATCCACCGAGATGTGAAAGGGAGTAATATTCTGTTGGATGAAAACTTTTCTGTTAAAGTTGCCGATTTTGGATTCTCACGGTCTCTTCCAGATCATGTCACTCACGTTTCCACTATTCCTGTAGGAACTCGTGCTTACATAGATCCTGACTACTATGAATCTGGAAGGGTCAGTGACAAAAGTGATGTCTATAGTTTTGGGGTGGTATTGTTGGAACTTATATCTTCCAACCCCCCAATTTTATTGGAAGGCACAGAATATGTTACTCGTGCACAGTTTGCAAAGGGAAAAATCTTAAACAAGGAATTAAACGCGGTAGTGGATCCAAGCTTTTGGTTTGGTGTTGACAGAAACATGATGGAAATGATAACGGCAGTAGCAGAGTTAGCATTTCAGTGTGTGCAGTGTCCCAAGGAACTCAGACCATCCATGAAACAGGTTGTAGACACCCTTGAGGGCATTAGGAAAGGAACATGGGGATTCAACCAGATAACATAGTCTGTTCTTGCTACCAACAAGCCTGATTCTTCCAAACCATTAATTTGGTTTTTGGTTTAATAGATATGAAGTTTTGCTGTAGTATAGTACTTTGAGGTTAGGCATGCATCATTGCAAATGATGTACACGTAAAAGAGTAGGTTGAGGACGTTGTTTTCTAGCTAGATTACTCCTTCTGAGGCAAATTGAACGTGTATCCTTCTCTCTCTGAATTCATGTTCAATGTATTATTGCTAGATTAGTCTGAGTAATATATAGCATGCAGTCAAAGATCATGTCTTGGCAGCACTTCCTCAATGCCATCCTGAAAAACTTCTTTTTCAGACAAACAAAAATGGCTTTTACTACTTGAACTAAAGATTGAAAACAAGGAGTATATCATTTTATTTATGGTTAATTTAGTATAAATTTATATCAAAATATAGATTTACGAGTTTATATATATATATATATATATATATATATATATATATATATGTATTTTGTGAGTGTAAAGAATTTTATATTATTAGTCAATTAAAAATTAGATTTTATTAGAGAAATTGTTTTTTTTTTCTTAACGTGGTTTTAACACTGCCTTACACTAATGTATGAAGGATAAGACCTAACAGTATATTGTTTAAAAACAATTTTCATCACTCATCTTTTTATTAATAAAAATTTATTTAAAACTATTAAATTAAATGTAAATTTTATTAAATAAATATAACCTTCAAACTTTCTTAGGTTAATGACAAAAGAATGTGTTAAAAATGATGGCTCAACTTTTCGAGAAAAATTATATGATTATATATAATATGAAATCGACGACAACTTAGTCAAATAAAAAACTGTTCGAAACAAAGTCATCTCCCTAGTAAATGCTTAGATATCGAACGGAGTGTTGTGCTGCAATTCATATTCCCTTCCTTCCATTTTCTGCGGCTTCTTTGTTCTTTCTTTTCAATGCCACCCTTTTGTCCATCTTCACTGAACCTCAACACAGGTTATAACTCAGTTTTAATTATTCTTGATCCTCAAAGTTCTCAACTTCATAGAACAACACTTCAAGAAGGGTCTTATGTATAACCTTGGTGAACTTTTATTTTCTAGATTACTTGTTAGGCACTAAATTGAGACTTTGAGGCGCTACACCTGAATCACTACCTCTCTGGCAGACCATTCTTTGAAAGGGGTCACATAATTCACCTCCAGAAACTGTTGGGGGCACCTTGTCTTTCTTGGGATTGTTTGTTCTCCAGATAAGAACTAAGAAACCTCGTCTCTGTTTTATATACTTGATAATTGTGATGAATTCTTTTGTGTAAATGGCATTCTGCATAAAATATATTTGTGTATGAGTATAGTATGGATAGGAAAATTCTTATTTATTTAATTATTTTTGTTCATTAGTTGTTTTATCGCTTAGAGTGGTTTTGTCTGGTTCAAGTAGGATTTTCTTCGACAGAAAATGACCGTATTCTTCCAAAAAACAGGTTTTGTTAGGAAGGACCATGTGCTACAAGAGTACTAAAAGAAGTTTGCTTTGCAGTGAATAAATTTTGGTACTGATATAGCCCCTATTCTCTTCTAGTTAATTTACCTTTTTGGTATTGTTCTTATTCCACCTAAATTTCATACATGGATGATAAACTCACATGAGGTTGATCAACTAGTTAACGTCATTCATCCACACACAGTTGTTGTTATTGTTATATATTCATTGGCATAATAGGATATTACCAGCCGGAACAACCCCTTTTGTTTTAGCTGATCCACACACTTTTCATCTTATTCCACCTAAATTGCAATTTTTTTATCTTATTTGAACAGGAATTAGTCGTTATAGAATTTAACATGCAGAGAAACTTTCATTTCTGATCAGCACCTTTTACCTCACTCACTCTCAGCATCCCAACGACCCTTTTTGGTCGTGAGATTGAGGTGTGATCTCTTTTAGTGCTGCTTCACTAGCACATCTTCTGACACATTTCCAAAGCACAGTAAGTCGAAGTGGCGAATCTTTTCGTATAAGGAACTTGCGAAAGCACAAATAATTTTGAACAATCTCATTGTCTTGGAAAGGGAGTTGAAAAGAGAGGCTTTACCACTCAATATTACGGTAAGAGATTATGCCACAACCTTCTATATGCATAGTAGTAAATACAAGTAAAACAAAACTGAAATGTTATTCTTTTAATCGAAATTGGCAATGCGTTTTGGACAATTTTGTGCGACCAAAACAAATGCCAATACATAACTTCAATTTTGACTAGCATGAAAAACAGTTATAGAACTATACCTCATGTTTTTGCACGGAACATTTTCTTCTGATCATTTATAATTATTCGTTTTAGGAACACTTGAGGATGGACGTGGTGAGATTACAGTACGGTGCTTTAAAGAAGACAAGCGCTACATATTGCAACAGTTTATCAATGAAACTGTTATCATAAATTACTTGCCTCCCAAGAATATTGTGTCAATTTATGGGTGTAGTTCTCATCACGAGGAACCTCTACTAGTGCAAGAATACCTATCCAATGGAAATCTTGCTGCTCATTTTCAAAGTAACATTTTACTACCTTGGCATAAACGACTGGATATAGCCATTGATATTGCAAATGCATTGGACTATCTTCACTATTACGGCATCATCCACCGGAATGTGAAGTCCAGCAATATTCTCCTACATGAGAACTTTTCTGCTAAAGTTGGTAGAGTAGGTTCAAGTGGTTATATAGACCCAGAGTATTTGACAAAAGGCCAGCTTAGCGTAAAAAATGATGTTTATAGCTTTGGAGTGGTGTTGTGTGAGCTTCTATCATCACAGCTGGCAAAAAATTGGGTTCTGAATGAAGAGGAAAATCTTGCTACCCTTTTAAGCAGAAAAATTGAAAAACCAATCTTTGGTGGAGCTTTTGGATCCAAGACTTGGGTCCCAATCAAACCTTATGATCAAGCAGGTGATGACTGCTACAGCTGAGCTTGAAGTTCTGTGCATGATATGTCCACAAGAATCAAGGCCAAACATGGAACAGGTGCTAGAGATTCTGTATGAAATGAAGCAAGGGAGATATAAAACAAACTCTTTCTCCACTAAAGGTACAATAAAACCATATTATATCCCTTTTAAACACCTTTTTCATTGACTCTGCATAATTATTAAACTCATGCGCATATATCTATGTTTCTTTTTTAGTTAGTTGCAAAAAAATTTCACACCAATAGTACAAAGTTATTAAACTAAAATAGATCTATATATATTTGCTCTAGTGACATGCCATTGCGATAGGAAAACTTAAAGATGGGATAGAGGTTGCAATAAAACGTTTCCATGACGAGAACAAGACAGAAGAGACCATTAACCAATTCATGAAAGAAAGTGAGATCTTAGGTCTCTTGCACCATCAAAATCTGGTTCACTTTATGGCCACGCTTCTCGCCATAGCAGCAAACACATGCTAGTGTACGAGTACATCTCCAATGGAACTCTTTCTAAACATCTTCATGAATCTTCCAGCAAACTACCATGGCATACTAGATTGAACATTGCCATCGAAACTGCAAGACTCAGGCATCATCCACCGGGATGTGACAGGGAGTACGTAATATCCTGTTGGATGAAATTTTTATTGTTAAAGTTGCAGATTTTGGATTCTCACGGTCTCTTCCAGACCATGTTACTCATGTTACAACTATTCCACTAGGAACTCGTGCTTACATAGATCCTGACTACTACTTATCTGGAAAGGTCAGTAACAAAAGTGATGTCTACAGTTTTGGAGTGGTCTTGCTTGAATTCATTGTTAGGTAAACATTAAATGCATGTAGTTGAGAGGTAGTGGTTGAGAGGTAGTGGTTGTATTGAATGTACATAGTTGAGAGGTAGTGGTTGTATTGAATGTATGTAGTTGAGAGGTAGTGGTTGTATTAAATAAATGTAGTTGAGAAACCATGTCCAAATGTACCACTCATTACAAAAACATCAAGTGATAACATATAGAGTATTTTGTTTAGATACTTGTTTGTCAACAAATTGACATTAGAGCTTGAGAGCCTGAGTGTCTGAGTGCGTTAGAGAGAGTGTTTGAGAGTAGAGAGAGTTTGTTCGAAATGACCAACTTAGCTAACAGCATGTCCCTACCAAAGTTATCGAAAAGCGGAAGCTATGACAACTAGAGTCTGCAAATGAAGGCTCTCCTTGGTTCCCGAGAAGTATGGGATGTGGTCGAAAATGGGCACCAAGAACCAGAAAATATTGAAGAACAGACAATTGCCCAACTTGCTGCGTTGAAAGCAACACGGGTAAAGGACAAAACGACTTTGTACGTGTTGTACCGAGCTATTGATGGGTCCGGTTTTGAGAAGATAGCAAATGTTAAATCTTCAAAAGAAGAGTGAGATATTCTGTAGAAGACATATAAAGGGGATAATCACGTGAAACAAGTCAGGCTTCAAACTCTGAGAGGCGAGCTTGAAATAATGAGGATGAAAGAGGTCGAAGGGGTTGTCAAGTATGTCTCTCGTGTTAAGACCGTGGTAAATCAACTCGGAAGAAATGGAGAGATGTTGTCCACTTGCTGAGTGGTGGAGAAAATCTTAAGATCGTTAACTGACGACTTTGAGAATATCGTTTGTGCAATAGAGGAGTCCAAGGACTTTTCAGTGCTCTCGGTAGAAGAGCTTGCCTGGTCGCTTGAAGCGCATGAGCAACGGAGAAGGAAGAAGAAAGAGGAGTCCCTTGATCAAGCACTCCAAGCAAAGACAACCTTAAAGGAGAAGAAGGTTCCTTATGCTCAGAACACTCAAGGCCAAGGTGGTAGAGGCAGAGGAGAATATGAAAGAGGTAAGGAGCAAGTCAGTGAACAAAACTGGCGTGGCCAAAGACAAGGTAGAGGTCGTGACGGTAGAGGCCGAGGTGGTCAGTCAAGCAATTACGGAGTTGAGTGCTTCAAATGTGGGAAGTACGATCATTTTGCTAAGGACTGCTATTCAGGTATCAAATGTTATAATTGTGGGAAGGTTGGGCATTTCGCGAAAGACTGCCGATCTGAGAGGAAGAAGGAAACAGACCTCCTCTCTGAGGACGCTGAGGAAGAAGGAGTATTGATGATATCGAGAAGTTCAGATGTTGAGCTAAGTTCGAGTTGTTCTGACAACTCGGTTTGGTATCTTGATACAGGAGCAAGTAACCACATGTGCGGGGACGAGAACCTTTTTAAGGAGCTCACTAAAGTTGAGGCCGGAAACGTGTCGTTTGGAGATGTATCAAAGGTGGAAGTAAAAGACTGAGGTACAATCTAGTACCTGCAGAAGAATAGTTGAGTTGGAGAAATCAGAGACGTATACTATGTACCCGATCTCAAAAGCAACATATTAAGCATGAGTTAGCTGATGGAGAAAGGCTACTCGATTTTGATGAAAGACCGAGTACTATACTTGAAGGACAAGTCAGATCATTTGATTGTCCGAGTAGAAATGAAGAAGAACAGAATGTACAAGCTAAACTTGAAGATAATCCAAGAGATGTGCTTAAAACTTGGCGTGCAGGATGAAACAATGATGTGACACTTTCGGTTTGGCCACTTGCATTCTGGTGGGCTGATCGAATTGGTAAAGAAAGAGATGGCGCGAGGACTCCCGTATATGGAATTTGAAAAGAAATTTTGTGAAGAATGTGTGCTTGGGAAGCATTCGAGGACCTCATTTCCGAGGACTGCCGAGTACCATGCAAAGGAACAACTCGGATTGATTCACACAGATCTTTGTGGACCAATTACCCCTGAGTCTTTCAGTGGAAAAGTATTTCATTTCTTTTATAGATGATTTTTCAAGAAAAACCTGGGTTATTTTTTGAAGGAGAAATCCGAGGTGTTTGAGGTGTTCAAGAGATTTAAAGCAATGGTTGAGAAAGAGACCAGTATGCCTATCAAATCTGTCAGGTCTGATCGAGGAGGCGAGTTCATTTCATCCGAGCTTATGAAGTATTGCGAGGGGCAAGGGATAAGGAGATTTCTGACAGCATCATACTCACCCCAACAAAACGGAGTTGCCGAGAGGAAGAATCGAACCATTCTTGACATGGTTCGAACAATGTTGAGAAGCAAGAATGTGCCAAAGGAATTCTGGGCAAAAATAGTGGAATGTGTCATCTATGTGCAAAATAGATATCCACATGCTAAGCTAAACGAGAAGACATCGCAAGAAGTCTGGAGTGGAAGAAAGTCGAGTGTGTCTCACCTTAAAGTGTTCGGCAGCATAACTTATGGTCATGTTCCAGCTCAACAGAGGATCAAGCTCGAAGATAGAAGCAAAAAGTACGTGTTTATTGGGTATGATAAAAAAACCAAGGTGTACAGGTTGTTTAACCCAATAACTAAGGTCATTATGAGCCGAGATGTTCAAATTGATGAAGAGAGTGAGTGGAGTTGGAACAAACCGGAGAATGAGTCCATAGGAAGAAGAAGCTCGAAAGTTTATACATCACATACTGTAAGAGATCATGAGACTTCTGATGAAGAAGATGAACCTCTACAACCCAGGGCGCGAAGTTTACAAGATATATACAACTCCATTGACGAAGTACATATTGTATGTTTCTTAGCAGATTCAAAAGACTTAAATTTTGAAGAGGCCGTGCAGGAGAAAAGGTGGCAAAAGGCAATGGACGAGGAAATCGGAGCAATAGAACACAACAACACGTGGGAGTTGACTGATTTGCCTACAGGAGCACGACCTATCGGCGTAAAGTGGGTATACAAGAAGAAGACAAATGCTAAAGGAGAAGTTGAGCGATATAAAGTTCGACTCATAGTGAAGAGGTACAAGCAGAAAGAAGGAATAGACTATGACGAAGTATTCGCTCCAGTGACGAGGATGGAAACAATTAGATTGTTGATTTCCTTAGCAGCTCAACACAGATGGACAATCTTGTAGATGGACGTGAAGTCGACATTTCTGAATAGAGTCTTAGAGGAGGAAGTATATGTTGAACAACCGCTCGGATACATGCGAAGAGTTGAAGAGAAGAAAGTGCTGAGATTGAAGAAGGAACTTCATGGCTTGAAATAAGCTCCACGAGCATGGAATGAAAGAATTGACACTTACTTCAAAAGGAATGGATATGAGCAATGTCCTTATGAACATGCTCTATACATAAAGAAGAAAGGAGAAGATGTGATGTTTGTTGCCCTATATGTTGATGACCTTATCTTTATGGGGAATAATGTCGAGCTGATTGAAGAGTTTAAAGAAGTGATGAAGAAAGAGTTTGAGATGACTGATGAGGGTCTTATGAAATATTTTCTTGACTTAGAAGTGGTTTAGGGAAAGGATGACATCTTTGTGTCGCAGGAAAGGTATGTTGAGGAGGTATTGAAGAAGTTTAAGATGACAAGTTGCAACCTGGTTTTCACCCCTATGGAATCTGGTACAAAACTTTCTAAGTATGCAGATGGAGACCGAGTTGATGCGAGCAAATACCGAAGTCTGATTGGAAGTCTTAGGTATCTTACAAATACTAGACCAGATTTAATGCTAAGTATTGGAATAACAAGTTGGTATATGGAGGAGCCAAGGTATATTCATTGGAAGGCACTAAAGAGAATTCTAAGGTATATAAGAGGAACAGTGTCATTTGGCCTAATGTATACTAGGACGGATGATTACGGACTAGTAGGCTACTCGGATAGTGACTGGTATGGAGATGTTGATGATCGGAAAAGCACGGCTGGATATGTATTCTTCATGGGAAACACAACGTTCACCTGATTTTCAAAAAAACAATCCATTGTAACGTTGTCCACTTGCGAAGCCGAATACGTTGCAGCATCTTGGAGTGTCTGCCACGCAGTTTGGCTTAGAAACTTTCTAAGCAAGCTGGAGTTGAAGCAAAAAAGAGGGACTGTGATTCGAGTTGATAACAAGTCATCATTGAATGGGCAAAGAACCCGGTCAATCATGAGAGAAACAAACATATTGATGTTCGGTTTTACTTCATTCGAGAACAAGTGAAAGAAGGAAATGTGGAGTTAGAACACGTCAGAACCCGAGTACAAGCTGCAAATATATTCACGAAGTCACTGCCAATCACTCTATTCGAGAACAGCAAGAAGATGCTTGGAATGAAGGAAAAGAAAAGCATTTAAGTTTATGGGGGGATTTTGTTAGGTAAACAATAAATGCATGTAGTTGAGAGGTAGTGGTTATAGAGATAGTGGTTGAGAGGTAGTGGTTGAGAGGTAGTGGTTATATTAAATGTATGTAATTGAGAGATAGTGGTTGTATTGAATGTATGTAGTTGAGAGGTAGTGGTTGTATTAAATATATGTAGTTGAGAGATAGTGGTTGTATTAAATACATGTAATTGAGAGGTCATATCTAAATATCTATAAATTGACCATGTACCACTCATTGCAAAAACATCAAATAATATCATATAGAGTATTTTATTTAAATACTTGTTTTTCAACCCTCATATCATCTATCCGCCCAAGTTTAGTTTAGTGGCAGACACAGATAATAATACTCTTGCACAGTTTGCAATGAACAAAATCTTGAACAGTGAATTAAAAGAGATAGTGGATCCTAGTTTTTGGCGTGGTTCTGACAAAAACATTGTGAAAATGGTAACAGCAGTGGCAGAGTTAGCATTTCCGTGTGTGCAGTGTCCCAAGGAACTCAGACCATCCATGAAACAGGTGCTAGAGACCCTGGAGGGCATAAGGAAAGGAAAATGGGGATTCAACCAGATAACATAGTCTTTATTCATACTGCAGATAAATTCTTATATGATTTCTGAGACCACCAATCGTCCACAGTACCAGGTCATGGTGATTATCAGTTAAACAGTAACTTAACAAACTTGCTTTTGGCTTCACTTTGTATCATTGTTTCAGTTTCATCATTGATTATTTGTATCCCACAATAGGCATGTTCTTTCTTCTCACTTTTTTTTTTTTCTTTAATTCGTTGTTTAACTGTAATATGTTTCTGAGAAGAAATTCTTAATTTGATCTCCTCTAATTAAGATGAGTGTTTCAGACCATATATTTGTAATTAGTTAAAAAAATCTCTGAAATATTTGAATTACTTTTCATCTATCACTACAAGAAAAAACACATTTAGCCACCGAAATTAGCGACCGAATTTTTTCGGTCGCAATTAGCGACCGATTTAACGACCGATTTAATTTTAGTCACATTTAGAGACCAATTTAGCGACCACTTCAATTCGGTCGCCATTAGCGACCGATTTAGCGACCAAAATATGATTTGGTTTTCACTCCTTTATTTAGCGACCGAAATAGCGACCAATTTTTGTGCGTCGCAAAATTTCAGTCGCTAAATCGGTGGCTATTTCATACATAAATAAAAAAATCATTTAGCGACTGATTTAGCGACGGAATTACATATTGAAATAGCGACCGAATTAAAATCGGTCGCTAATGAGAAAATAATACATAATTATATCTGATTTTTGCAATATCGCTCAAGCGAAAATAAAGTCGCTCGAGCGACACCACCTGCTAATTCGAAAATTAAGTTTAAAGATCTGTTCTTGAATCACAAAGCAATCAATCAAAATAAGCGCAACAACTGAATTTAAATGAGAGAAAGGTTAAGATATCACCGGTATTTTACAGATTAAATGTTTTACAGATCCAGCTGGCACTACTAGAAAAACACCAAATAGTGACCGAAATTAGTGATCGAAAAATTCAGATCATCGATAGTAACTCGAATCGATGATCTGATTTCCCTTTTTATATTTAGTGACTGATTTAGTGACTAAAATTTCAATCACAGATATCGGTCACTGATTCGATCATCGAATCGGTCACTGATTCAGATCACTACTAGAAAAAAGGTTAATAGTGACCGAAAATAGTGATCGAATTTTTTTTTATATTTAGTAATCGATTTAGTGACTAAATTTTCAGATCACTAAAAAATAATTTTTAAATTGATAACTATTTTTCATTTATATAAATATTTTATTTAAAATATTTTAAATATAAATCTACTTAATAATTTAAAATAAGTGATAACATTGTTAATAACATTATAAAAATTTTAAAAAAATAGTTTACTAACTTATTAAATAATTTAGTAATATAATTATTTAATTTTATTTTTTAATTTAGCATGTGAATAAAAAAATTAAAATTGATTATGAAATTAGTCACCGAATCGGTCACTGATTCGGTCACCGAATCAGTCATCGATTCGATCACTGATCGATCATCGATTCGATCATTGAATCGATCACTGATTCGATCATCGATCTAGTCACTAAATCAATAATTAAATTAATTATTAATTTAGTCTCTTTATATATATATATATATATATATATATATATATATATATATATATATATATTACTTGTATGTTAATAAAAATATATTTCAATGTATTTATAAAAAATTAAAATTATTTTAATTACTGAATTGATATTTTAAATTTATATTAATATCTTGGATAATTTAATAGTTGGATATATATTTTAAGTTTATATTAGTCATTTTTATATAAAAGTGTAAAAATAAAGTGAACTTATTTTAAAATTTAATTAAACATAATAATATAATATAGTATTAACCATAAATATGTGAAGATTTAGTTAGAAATTAATTTTAAGTTTTATTGTTTTTATTTAAAAAAATCGTTAAAAAAATTTAAAATAATTAATTAAAGTAAAGAATTTTAATTTAATAAATGTGTTAATATTATTAGAAGAATTAAATTTATATTAATAATTATATAAAATTATAGATATATTCAAATTTAAATTATTGGTAATTTTTTTAATTATTAAGCTAAAATTTGATAATATTAATAAATTAAAAATAATATATATATATATATATATGACTTTAATTTTTTAATTAAAATTAATTTCATAAAAAAATTAATATTTGAAAATTAAAATGCAAAAGTATATATATTTATCTTTGATTTAATTATACTTTTACACCTAAAAAAAGAAAAAAATAATAATAATTACTTTTATAAGAAAATGAATGTCGCTGAGCGACAATACTCTCGCTCGAGCGAAACGCCCCCTGCACAAAATTAGCATTCTCGGGTTGTATTTTGCTTGAGCGACACCACTCTCGCTCGAGCGAAATACGATTCTGATCGATCATAACCTGAAATGATCGATCATAATTAGAGGATATAATAGCGGTTCCCTTATAACCGCTATCTAAAGTATAATTTAGATAGCGGTTATAAGGGAACCGCTATTAGAAGTGCACTTCTAAGAGCGGTTCTTCTGGAACCGCTATCTAAAAAGAATTTCGCTTGAGCGATAATACTCTCGCTCGAGCGAAACGCCCCCTGCACAAAATTAGCATTCTCGGGTTGTATCTCGCTTGAGCGACACTCTTTCGCTCGAGCGAAATACGATTCTGATCGATCATAACCTGAAAAGATCGATCATAATTAGAGGATATAATAGCGGTTCCCTTGTAACCGCTATCTAAAGTATAATTTAGATAGCGGTTATAAGGGAACCGCTATTAGAAGTGCACTTTTAAGAGCGGTTCTTGTGGAACCGCTATCTAAAAAGAATTTCGCTTGAGCGACAATGTTCTCGCTCGAGCGAAACGCCCCCTGCACAAAATTAGCATTCTCGGGTTGTATCTCGCTTGAGCGAAACTACTCTCGCTCGAGCGAAATACGATTCTGATCGATCATATATTCAAAATGATCGATCATATTTGATAATTTTTTCAAATAATTAATTATAATCGATTAGTTTTCTAAATTATTGATTAGAATTGATTAGTTTTTCAATTAATAGATTAGAATTGATTAATTTCTGAAATATATACTAAAAAATTATAATTAAAACTATAAATTAGTTAAGAATATTGACTATTGTAAAGATAAAGTAGAACATGGGAGGAGATGAGGATGATAATATAATGATAGAACTTACAAAAATGTAGAATTGAGAAGTTTGAAACAAATAAAATTAAGAAAATAGATATTTAATTACACTTTTAATAAATTTAAGATAATACTAGTTTTGATTTTTATTTTTAAATATTTATTTTAATTATTTAAAACAGAGAAACTATAATTTTAGTTTCTAGCTACTGAATTTAAAGAATTAAATTTATTATTATTTAATCTTTTAATTTGTAGAATTAAACTCAATATAATTGTTAAAAATACTTTGTAAAGGCATTTGAGAAAGCTTTTGTCAAAATACTTTGTTTTTAATTGTTAAAAACATTTGTAGAGGCATTTTGCAAAATCTTTTAAGTGAAGAAACCTCATGCAACGAAATCTTTTAATTTTAGTATTAAAAGTTTAAATTATATTTTATTAAATTAAACTAGTTACAATATATTTTTTTACTTTGAGAATGAACAATATAATTAAACTAAAAATTGACCATATTATAATACATTTTTGAACTCTTTTGGATTAATTTTTTTTCCTAATTTTTGATAAATTTAATTTTAATATTTAAAAGTATTTAACATTTTGAATTCTGAAAGGTTTTCTCTAATAGCAAATTTAAAAACATAATATTCAAAAACATAATTGAGAAGATATGATAGCGGTTCCACGATAACCGCTATCTAAAGTATAATTTAGATAGCGGTTAATGGTTAACTGCTATTAGAAGTGCACTTTTAAGAGCAGTTAATATTTTCAAAATGATCGATCATATTTGATAATTTTTTCAAATAATTAATTATAATCGATTAGTTTTCTAAATTATTGATTAGATTAGTTTTTCAATTAATAGATTAGAATTGATTAATTTCTGAAATATATACTAAAAAATTATAATTAAAACTATAAATTAGTTAAGAATATTGACTATTGTAAAGATAAAGTAGAACATGGGAGGAGATGAGGATGATAATATAATGATAGAACTTACAAAAATGTAGAATTGAGAAGTTTGAAACAAATAAAATTAAGAAAATAGATATTTAATTACACTTTTAATAAATTTAAGATGATACTAGTTTTGATTTTTATTTTTAAATATTTATTTTAATTATTTAGAACAGAGAAACTATAATTTTAGTTTCTAACTACTGAATTTAAAGAATTAAATTTATTATTATTTAATCTTTTAATTTTAGTATTAAAATTTTAAATTATATTTTATTAAATTAAAATAATTACAATATATTTTTCTACTTTGAGAATGAACAATATAATTAAACTCAAAATTGACAATATTATAATATATTTTTGAACTCTTTTGGATTAATTTTTTTTCCTAATTTTTGATAAAGTTAATTTTAATATTTAAAAGTATTTAACATTTTGATATAATGAGCATGATAATATAATGATAGAATTTACAAAAATGTAGAATTGAGAAGTTTAAATTTTTTTTAAGAAAATAGAGATTTAATTATACTTTTAATAAATTTAAGATAATACTAGTTTTTAAACCTTTTTCTAATATTTGTTTTTAAAAATATAATATCATTTTTAATATTTTATAGATTTTATATTTATATATTTATAAAAGTAATTGGATTAAATTTATTATCCTCTCATATATTATTATACATTTAGCGTAATTTTAGTTTATTTAAAAATTAGAATACAAATATACTATACCAATATACCATTATATTATTTTCATTGTATATAAATTACAAAATTAATAATTTGTATACTATACTATACTAACATATTATTTGTATACTATACTAATAGTATAATATACTATATTATAATATTATTTGTATACAAAACTAATATCTTTATATATAAATATATAAATATGGAAACATATAAATATATGTAAAAATAT